TCTTAGGGTATTACTCTTATCTAATTATTTAGGTTAACGGGTCAACCCATAGGTTAACCCGTTAATCTATTTCTTACTATCTAATAAGCTTCGTATATATTAATAGAGTATCTTCTGATTAGTTATAAAATTTAGCACTAGGATAGTGCCGAATCCTATCTACTAATAAGAAATAAGTATTAGACCTATATATTCCCCTAAATCTACGATGATTTACCTTAGATTATTTTTCTATATCTCGAGTCCTTTATTTTAATATATTATTGCTATATCTCTTCTATATCTTAGTTATCTACCTTATACCCTCCCTCTCTTATTAAGAGTGAGGGGTTTGAGTTATCTATTTTCTATTCTAATTAACTTCTCGATACCCTCTTAGAACCACCAGAAAGCTAGTAAACTGAGTAAAGCCTCCCTCCTATTATACTACTAACACTAAAATGATCCGACGATCGGAAAAAGACCTAGGTAATTTTTGATAGTATAAATAAAGCAGAGTTTTTAAACTAGTAGCTTAATACCTAAATTAGTAGTTCTTATAATACTATAAAGAAGATAAACTAAGAGAGTCTATAACGGATTAATATATAGTTATATTTTGATTAAGTCGTATATTTAGTAATAGAAGAGCTAAAGCTCCTATATAAGCGATATAGTAAGGTTATAGACTATCTAGTCTATACTAAGAATAGGATAATAGGTCTCTAACGTTACTAGAATCAGAGTATATACTAGAAAGGCTAAAGCACTACTAAATATTTAATAATCTAATATCTTATAGAATATATAGTATATTATATAGCTATTATTTAATTTATAGACTAATCTTTCTTAGGCTAAGAACTCCTCTCGAATAGCCTAGCTAGTTATCTAAGAGCTATAGGAGTAATAGTTAATTACTATAATAATTACCCTACAGCTTCCTTTTTAAACTATCAAGCATCCTAAATTCTAAGCCCTTCTTTGAATAACCTAATTATTATCGTTTATCCCTAGTTTCCCTTTTTATCGAACTATATAGCGTCGAATCTAGGGAATAACCTAAGATTAATAGAAAGATTTACTTTAGAAGCTTCCGCCTAAGGCTAAGCTCTTTATTAGTCTTAACTATTAGATATCGCTATTTTAATAAATATTTATAGCTATCTCTAGCTATTTTATTAATATAGACTAGAATTATTAAGAGGTTTTACTTAGCTTCGAACCTATTTCTGGTATATACTCTAGGTAGAATCTTAGTATAATCCTCCTCGATATCCTCTAGAAATATTAGATCGAAGACTAAGTACTTATAGTAATAACTAATAATATATCGAATAACTCTACCCTTATTTTAAGTATCTAAGATTCTATTTAATTATTAGATATTAACTTTAAGGTAATGATTATTCGGGTTCTATATATTATATATATAATTTAGTTAAGTTTAAAGCAACTATTTAGCTAAATAAAAACGAACCCTTAAAACGAGGTAACTAAGACTATTTAATCTAAGGAATATATCTAATACGCCTATCGAAAAGCATAAAAACGAGATATTACGATAACTCTTATAAAGATATATATCTATACTCCTTATTTATTAGTTAAAATACTAACCTACTTTATATTTTAGATTAGAAACCTTACAATCTTTATTAATATAAGCCCTTAACGTCGGGAGTCCTTCCTTAGTCTCTAGCCTGACTACCTTTAATTAGTTCTAATTCAAGATATCCGAATTAGATAGAATTTAACTTTTTTGATACTCTAACGTACGAAGCGGTTATAATTAGTCTTTAATCGATTTTACTCTAAATATAATTATCCTTATCTTAAAATCGATATAGATAAGTAGCGTTAGATCGACTACCTTCTTAATATTACCTAGCTATTTTTCTAATTTACTATAGTCCTCTTAAAAATAAAGGATATTACTATTTATACTATCTTTACTATCTATAATAAGCTATTTAATTATTTTAAGAGATTAATTAGATAGCTTAGTAGAAAGAAGGTTAGATAGAAGTAATAAATATATCGAGTCCTTAAATTAGCTAAAGGTAAACTCCGTGAGTATTACTCTATAATAGATAATAAAGAGCTTAGTAATATCTATACGATTAGTACTATCTTAGCCCTTTAGTATAAGGTTAAATTTTTTTAAACTAAAGACTAGGACTACCCTTAGATAGATTATAACGCCTAATACTAACGAAGTCTTAAGGGTCGGCTTCTGAGCTACTAAACTAGCAATATTCTAAGCTCTTAATCACTATCTAAAATAAAATAGTCCTATTAAACTAATAAGCTTAATATATTTTTAATAGCTGATTCTTCTACCTTAAACTCCTAGTCTAAGGTAATATAGTATATTAAAGAAGGTAAGTTTCTATATATACTTTTATTAAAACTAGGGTTCTAAATAATCGCTTAAAACCCTGGTTCTAATCTATTAAGTTTCTATCTTTCTACCCCTATTAGAACCAGGGTTTTAAGGCCTATCTTAGAACCCTGGTTTTAATAAGGGTATTAGTTCTAATCTATCTAAATATTATACTAATTATTATAATCCGCCTTCTATCTAGATACTATCCTAATCCTATCTTATTAGTTCTAGAAGGATTATTAGTATAAATTTCCTATATTTATAAGCCTCGCCCGTAATCTCCTTTTAATCCTAGTTACTAACGTTAACGTTAAGCGATTATTTAATTCCGCGTATAATATTTACTATTATCGATAAGGGGCGCTAAATACGTTTACTATATAGGATCTAATAATACTTATATATATTACTAAATTCGAAGTCAAGGAGAAGTAACTTATATTTATTTAAGAGCTTCGGGAGTAAGATAAGTTAGAAATTATATAAAAGGAAAAAAGACCTAAAAAACTTATAAAGAGATTATGCTAATTAGTGATAATAAAAAAGAGGATACTATAGATCTAATAATTATAGTCGATATACCTTACTAACCGTAGTAAGAAAAGTTAAGGAGTAATTATAAAGATAATTATAGCCTCCCGCGGATTTTTGGTAGGGTTCGTAAACGCCCACGAGTACTTAATAATTATAAGCTTTAAAATTAAAATCGATTAATATTTAAAATAATATTCTCTAGAATTACTTTCTAAGAATTATTCTCCTAATTACTATAAAAAATTATTTAACTAAAATAAATATAATACCTAAAAATATAGTTAAGAACAATATAATTTATAAAAGTTATATAGTTAACAAAGTATCTACCTAAATAGGTTAAATAGGTTGACCTATTGACCCGCGGGACGGGTCAAAAAAATCTTGACCCGCCCACGGGTCAAGAGGTCTGACCCACGACCCGCCCATGGGCTGACCCACGGGTCGACCTATATGGGTTGTCCGCGGGTCTGTCCAGGTCTAGGCCACCGTTCGTTGGCTGCTCACTAGGCTAGGGAGGTTATCTGATTAAAAGAAATCAGATTCAGAGAATTGATCTAAAAAATAAGATACTTAGGAATAAGATATATTAAGCGGATTCTGGTAGTAGGAAGGTAAAATATAAAAAGTATAGTAAGGGAAGACTTACAGTTTTTTGTCTTAAATCTAAGGGGTATAGGTAAACGAGTCGCGACTATAATTTCGACGTGTAGAAAAAAACAATTATAGATAGATACCTACTATACTATATCTTATTGGATATCTTTATATACTAGTATAGATATCTTTGGATAATCCGCAAGATATCCACGGATATCCTACGGATATCCAAAGCTATCCGTAAATATAGAGGACAGAATCACCAAGTCCCTAAGAACATAAAAAAACGTATAAATTTTCCTCTAACTTTCTATAGAATTATAGGAACTAAAGATTAGGGGTAAATAAAAAGACGTCTTACTATTATCTAATATCATTTTTAACGGGTTTAGGCTATTATTAGTAAGGTCTAGTAGTTTTGGTATATCTTATAAAGATTTATACTGGCTGCCTTTAGTACCAAATATATATTTCTGCAATAACACCACAAATTAATCAAGAATAACAAAGTTATAGGCAGCTACCGCCGCTAACCTCTAAATACAAAGGAATAGTAATAAGTTAATACTACTTTTATTTAGATACATTAGCATTTCTTATTATTTTATATAGGAATAGTGATAAAGTGCAGGATAATACTATCATAACCAGAATATATATATATTAAAGTTAGAACCAGGAGTGAGTCAGCGATATAAATACTATATGATCGGCTATAATAGGTTAAATTAGCGAGATTTATACACTTGCGGATAGTTTACAGATATCCATGGATATCCATTGGATATCCGCAAATTTGCGGATATGGATATGGATATTAAAGTGATATCCAAATCCGCAGATTTGCGGATATGGATAGCATTGTCGTATCCGCAAATGCGGATATGCCGCAGTCTAGTCAGTTGGGAATAGCTTCATGCCTCACCATCATTATAGACCCTTTACAGTCACGCTCTATTCCCGCTGCTTCCCTAGGTAGATCTCTCGGACCTCGCTGGATATATATATATCCGGAAGCAGTCGATATGCTCAAATCGATCTCGTCATAGACTCACAATAAGTTGTCGCAGCGATCACGAAGACTGCTTCGTTCGCTGCCTCCGGGCCGACAGGCATACTAAATACAGCGCTTAAGCGAGCGATTCGACGAATCGCTCTATATCGTTATTCGTAAGCCAGGTAAGGCAGAATATACCATACCAAAGGCCTACCGGCCGATTTCGCTGCTTAAAACGCTAGCGAAGCTTCTTGAATCGATTGTCGCCTCTCGCCTAAGCTATTTTACCAAAGCACGCTCTCTTCTAACAGAAACATATATACAGGTATATAGGTCACTCCTGCGATCGTACCCTTTATCTGATTCAGTAGAGGGTTCATAAAGCATAGCGCGAAGACTACCAATATATTTCATAGTTAACTTAAACAAGGTATCATCATAACATCAACGATCATCACCCAAAAGCTAGTCCAGAGTTCGTGGAGCCAGTTCCTTCGAACCCTAAACCAGCCGCTCGACTGCCAACTCCGCGTCTGCCGCCTGCACCAATCCACCCGCCTCGAGCTTCTTCTTCCACTTGGCAGACTCGTATCGGGCCAGGATCAACGTTATACGAGCAACCACTGCGGGGTCTGCAGACTCGGCGACCACCGCAGAAGGCGTAGCCGTCCACCTCCCAAACGCCCAATTTAGGATATAGTACCGCGAGTCTTGAGACTTCGGTTTCGCGTCAAGGTTCTCAGATGATTCTGCGGGGGGATCTTGAGCAGAGCAGTGTATGATGCCCTTAATGCGGTAGACTTCGTCTCTGGGCGCCGCAGAAAGGAACCGTTCGAGAGGAGGGACATCGACAGTCTGCTGCGAGACAGCCGACTTAAGTGTTACAGATAACACCTCGACTTCAGTCTGGTGATCATGCTGGTGGCCATGCTGCTGCTGCTTATTCTGATCCGGATTCACTAGAGTAGCAGTAGGATCCTTCTCCTTCGTAAACAGCGCGCCATCAATCCCAAGCAACACATCCTTATCAACGTGCCCCCGATCCGACTTCACCCACGGCGTCTCAACCTCCAGATCGCCCACACGATCAAGACAAACATCAAAACGCTGCTCCGAAACCAGCTCCCACTTATTGAAGATAATCAGATCCGTATACTTCGCCTGGATCTTCGCCGTATACGACGTATCCTCATAGCCCTCCCAGTTCTCAACATCAATAACACTAATCACGCCATCAAGCACAAAATGCCCGCCCTGCTCACGCGCTAGCCGGTTCACCTCCATCGCTAGCGTCGCGGGGAACGCGCTGCCGCTCGTCTCGATGACAATGCGGTCGGGTTGTTCCTCGGTACGCAGCTGCTCCAGCGCGTCGCTGAGCTGCCCGACTAGGTTGCAGCAGATACATCCGTTGAGCAGTTCACGTACGCCGCTGATGGATTGCGCGGAGGCGAGCTGCGAGTCGATTGCGATGTCGCCGAATTCGTTTTTGAGGAGCGCGAGTCGGTAGGTGCGGGGCAGTTGCGGGATTAGGTTGAGGAGGAGTGTTGTTTTGCCCGAACCAAGGAACCCAGTAACTATTGTCACGGGGATTGGTGCCATTTTTTTCAGAGGCTTGGGTAGGGGGACTTTTCAAGAGAGGGAGCGAAGGAGAAAGGGTAGAGAATTGGACTTTGCTTTGCGCCGATACTTTTTCGCCGCGGACCGCGGGGCGGAGGGCGCTAACTCTTTTGATGTCCTACACTACGCGGCCAAAAGTCTGGTTACACCCTATTAACTCCCCCAATATTAATTAGTATAAATCCAGACTAAATACACAATGAAAAGAAAAATGTCAATATTTAGTATACCAGCCCTTCGCTGCGCGTACAGCAGCAAGCCTGCGAGGCATGGATCGAATAAGGCTGTCAACGACGTTTTGATCAAGCTGCTCCCATGCATCGCATATAGCTTTTTTTAAAGAATTCCCAATCCAATTTAGACCTCCCATCACCTAGCTAAGGGTATAATGGAAGGATTTTGAGTTTCAGAAGTCGCCATACTGACTCGATGGGGTTAAGCTCAGGCAAATGAGGTGGCCAGTGTACAGTCTAGGACCCAAATTCTATGATTTTCGAACCTCGAACCACTCCTGTAGGATTTCTGTCACACAAATTATCATATTATCTTGTTGAAATATCGAGCCTGGTCCCATACACTGGCAAATGGCCTTCTTCGAGAGTAGTAAGATAGGAATTCGCAGTATAACCTTGCCGAGGTGCGCGATGTTGGCGCGACAGCCGTTACTTCACTTGGATCAGCCCGCGAGGCCCTCAGTACGTTCGCAGACCACACAGTCTATACAGCAGAGCTTCATGGGAACACCCCCCCCGCACAATGAACGCACTTCTCCGACGCAACACCTCAACGGATCACTATCTTCACCGACAACCAAGCAGCTATACAAGTTTGTGCCCACCCCGCCAGGCCGTTGGGCCAGAAGTTTGCGAGGCAGATCGCGAGCAGCATCGAACGCCTCCGGCGTCCACACTCTTAAATTCGGATGCGCATTCATTCGATCCCTGGGCATTTCTGAGTGCTGGGCAACGAGCACGCTGATGCTGTCGCGAAGAGAGCTGCAGTAGAAGCGGATTGGGTGCCAGTCTTCGCGCTAGCTGACCTTTACTGACTGAAGCCTCGCGATCTGGCAGTCGAAGAGTGGAAGAAGCAATGGGCAGGCGAATCAGCATGGTGCTTATACGCGCCGCTGGCGGTTCCCTGAGCCTACAAAGGATGTCTGTACGAGGTATCACCCGCTTTATGGCGCGGGTACTGCTGTTCTTCTACAAATGTAGACTGGCAAAATCGCTCTCGCATCATACTTTTCAACTCTACAGAACTGCCGCGAGAATGCACTCAATGATGATCCCAACAGAGGCCTAGCGCAGTGCTTGTGTGGCGAAGGCGCTCAGAACATACGCCACGTTTTGATGCTGCCCTCGCTTCGCTGAACTACGCTTTTGCATCCTCGGTAGGCGAATGCCATGGACCGACTGGTTCACGAGACCTTACAGGTAAGGCAACGCAATTGGTGATGCAGACAAGGTTCCTCGGTCAATTTGGAGCCCTGCCGTCCACGTACCGGATCTTCCGATCGCGAGGCGAAGGCCTGTGAACTGCTCCCTGCTTGCCCCCGGGCTTCAAAATATCAAGAAACCCCCCCACCTCTCTGTGTGAACTGGCGTTGCCCGGCCGCGCAATCGGTCGAAGGCGTGAGAGAGTAGTAATGTGGGAGCTTTGGTCGGTCGGCTTCGGTCCCACAGGGATGAACGCATCAAGGATGACAGGAGTGTGAAGAGGGAACCTGCTTCGCGGGAGCCAGTGATTCAACCCAAGCGAACCCTGCCATTTATTAGTGGTAGGGTGAGTGCGAGTAGGTTAGAACAGTCTTCGCGAGAGAGGTAGCGGATGAGGTGTGGGAGTGCTGAGGATCAGGTGATTGAATCGATGAAGGCGTGAGTTCGCATTGAATCAGGTGACCTTGCGTGTTTTGTAAGGGCAGAATAATACCACAGACCGGTGGCGTATTCCCTTTCCATGTCGCTCTTGTCCCCCGAGGTTTGCCGCTTTGTTTAACGGTGCTTCCGCTTAGTGATTTTACCGTCATCATAGGCTGTCATTCTTCCAGCCACAAGCAAAAGAGCATTTGAGCCAATGATGTCTCATTCAATTGTCCAAAGCATGTCCTGGTGGTGAACCCTTCATTTTGCTGACCAGCAGAGTGGTCCTGTTGCAAAAATGGGACGGGATATCCCGGGATTTTTTTATGGTACGTGAAGCCTGACGTCCATTGCGTGGTGAATCTGACTGTGGATTTTAGGTGAATTATTAAATTATCCTGCGATCAACCGTGCATTCATGCAAACACTAACATAGCCCGACAGACGCCGAGAAGAATAAGTATTTCAAAATCCAAGCCAATCATGTTGCACCTCCTGGCGCTCAGTACTCGAAGGAGTCTGTTAAGAAAAGGCGCATAGAACAAGAGGTTCGTCGGGTTCCATTCTTCAGGCGCCATCTCTACTCATACCACACAGCATCACCAAAAGAGAGTCAATCTCAATGAACGAATGTCTCGAGAAAGGATTCAAAAGGCCAGCTTCCTCAACCATTCCTTAATCGACGTTGGACAAGAACTCGGCCTACACGCCTTGTCCCCAGGTGCGAGAGAGGAGCAAAGAGTCCGCACATATGCAAACCAGTTACATCGCAAAAGGCTCCATAAGTTTGATCCTTGGCCAGATGGTTTTCTCATCCGGCATATATTGCGGACCCCGGAGTCAGGGATCTTAATCGCCGGTGCGTCTCAGGTTGCTTGAGTCCCTTTATTGATTCTGACTGGTTCTGACTAGGCGGGCACTATGGCGGCGAGTCGTCTCTTTCGTAAGTGCGACTGCTTATGTCGTTGCAAGCTATCCTAACTATCGAGCAGGGCATGCTTGCCGGATTCCAAGCACAGTCATTGGTCATACAGACAGAACAGGGAGCGATGTCTTTCTAAAGAGGCATATCGAGTTCGTTCCCCGAGCCCTGGCTGTACCCACTCCGCTAATCTAGGCCGTACTCAGCTATCATCGGTGTCCCTCAGTTGCACGGGCTATTTATTGTGAGGCCGCCATTTTCGGTTTATTTTCGCTCCAGAGTCCCTGCTAATTCCCCCAGGACAACAATGGACAGCGGCCCAAATGGAGACTCATTTATTACACCCCAGAAGATGCCCGACAGTGATGATTGCGAGGACCATGGTTGGCCTCCTTATTGTACGCATCCCTAGCGGCCCCCTCGGCATCACAGATAAGCTTACTTGAGGCCCTTGTAGTTCCACATAATATCCGAATCCGTACCACTCCTTCACTCTGGGGCTCTGCGGCGTGTCCGTCTGGGCCGAAAGCGCTCTTTGCCATCGGCACTTCAGATGGCCTTCATACCCTTGAGGGCTTAGAGAGTCGCTGGACACTGTCTCAGAAGCCGTTTCCTGACGACTTCCACCCGCCAGGTGACTCTTCCCATGCAAACGTCACCGCCGTTGAGTGGTTGTCCTCAAACATCATTGCATCGGGGTTGAAAGACTCTACCATTTTCCTGCATGACCTGCGTAGCGGTGGCAGTGCTTCGCGAATACAACATACTCACTCTGTATTCAAGATCCGGAAGATCGATCCGTACCGGCTCGTTGTTGCAGGAATTCAATCGGTACCAGTCCCCCATTGCTGTTTCTTCAAAGAATGCAGAAAATGCGTAACTAACAACAAGATCTATTAGCTTCAAATGTACGACGTCCGCTATGCTCCGAACGGCCTCCAGCACAAACCCAACCCAATCTCCTGCTCCCATGCTTCTACCCGACCATATCTCACCTTTCCGGGGTACACACCCCATGTAATCCCCGAATTTGATGTGAGCCCAGAGCTAAATTTACTCGCAAAAGGTACATGCATCCCCTGCCAGCCTAAATTTTACAAGCCGCAGGTGCTTTGGATTCTGTATATATGCTAACTTTTCTTCCCTACTCCCTATAGCCTCTGATGAAGGCAAAATCCAGCTCTTCTCTCTCTGCACTGGCTCGCAAGTCCAATCTCCAATTACTAGTTATCAATACCCCTCTGCTATCACCTGTGTGAGATTTGAGTCCAGTGGCTGCGAGTCGACTCGATATCGTCCGCAGACGCCTAGTTTGCTGGTTGGTGCAAGTGCTACTATCGATCAGTGGAGCTGGTAGTTTTCTCGCTCTCTTTCGCCGCTTCTGAGCTGTGTGGCTATGTTTTCGATTGCGCCTGGGGCTTTTATGGTGTACTTAATCCATTTTTATTTCTCATCTTGTGCGGGGCAACAGTTAAAACCTGGCCTTCCTAAGAACACTCCATGCGATTAACTCTTAGACCTCGCGCAGCTGGCCTCATATATTTTCATGACTTATATATTCCCATGTATGCCATCTTCGGATTCAGTGTAGTACAATGAAATATGCAGATATATTAGATTCGGGCTACTCATCATAACTGCGCAGCATCCTGTGAAATGGGCCCAGTCAATCGCCGAATGCCAATCGCCGAATTTCGCTGAGATACGTAGGTGGACAGTCGTGATTGGTCAGATTCTCACACATAACATGCACCTTCCGATGTTTCTGACCGGGCGCTCATCCTTCCCTTTTAGTTGCGGAGATCTCTATCTTTTTTTTTTTTCTTTTCCCCTTTATTCCTTTCAACATTTTGTTTCTTCAAAATCAAAATCAAACCCAAAACCAAAGTCTAAATCGAAATATTCCATACCAAATTCATCGTTATTACTACTATCGCAATATAAGGGTTACAAGATCTCCTGGATCATCGAGTCATGGTCATCAAATCCAGCTGTATATTTACAAAGTTCATACTCAACATTGTGATACCTTGGCCAGGACTCCAGTCACCAATGCAAAGTCCCTGTCTTCATCCACACGCCAGTTGGAAATTGCAATTCGACAGGCAGGAACCCCCTGCCAGCTAGAACCAGAGACAAACATCTGCGAAGTCTCGTTGATCTTTTTCGCCAGATCACGATTCAAGGCCTCGTCGTTGGCACGAAATAGAACAATGATAAATGCCTGATCTTGTAGCCTTTCCTTGGATGTGGCTGCTGGTAAAGCCGTGTAAGCGGGGTGGTCGAAGATCCACCCATAGATCATCCGGGTGAGCCTGATTTGACGCTGCAGCATATCCCGATATCCAACTCTGCCGTACGACAGAAGCGATGCATAGACCGGTAACGCTCTGAACCGGCGCGAATTCTCAATTCCAATATTCAGCGGTGATGGAATAGTAGGACTATCCGAACTCGCGACAGTCAAGTAGGCGGCATTTGCATTCTGGAAGACATGAACGGCCAAGTCAGGGTGTCGACAGAAGAAAAAGCCACAGTCGTAGGGCACATTAAGCAGCTTGTGGCCGTCGCCAGTAATCGAATCCACCAACTCCATGCCCTCGCACCCCTTCTTGATCGTTTGGAATTCCGAGCTGTCGTCCAGGGCGCGGCCAAAAATTCCAAAGGCGCCGTCGACATGCAGCCACGCGCTGTATTTGTCACAAAGCTCGCGGATCGATCGCACCTCGTCCCCATTTGCTGTCGCAAAGCGGCCAGTGTTGACTTCTCCGCATGATATAGCAACGATGCTAGCCTTGTCTCCTTTTGCTAGCTCCTTCTCTAGCTGCTCAAGATCAAACCGGAGTGGATCATCTCTGCGACAGGTATTGCGTACATTGGCACGACCAATACCTAGTATGCTGGCGGTTTTGACGAGTGATGAATGGGGTAGCGTCGTTAGCACCTGCACCCCGGAGAGGCCCGAAGCCTGCAACGCTTCAAACAAGCCATTTTCTCCAACGCTTTGAATGGTACTCCCTTTTTTCTCAGCGGCCTTCCGAAGAACAAATTCGCGCCCGCAGGCTAGGCCGAGAAGATTGCTTGCCGTGGCGCCCGTGGTGAACGTCCCATTTTGCCATGTAGGACGATCTAGGCGCAAAAGATCCGTCAGGAGGCCGAGCGCGTTGAACTCGACCTCAGTGGCAATTGAATGACTTGACAGGTGCACCTGGACATTCTGATCGTAGGCGGACACTACGTTGTCCGCGAAGAGCGCGGCCGGAGTGACCCCACCTGTAATGAAGCCGTAGTAATTGGAGCTGATGCTGCCTCCATTGAACGCGGGGACAAGATCTTCCGTAATATGTCGCTTGACTGTTTCAACCTCAGCACCGTGGTTCGAAAGGGCCGTGGGAAGAGAAGCTCTTGCTCGAGCAAGATTGTTTGCGGTTGGAAGGACGCCCGACTCCCACGGCCCCTGAGCGGCCTTGGATAGACCCTGGAGAAATTGGTCCTGCATCTATGGACATGCAATCTGGTCAACCAGCTCAAGAAAAATCAGAGCCACTTTATATATTCTTTGGGCTCGGTGTGCCAAGAATAGGGGGATTTGACATGAGTCGTATGGAAGTGTCCACTGTAACCCGTGAGATGCAAGTTCGGATGGACCTACTATAAACGGATGATCTTTTCTGATCTTCTCTTAGTTTATCCCAAGAGTCCAATCCTTTTTTTTCTTTTCTTCCCCCCTTTCCTTCTCTCTCTCTAATTGGACGCGGTTGGCAGAGTGGACTGGCATGGTTGTGCGTATCCACTTTCATCGTGGACCTTCTTGGACCCCAACATTTAATCCCGAGTTCCCCCTAAGCAACACCACAACAGAAACGTACTGCAAATATTTTAGGATCCTGGTCTCGTAGGTTCCGAGCTCCCAGGAAAGGCCTATCAAGATTAGCTAGTGCATTGAGTCCCCTCGTCTCCGGTCGTGCGGTGTAGCCTTGGACCGCAGGATCTAGGGGCATTCGCCGATTGAAATCCTGCAAAGTGACTTCAGAGAGAACTAGGTATTTATAGGAGCTTGTCCTGGAATCTTTCATCGTCCCCTTGGACCAGATTCCTACGTTGATTTCTTTTCTCACCTGCCATCGCGCCAGACAGAACAATGACATCGTCTGTTGTTTCTTCCTACGTCCCAGCCGCTCAGGCCTTACAGCCAGACTCGTCACACTTGTCACCACGGTACAATCTCGAGCACCTCGTCCAGGATATCAAGTCACACCTGGGAGTTTCCGGGGGCATTGCATCGTCTGAGGTAGATACGGAATACTTGATCTCACTGGCGCAGAGCTATGTGTCCGATCCCAATGACTGGCTGCAATTTTTCCATAATGACCCCAGCAAGAGCTACACGCGTAATGCCATCGAAAACATCAACCATAAAGCGAATATTGTAAGTTGAGTCACAAACCAACCGGCTTACTTGCTGTGGCAGTGGTGTGGTGTGGCTAACCACTGTCAGCTCCTCCTCGTGTGGAATCCCCGGAAGGGCTCCCCGGTCCATGACCACGCCAACGCCCACTGCATCATGAAAGTGTTGGCTGGTGAGCTGCAAGAGACCGTCTATCGCACCCCCGACCAAAACGAGGCTGGATCTCGACCTCTGGAGGTCCTTTCTGACCGGAGGCACGCCATGGATGATGTCACCTACATTTCGGATGACATTGGCCTCCATCGGGTGCATAACCCAAGCCATAACCAAATCGCGGTTTCACTTCATTGTGTGTTATCTCCTATTTTTCTTGTTTATGTGGACTCCCGTATGCGTGTGGCTTTGTTGGAGTAGAAATAAATGCTGATGACTTTCTAGTATACACCCCGCCTAATGCTGCTGACTATGGCTACAGCATCTATAACGAGGCTACTGGCAAGTCCAGCTTTGTTGCCCAGGCTCGATCGGTTTCTCAGCCAAAATGAGAAGGGTGTCAATGCCTGATTAGAATGACATGTGTTATGACTAGTGAATATATAATGATGAATAGTTGGTTTGATTTATTGATCGCCTGAAAATGGAGCCAAATATGAATACCCGAGGAAAGAAAAAATAAATATATATCGAGCAGCGAAAAGACAAGAAACAAACACCGAATGTGCAGCTAGTAATTTGTGACTTCGAAGGGCAACGGAGAAAACCGATGAGCCCAGTCACCATCTATATGAGTGTGGATTGCGGACTCAGGCAGAGCATTTAAGGGGCATACTGACCGGCCTACCTAGTCATAGGACTGTTAAATATGACTGCCAATGGGGCTTTTGTCTGACCTGGCCAGAGAAAATATAGCCGAGGGCCCCGCACATGTGTGTCTGTCACAATCTCCATCTAGGCCCTCCATTTAAGGATTTTCTTTTGCAGGTACAGGTACTCTGTTTCTCTCTTGCGATGGTGTTACATCAATATGGATTAATCAGGGCAGTATCTAAGTGGTATAAGTTTTGCCTCAGCAAGATAGCATGATTACCGCAACTCTGGCTTCACTTCCACTTACTACTTCTTGGCATCCAGACTATGCTCTGTCGCATATGTTAGCGGCTTTAGTAAACTCTGCAGGCCTTGGTTTCCGACTAATCAAAAAATTAGCCATCTAAAACCACGTTTTAGATGGAGCGTGATCCTGCTTACTGGCAGGGCTTAGCACATTTTAGATCCAATATAGGACCTTGTAAACATTTTGTGGATGCTAGGTGTGTGCAGTTATCCGTCCTAGAATATCCAATACTCTCTCACCATCGTTAATGGTGAATTTATGCTACTGGATGGAGAAACGTAAATCAAAATTCTTCATCTTCCCCGAGCTTAAGAGCTGTTCTCGATCAGTATTACGATCGTCCTGCCTTGGTCTCATGTCGCCAACACTTCCGGCGTAGAAAATACCGCATGGACGCGGACAATCCGCCCATCCTCAAAGTCGTAAAAGACATGCTCATAAAATCTCATGCGCTGCCCTGCTGCCACCCCCATGTATGGGTCCTTGGGTATCACAGTGAACTCGAGACGACAAGCAACCCGTTTGGATTCTTCGTCGACCACTAGTGTGATGGGGTGGTAGCGCAGCCCAGGAAGCTGATTAACCGAGTCTGAGATGAGTGCTTCATAGGTAGCACGGGCGAGGGGCCGGTCATTATAGTGCAGCTCATCGCCGACAAAAGCGGCCAGGTCAGGTTTCCATCCGGGTCGGTCGGCGTGGGAGTTAAGCTCTTCCAAGTAGTGGAGATAGTGTGCTCTCAGGCTCGGGGGCGACATGATGCATGAGATATAATGGGGGATGAAGAGACAGGAGATGGGAGAATGTATTTTATGTGGCAGGGAAAGGTGGCTTTGCTTGGCGGGGAGGGGGGGAGGGGGGCAGTTGGGCGAGGTATCCATGGAGATTGATCCGAGATATTGAGTGTTAATATGTCTTTTTCTGTGGTGACCGCAGAAGACTTTTTCTTGCGTCTAGTGATCTGAGAAGCCTCAGGCCGAAGACAACATCAAACTGCCTCGTGCAGGTTTTGCCTCGATGCCCCAGGTGTCATCCACTCAAAACCCACCAAATATCCCTCCTCAGCATCTCGTGTGTGTGTGATTGGCTCTGAGCATTTGGGATTAGTCATTCCCCAGCAGTGCGTGAACTCCACACCAACCCAACTGTTCATCTGATCTGGGTTCTGAGCCAACGGTCGATTCCTTGCGAGATGCGACTGCGGATTCCCGTCTCTCGGGTGGATTGGCGTTTCTGCGACTGCAGGTGCATGGCCTTCGTGAATGGCCGTCTTCCTGATTGCAGGCCTTCTCGGTGGGCTGCTGTCCAAGTCCCCGTCTTCCTTGCCGCGTGCACCCACAATTGACTTGGGGTACTCCCGGTATCAAGGGGTGTCGCTTCACAATGGTGTGGATCAGTACCTCAGCATGCGGTACGCCAAGGCACCCACCGATGACTTGCGATTCCGGGCGCCTCGAGACCCTGATCACACGGAGAACTTGCTGGACGCATCCTCGGTAAGGCACTCTCCTAATGCTCGGGAACCGTGCTCATTGAGTTAGTTTGGGCCCGTTTGTGTCGGGGTAGGGCAGTTGGCGACCGAGTCGCTAGCGGAAGACTGTTTATTCGTCAATGTCTGGCGACCAAAGAACGCCAGCTCAAGCTCCAATCTCCCGGTCTGGTTCTTTATTCAAGGGGTGGCTATGCCGTCGATTCCAACGCCAACTACAACGGCAGTGAGGTGGTGGAGCAATCGGGGCACGAGATTGTGTTCGTGAACTTCAATTATCGCGTCGGTGCCCTTGGATTCCTCGCCAGCGAAAGCGTGCGGAAGAATGGAGACCTCAACGCGGGGCTACTAGACCAGCGCAAGGCACTACATTGGGTTCAAAAGTACATCCGCCAGTTTGGAGGCAATCCAAACCATGTCGTCATCCATGGTGACTCGGCCGGTGCGGGTTCCGTGGCGCATCATTTGACAGCGTATGGTGGACAAAATACAACCCTCTTTGTGGGCGCGGTCGCCGAGTCCTCTTTCTGGCCCACGCTGAGAACGGTTGCGGAGATGGAATTCCAATATGAGCGATTCGCCCGGGATGTTGGCTGTCACTCTGCAGATGACGTGCTTGCTTGTCTGCGCGCGACCGATATCAAGACCATCCAGATGGCCAACGTTGCTCGGCCCTTCCCGGGTGGAAGCAGTGCCCCTATTCCGCTGTGGTATTTTCTCCCAGTGGTGGATGGAACTCTTATTCCTGGTCGGCTGTATAGCCTGTTTGACCAGGGGCAATTCATCGCAGTCCCGCTCATGGTCAGTGACGACACCAACGAAGGCACCAGCTTTGCTTATGATGCGACGAATCAATTAGAGGTCGCGCAGTTCATGAAAAACAACTACCCTGGCCTGAGTGGACTTCAACTCAATGCCATCCATAAGGCATATCCACGAATGAATGCTCTTCCGCAGCATGGCGCTTACTTTCCCTCTGCGGCAGCCGCGTATGGAGATTCCACGTTCACGTGTCCAGGCAATTTGATGGCGACGAATATGGCTCGTCACTTCTCGTCCAGTCAAGTCTGGAACTACCGTTTCAATGTCAGAGACCCCACTGAGGTGGCGAATGGGATGGGCGTTCCTCATGTCTTCGATCTGCCTGCGATCTTTGGAGTCGGACAGACAAACATGCCGGCATACTCGTATGCCAACTCCAACGCGGACATTGTGCCTATCACCATGGACTACTATCTCAGTTTCATCAAAGCGCTGAATCCAAACACCCACCGGAACTCGATTGCACCGGAGTGGCATGCTTGGGGATCCGGGGCGGGACAACGACTGAAGTTGCAGACCAATGCCACCGCGATGGAAAAGGTGCCCCAGACACAGTTAGAGCACTGTTCGATGTGGAAGACATTTGCCGCAGATATGGAGCATTAGATATATAGACTAGGGTTCGTGTATTTAGGCGTTTTGGCTGGTGTGCACTTCCTGCTCGACGGTATATAGATGGTTGTTGTCAATCTAAAGATCTCTCGTCTTTTCGCTAGTTGAATGTATTGTATTCACGCATCTCCGCGTGTCTGTCCCGCTCAAGAGCCCTCGGTTACCTTCGCCTTCCGCAGCACGTGAGGGGAGTCTGAGAGGGGAACGGCGATGTGCGACTGACGGCTGACTGTCTTTGTCAGGAAATCCGGGGAACATCTTTCTCCACACCGTTCTCCACCCCGGAGACCCCGGAGTTATATGTTCCTCTCAAACACAGTATATGAAGCCAACCGTGTGAAGTGCAACTGCGTATATCGGGCTGTTGATCAACAGAATGGAGACCCACCCGGTTTCCCTTCCTGCTGTGGCAGTTGAACTGATCGAGCTGATTGCGGATCTTGTCGACTCTGACGATCTGCGGAGCTTGCGTCTAGTTTGTCGTGAGCTCCAACGGAAAACATTCCACCATTTCGCCCGACGTTTCTTCTCATCCATCAAAACCGATCTCTCGGACACCAGCCTACGCCGCATCAACGCTTTGTCACGATATCCCGCCTTATGTCCCTATGTGCATAGCCTAGCATTCGGCAACTATAATGGTATCGGTCGCGGGTTGGTTTGGGATCGCCATCCTTGGGGTCCGCTATCAGCACCGCTGGAGATGGAGGCAATCCAGTCCCTGCGTGATACTTTGATGTTGAAGCTCACCAACTGTCGGTCCTTTTTCATTCTTTGTCGATACCCCGAGGGCCACCCAGACTTCAGCCATGTTACGATCACAGATGCGGTAGCAGTATTTTTTGCGTTGGTCGTCGACGCTCCTTTACCGGTCATGTCTTTTCACCTCGTCTATGCAAACAAATGTTCGCAGACTCTCATCATGGACATGCGCCGCTTGCCAAAATTACTTTACCGGCAACCCCGGTTTCGAGTCGTCTGGGGAAATTTACAAAAACTCTCCTTGGAACAATATCTCACTCTGGATAATTTCGGGTTTTTGTTGGAGCTAGTTCTCAGTACGCGGAATCTCCGAGCTCTTCTCTTAAACCTCGGCTCCCACGGCCTCGCTTATGAGTTCATGCATGAGCTGGCCGAGTCAGGCACATTTACTCGACTACAAGAGCTTGCCTTGTTCCGGACTTCGATCAGAGCAACGGATCTTCTAAAGCTCCTTGGCCGCCTTCGTGGGAGCCTCAATGCTCTCACATTCTACTACATCTCTGTGGCGTCCGTTGATAGTTGGGCTGGTGTTTTCAAAGAGCTCCGGGAAAACTTCCCAGCTCTGCAGAGGGTATCACTATCTTACCTTTGGGCCAGCACGCCGGCGAAGGGCCTCTTATCATTCCCAGATCTTCAGAAAGAGTCTATTTTATGCGACCCATCGGGCCAGCATTTAAACCTCTTTTATTCGGAGAGTTCTAGGACTACGTCTGTGTTGGGCGTTGAATATTCCGGGTCGAAGATATCGCAAGTATTGGGTCTACTGCAAACAGCCGCCGAGTTAACTTGATGACATGCGATATAGTGATGCAGCCCTGGAGGGCTAAAGGCTGGCGATGATCTCAACTATTGTAGTTTTTCCCGCAACCATAATATCATTTTTCGTTCAATATAATACCAATCTCTTCAAGCGAACCGGAAACGATCCGAAGCTGAGCAATTCTCGTCTTATAAGTCGCGTCGAAGCCACCGGTCAGAGATTGCCCGAACTTAGCAATCACGGAAACAAAAAATAAATAGAGAAAAAAAAAATGGAGAAAAGCTTTGAAGCCCAGCCCCTGGAGCACATGTTCGGCGAAAAAATTGGCACACTATAAACGGAACCTTCCGACATCTACGCCAACTTCCTTCAAACCTCGCTCGAATGTAACATCACGCTGAAGCTTCTCTCTTGGCAGACCTAATATGCTTGGATGAGTTGGGAGCCGTGTTGGCCTTCGTGGACCATTGATGTATGGGCCACTGCGTAATCTTGATCCTCCCATTTAACGGCATTGATGTCATCGTTGTACTGGGAAAGGCTGTCAGTAGGGGAAGATAGTAAAATATGGAGGGAAAGTCCACCATGATATACCTCCCAAGCCCCCCATTTATCGCAGCACTCCCATCCGGCTAAAATCATCATGCCAGTGCGATCGGCCATGTTATATAGCTCAGGGTATTCTTGATTTACTTCCAGACGAACGGTGCTGAGTCCCATATCAAGCATGTACTGAAACATCGTCTGCACGCGCTTTTCATCAAACCGGAAAAACATATCTGGCATGTAACCAGCTCCCATGACCTGGAATGGCTCGCTGTTGACATGAAACAAACACCGTGTCATTGAATCCATTAAGCTTGGAAGATACGTGGCGAATGCCAAATTGTTGAGGACGGCCAGCATCCGATACAACAAACCATCATCATGAGTAATGGCACTTGCTTGAATCGTGTATAAGGGCTGATTGCCTCAACGCGCAGTCCACCAGATTCGGGGATTGTTGATTGTGGTATTGATAGCCACAGACTGCTTTGCATTAAACTTTAAATCGAATGTGTGGACGATGTGAGTAGTTATAGAGCCATCTGGAGCTTTGATTGTGCCGTTAATCGTCACACGAATCTCTCTAGACTCATGATTGACAGAGTCAGTTCGAAGAGACACATTCACTTCAGTGGCTGCTCTGGGATTTTTAACATCAGTGATGACACGGAAAGGGCAGTCTGAGACAACTCTACATGGCGCCAGACGCCCGTGCCATTGTTTGGTGGATATGGGTTCCAGTCCACGAAGCCCATGGCCAAATCCCGAAGATAGTTTGTAGGATATGCGCGAATAAGAATGCAATTAGCGCCATTCTTGGACATGGTCAGTTAGATTGTATCGATGTCCGCCGTAGGAGCCCTGTTGTTTGAATAAAACAACTCCGTCTCGTACACGCCATTTTCAATGAGTCCGGCCATGACAGTACCACGAGCGCTCATGCGATACCATGACGAGACATCCGCGCCGGGCTGTGATAGCTGATGCACATCGTCCGATGTCGTGGCCGGCCGAAGCTTCCATCCTGGTAAGACCGCTGTTTCTCCAGGAGAAGCAACTAGAAGGGATGGGCTTGTGATCGCGGTGCAGGCACCGACGAGTGCCACCAGGATGGCGTCGAGCTTTGGTGGTGTCAACATGGGATGGGATTGTTTGGGGCGGCTGGTTGTTTTGAGAGCAAGTTGTCTGAATCTCGCAACATTTGACCTCCGACACTCATTGGAATACTTATTGTAACACTGATTTACTAGCATTCTATAACCGTGGTATTATGCCGACGGTTTGCAGTGCTCATCAGAGATCTTACTCTGGAGTTCCGCGGTTGAGTTGAATGGACTAAGCCCAGGGCGGAGGTGCGCACCTCGAAACACGATGGTCAACTGTATGACTTTAACTGAATCAACAATGCAGTTGTGTAGATGAGGTGTTGAGGATGTAACGTGCTGGTGCTTCGCTGCCTGATATAGCAGGCATAACCACTTGTGGACTGTTACCTTAGCCTGCAGGCCTACACTCTTTGAGGCATACACGCTGGAGTTGATGGACGAAATTCACAACCACATCCATGGCCTTTTCCAAGTCTCGTCGCAAATCTTGGTGGCACTGAATGGTTATCTTCTGGGCCTCTCGGAAGATGGAGACCGCAGGGTGAAGAAGGGTCATTTCCTCCCTACCGGAAAGGGATGTCCACTGCAACGCTGGAATGCGTCGACTGTCGCAACCACCTCGTTTGCGGCGACTCAATTGCATGTTTCTTCGAGTCCCTTTTGTGGCAAATGATTCGCCAGTGCTTCCAATACCCCTCGGTCGATACCCCGAATCCCTCTGACAGGGCCCCGCCAGATGTTCCTCTGCCGGCCCGCATCGTACAGCACCCGATTCAAGAACCGTGGGAGGGGGGAGCCAAAGGTTGCACCTCACCGTCCCCCAAGGTGGTTTCGGTCGGAACCGGCTGTCAATGACGCTTCATGCGACCAATGCTCAGGTACACTGACCGACATCTCCGATGTGTGGAGTGACAATGGCCGGAGGGGAGCAGGCATTGTTACCATGCCAGCGCCCCTGATGTTGTTGGAATGTACTCATACAATTCACCCCTCTCGCTCCTGTGCATCATCCGCTCTGACGTTGTCTCTGCGCTTCTCCCCCCTTTTTTTCAAGTCCTCTTCCCGGGGGATCGCTGTGCTGAACACTCCGGCTGTCAATCGGTCCCGTTTTGTTACCACATCGAGGACAATATCCCCTCGTCATGCGTATCGGCAACCATGTTCTTCGGTCATCCTGGCTGAGCCTTCTTACTACCGTTCTGCTGGGCGCGTCGACAGTGCAGTCTATTGAGCTCCAGATCGATAACGAAGGCAGGTCACCCGGCGCCAGGAGTTGATGAACACCAAATTACTGACAGCAAATCTCAGATTCTATTAAAAAAGCGGCGAAGGAGGTAGCGACCAATATGATGACCTACTATACCGGCATGAATCCAGGCGACAACCCCGGTAATCTACCAGATCCGTACTTCTGGTGGGAGGCCGGGGCCATGTTCAACGCTCTGATCGACTACTGGTTCTACACCGGTGACGACACCTGGAACGACATCACCATGCAGGGCATGCTGTGGCAGGCGGGGGACAACGCTGCTTTCATGCCCAGCAACCAGAGCAAGACGGAGGGAAACGATGACCAAAGTTTTTGGGCATTCACCGCCATGGCCGCTGCCGAACGAAATTTCCCCAACCCTCCTCACGGCAAGCCGCAGTGGCTCGAGATGGCCCAGGCGGTCTTCAACACTCAGGTTCCACGGTGGGACAAATCATCATGCGGGGGAGGGCTTCGTTGGCAGATTTTCACCTGGAACAATGGGTATAACTACAAGAACACAATATCCACCGGTGGGCTTTTCAACCTAGCAGCGCGCTTGGCCAAATACACCAAGAACGAAACGTACCAGGAATGGGCGGAGAAGGCATGGGACTGGACCACGAATGTCGGATTCATGACTCCTCAGTATCGCTTCTGGGACGGGGCCAGTGACTTGAACAATTGCTCGGAGATGAACAAGATTGAGTGGACCTATAACTCTGGGGTCTACCTGCTTGGTGCAGCGAACATGTACAATTTGGTGAGTGGATCTGGTTTGACTGTGTGGATGGTAAACTGACCTGTGCCCCCAGACCGAGGACCCCAAGTGGAAAGAGCGTACGGAGAAGATCCTCGCTGCCTCTGATGTTTTCTTTACTCATGATCCACCCAATGTGATGTATGAGCGGGCCTGTGAGACAATCAACACGTGCAAGGTGGACCAGCGATCCTTCAAAGGGTACCTCGCGCGCTGGATGGCCCAAACCACCCAGATGGCGCCTTTCACATACGATCGTGTTATGCAAAAACTCAAGGCCTCTGCACAGGCTGCTGCCAAAACCTGCACAGGCGGTGATAAGGGAACGACCTGTGGCATGAAATGGACGGACCAAAAGTGGGATCACAGCAAAGACTTTGGTCAGCAGATGGCGGCCCTTGAGGTGATCCAGGCGAATCTGATCACCCGCGTTGCTGCACCGGTCACCGACGACAACGGTGGGACGAGTAAAGGAAATCCGAATGCTGGCGCCCCTCCGTCCAAACCCAAACCTTCGGAGTTGGCTTTCGATATTACCACAGGTGACAAGGCGGGTGCAGGAATCTTGACAGCAATGGTGATCATCACAATTGGTGGATCAGCGGGCTGGCTCATCTGGGATTGAATTTTTGGTTTACCTTGTCTTCGTTCTGCTCTGTTGGCGTTCGTGGTGACTTTTCTCAATGTATGGCTTCTGACAGGGGGAGTTCTGTGAATATGGCTGAGTCTTAATACATATTTCTTGAGATGGAATTGCTCAAAGTGTTATTATTTCGTACAATGTTCTGCCAGAAGACCATTCAGCCCGGCGTGTGCTCTGCGTTACTCCCGAGTTACTGGAGATTAGTTAGCAGCGGTCGGCGTTAAGCGGAGTTGACGATCGGGTCAAAACCGCGTGGATTCATCAATGTCCCCCCCCCACATCACTTGCCTGCTAACCACTCTTAAAACTACAACAATCATTTCAGGACCTCACAACCATGGCCTCATATTTAGTCACGGGGTCCTCGCGGGGCCTTGGACTGGCACTAGTCACTCGTCTTGTTGCCTTGCCGAAGGCCGAGGTCGGAACCATCATTGCGACCGCTCGCCAGGACAACTCACCTGGCTTGAAGGAGCTGGTGAATGCATCGGCAGGTCGCATCGAACTTGTGACTATGGATGTCACCAACGAGGCCAGTGTGAAACAGGCAACCACCTTAGTAGAACAGAAGCTGCATGGAAAGGGATTAGACTATTTGATTAACAATGCTGGAGTGATGGATTGGTCGCCGACAGGATTGGAAGGAATGTAGGTGATTTTTTCCTGCAATGATACCAACATATTGACTCGGTAGGGACAATCTCAATGAGGTTTTCAATGTCAATGTGACAGCAAGTCATCTAGTGACGAGGGCTTTCTTACCTCTTCTTCGCAGGGCAGAGAAGAAAGCCGTGATCAATATGTAAGCCATGCCTGGGTATTATTTTTGTTTAAAATGAATCTAAAGGTTAACCTGGGCAGATCGACAACTCTGGGGTCTATTGCCATGGCTGAGGTCTACCAACATATGAAGTCGCCGGCCTATAAAATATCGAAAGCTGCCATGAACATGTTGACCGTGCAATATGCTCAGCAATATGCCAACGATGGCTTCACATTCTTGGCCATCAGCCCTGGTGTACGTGCCGAACTCTACACTCCTCTCACTGCCTTTTCCTGACGTTCACAGTGGTTGCGCACGGAACTCGGCAGCGCGCGAGCAGATCTGCCGGTTGATGTTGGCGCTGAGAAGGTGGTTGATATTGTACAAAAGGCAGGTCCTGAACAGAATGGAAAATTCTTTGACATCCTTGTTCCCGGGTGGGAGAAGTTGAGCAGGGCAAGGTATGATGGGGAGGAAATTCCTTGGTGATCAAGCAGATTAGCTCAAGCCTGCGGTCAAGGGAAATTGTGACTATTGGGAATACTGTAGAGCCAATCTTTTTCTTCAAGGCTCCCGTTCCGGATCCATGTGTTGATTATCAATGTAGTAATATTCCAGTTCAAACTCTGCAGCTAGACGCAGAATATGGGCCAATTTCCACCAGTATTCCAAATATCCCGGGGTGTTTAGCTGCTCGTCAATGAGTTTTGAGCTTTCTTTTGCGTGGATTGAATGGACTTACCCCGAACATGAGTGGCTACCCTCCTGCTCTGAATCGTTGCAGCCACTCTTGCAAAGCTTGGGGTGGCCAACAATTCCGGGGTTTTTGCAGTGAAACAGCACATTCTTCAATGGCTCCGTCTCAAGATCGGTCCCCTTCAGCACGTCTTTCAGATCATCATTGGTGAAACCTATTGATGTTAGAGTGATCCGGTTGATCGGAGACGCAACGCTCACCCTTGGATTTGGTGAGCTCGGCGGCGCAGTAGTCAAAACTGGGGGTGCAAGTCTTCTTGGCGAGGCCAGTGGTGGCCAGAGCAAAAATAGCCAGGGTGACAGTGGAGAACTTCATCGTGACCTTGGGATGGAGGCAGAAAGATGCGATGACTGCGAGGAGGGGAAAACCAGGGAGTTAAATCTCGTTCCCAATGGAACTCGATACCTGTGGATAATAACAAAGATTTGGCATTCCTCACCTGGTCCAAGCGGGTTGGGTTTCGATAGCTGGAGTGGAATGTGAGTCGGCATGCGGTTACGCTATTTATGGGGGCATCCATACCACACCCACGAGGATTTCGCATCTTCACAAAACAGTGGGTAATCCATATGCAGGAGCAAATTTTACGAGACTATCTCTACACTTCGGAAAGACATAAATATGGTTCAAAATTTAAATATTTCAAACGGTGTGCTTTCATATACCGCCCAAGGTACAGCACGGAAACCTTAGCATCTCAATACATACATTTCAGAAAAAGGGCATGGCATTTTCATGGTATATCTGATAAATATCACGCATCCGGGAATTGAATAAGTGGGAAAAGAAATACTAGTAACATATCATTCAATGCCCTAGTCCTACCCAGGCAGCTCTACCCAGACCACCGTGATAACATAGAACCCCGCACGAAGACGATAATTAATTTTATTAGGATCATAAACTTGATTCCATTTATTCTTCTTCTATGTATCGTGGGGCTGGTAAGCAGACCTGACGGTTGAATCCTTGACCTCATGGCACCAAACCAGAAGTCCGCAGGTTTGCTGAAAGCAATGCTCATATCATTTGGTGAAACAAAGTAAAGCCAGTTTCTCGCCTTGTCTTACAAGACCCAGGGCTCTCGCAATCCAGTCCGATTCAGTCTTACTGGCAGCATATTCCTCATGTTCTAGCAGATACACGGTCTCCAGATTTGCCAGCAGAGAGAAACTTCGCCATAATCGGATCAGGGATCGCAAGGCTGGCTGTGGCCAAGACACTTTTAGAATGCCATCCGTCGGCAACAGTGAATGCACTCGAAGCTCGCACGCTTTGCTCTGGAGCTACTGGGCGAAACGGTGGGCAGATGGCCATGAATGTCGGCGAAGAGTATATGCACCTGGCAGAGGCACATGGGGCCGAAACCGCTAGAAAAATTGTTGCATTATACTTCGCAATCTCGAAAAGATGCACGGGCTTGTTGAAAAGTACGATGCCTTACAGACAATGGACATGCAGCGGATCAAGAAGCTGCGTGTCTTCTTGGCAGATGAAACATTTCACCAGTTCAAGACTAGTATCGCGCGCCTGGAAGGGGATTATCCGACGCCAAAGGGTTTGTATAAGATTCTTGAGGCTGATTTTGTTCTCAAGGTGCGTGGATCCATTTTATTATTTTTTTCTCCCCTTCGAGGGTTCTCCCGATGCCTCGTTTCTGATCTTGCCTAGGTATACGGCGTCCGCGGCGCACCAGGGGGGGCTTTTTTACCCACAGGGACCATTTAGCCATATCGTTTGGTCAGAAAGGTGTTCGACATTTGATTGCAGAAATATCCGGACCGACACACCCGTTCAAGCCGTTGAGCATCATGCCACATCCATAGCATCCATCACCACCGTATATCCCTATTCGTTCCACACGCCGCGAGGACTGCTACGACTTGACAGTGTCATATATTGTACGAACGGTTACAGCGGCCATCTGTTACCCCGATTGCGTGGGCGTCTCCACCCCTTCAAGGACACTATGTTCGCTCAAGACCCAGGAGACTCAATGCCTAACAGGGGGCCTACTATCTCGTGGGGATTTCACCATCCGCCGTCATATGAAGCTCAGGGCAATTGTTATGGCCATGGGATATATTACCTTGGACAAAGCGCAAAGACGGGTTACTTCTACTTTGGAGGGGAGAACGCCCGGGTGGAGGAATCCGTGTCTCCAGATGATAGTTTCATGAACGAGGACTCGGTGACGCATCTACTATCGGTATTGCCGCAGTTCTTTGGCAAAGACAGCTCGCCACCATGGAGACTAGTAAGTGCTTGGAGTGGCATCATGGGATTTTCATTCGATGGTCTGCCACTAGTCGGGAGGCTTTCGTCCGATCTGTCTGGACGAATCGGCGATGAAGAGTGGATTGCAGCTGGGTTTAATGGCTATGGCATGGCAAACTGCTTGATGAGTGGAGAGGGATTGACCCTGATGATGTTAGGGAAGAACGTGAGCCACTGGCTCCCGAGCGCATACGGCACAGGAGAGAAGAGACTGGGAGAAACGTCCACAGTCTCGCGAGCGACCAAGGGCTTAAGCTCGAAGCTATAATTCATTTGGGGTGTTTTCTCCTAGAAGATTTCTCAAGCCATTACATATCAAGGATTTCAGATGAAGGACATGACTTTGAAGCGGTAGGAAGATGTCCGCGAGCTTAGTTAAAATAAGCCGTAAACTAGCTCCATGCTTCTATGGAATCGCAGTCAAACAAGGGTATCGAGTATTCTCCAGCGCCAATCCATGCAATGACAAAACAATGGAAAGCGGAGGAAAGCAAAATACAAGGCAGGTTCAAGACCGGTCAGATTCAGGACGGTTTCGTTCATACCCAAAATGCCGAACGAAATTACCAGGCAGCATGATTCGGGCGCAAAGAAATTGCGCCGATGTAAAGGCGGAAATTGTCACGGGCTGGAGCCCTGGACCTGACCACTATAGGCCGATTTGGGGTTTATCGCTCGTCAGCCGGTGCCGATGTCTCGGCAGAAACAAACTCAATCAGCGAGGGTTGCTCAGCTTGCTTATCGGTGGACGAAGGTGATTTCCAGGTCTTGGCCTGCGGGTGGGTTGAACGTAGTTCCCATGCGCCACGTCCGATTCCGTCGATGTTGCGCACCAGGTAGGTTTCGACGGAGAGGCCCTGGCGTGATATGGTAACTTTCATCTTCTGATGCTTCTCAGGATTTGAAGAAGATAGCAGGAGCTCACCCAGATGCGGGTATACCGCCTCCCATCGCCGCGTGTCCTTGGGGTCCTTTCCATCAGCCGTTAAGGCGAAGAGATCATCAGATGATATCATAGAGACGATGTCAAGCAGTAAAAGATGGGTGAGGGCAACTTGGACTTCATCCTCCACCCCAAGGCGACCAGGAGACTTAAGGTCGGGATATTTGGAAAAGTCGAAGGACACATCAAAGTTGGTTCCGAAAGGCGGCGAGGAAAGGCTTGTGCGGACGGTGATGGTGAATGAAGATTGAGGAGTGAGAAGCTTTCCGGTGAAAGTCGACTCGATTGGTGTGAGGAATTGTTCAATAACTGCCTCTACTGGGGCAGAGCGCGAAGCGTGCGGACGTTTCCACGTTTCAAAGACATCGGCATTGTACCCCGAAGTTTCAAGACCTGCCGATCGCAGAACGCCAAAGATATCTTCCAAGAAAGATTCCAGCCATCGCACGCTGGACATGTGCTGAAGATAAGCCAGAGCCGGCCGAAGAAGATGGTATTCCGGGGTGGTTCGTTTCTTGGGGGTCAGTGGCGGCGGGACTTGGGTGCGACGTCGAAGATTTTGGCGATGAGCGTAGGCAAGGAGTAGTCGAATAGAGTGTGCCAGCCCATCGGCCAGTAGAGAGTCATGCTGAGATGATTCTGGCCCAGAGTGGAAAGTGGCTTCAGTGGCATCCACCAAATCCAGCACGATTTCCAAGTCGTCCGCAGCGGGGATTCGAATGAGATCCTGTCGCAGTGTCACGCCATAGGTAGCCATAAGTCTAGCTTCTCGAACAAGCTCATGGAAGAGTTCTTCCTCGTAAACGGCGTCGCGCGCTTGTAGAATGCGGCCCTCGATCGACTCCCCGATATTGTATCCCGGGTGCGTTAACGTAGAGCCGCCAGAAACCCCACCATTTTGCTTCACTCGGACGCGAACGAAGCGAGCTTGAGAAGCAACGAGACCTCGGTCCAGAAGTAAAGCACCATCCTCGGCTCGGAGTAGAGAAGCGAGCCCACGGTCGCGGAACACGGGCGTGGCTGTTGCGGTGCATTTAGAAACAGGTCATCTGCCATCTCAAGTAACTTACCTTCAAGAAACCCATACTGCACTCCCAGTGCCTGCCTTTCGCGAGGAAGCCGGGAAACCTTCCATCCCTTGTCCTTGACGGCCAGGGTCTCGTTCCAATATCGGGTCTCCGATGCGACCTCACCCTCGAGTCTGGCAGCAGCGTTCAGCAGTTTGTTTGCGGCAGCGTTAAAATTTTGGATTCGCCATCCGCGCGAGACAGCTGAAACGTCTTTGGATGCTGTTTCTGGCTTCGGTCGAGGACTGACAACCTCCGTGTCGAGAGATCCCAGGGGCGCGACTTGTTTCAGAAACGCGGACATGGAGGTTTCGGCCTGGCGGGGGGCGTGCTTCGAGAGCACTAGTGAGACGAAATCGAGGGCAAACATGGTCTCCATGTGAGCTTGCCTATATGTTGTCAGCTCCCATTACCGGCAAAGCCTTGAGCGGGCGAACGGATAGACCGACATAGCGAATTGAGTGATCTCGGCGCGCCGCTTATACAATTGCTCTAACCGCTCGGTCATATCGAACTCTGCGCCATTTTTTTCACGCTCCTCCGCCTCCAGAACGCCGTCTCTCTCTTTCTCCTCCTCGATTCTGGCTCGGAGAACATCCTCATTGACATCCCGAAAGGAGCCCCACTGGCTGTTGATTTGGGCAATCTCCACGGGCAGAGTGTCGGGTCGCTCTCGCTTCTCGACAAGCGGACGCAAAGGGAGAGTGAACGAGTCGGCCATGGTGATGAACTCTGTCCACCCTGCACGCGTTGGGTCGAAGCTCGGACAGCTGAAGGTGAAGTTGCGGCGGCCCGAGTGGCTCACCTGTTGGGGTTGGTGCTCTGCCAGCAGTACGCCACCGCTCCCCTGACCGCCCGCGGGGCAGGAGAGCAGTAGTAGGCCCCCGGCAGATAGTTCTCTTCTTCTCTTCTGCTCCCTTCCTTTCTCAGCTTCGCTCTCCAGTCCTAGTTTCCCCTAGTGCTCTCTGAGATCACCGCAGTGACGAACAGACCACGTGGCACGAACTAAGAGTGATTCATGGATATATAATACAGGCGCGTATAGCAGTGCTTCGATTGACCATATTATTGGTATCCTATACGTGCTGTCAGCGGACTTGTATAGTGTCGATTGGCATGCCGCCATACCTATCCAGGTAGATGCGAAGGCCGATCGGACTGATGAATCAGCAACGCACGAAGTCCATAACGTAATCGGTAAGCGAGTGGGACATGTAAGCGAGTGGGACACCACGCGAAAATCGCGCTGTCTTCGCGAACCCTCCAATTTCAACTAGCTACTATGCCACCAATTCGCTCTCAAAAAGCCAGAAAATCGATTAAGCAGGAGGGTAGGGTCTTGCTAGCTATCGAAGCTATTCAGAAGCAAGAAATATCTTCAATTCGCGAAGCAGCAAGCCGATTCGATATACCACATTCAACCCTACATCGCCGCCTCGCAGGTTAACCAAATCGAGCTACTACACGCGCTAACTGCCAGAAATTGACCCAAATTGAAGAGGAATCGATTCTCCGATAGATTCTTTCTATGGATTTACGCGGAGCAGCTCTTCGGCCAACAGCTATACGAGAAATAGCTAATATTCTATTGGCTAAGCGTGGATCTACCTCTATTTAGTCTATCGGCGAAAAATAGGTCTATAATTTTATTAATCGATATAATAAAATCAAGACTCGTTTCTCTCGTCGATATAATTATCAACGCGCCAAAAATGAAGACCTAAAAATCATTTATAAGTGGTTTAACTACGTTCGAAAGACAATCGATAAGAACGGTATACTATGCGACGATATATACAACTTCGATAAGACTAGTTTCGTAATAAGCCTTACCTTAATAGCCAAAGTAATTACTCGGTCTAAATACTACGGTCGGCGATCATTATTATAATCTAGGAATCGCGAATAGGTTATAGTAATTAAGTCGATAAACGTATCTAGATAGGCGCTGCTACTATATATTATCTTTAAAGGCAAGGTCTATATTGAAGGCTGGTTCGACGATTTACCTTCCGATTAGTATTTCGAAGTAAGCCAAAATAGCTGGACGACTAATAAAATTAGCCTTCGCTAGCTTAAAAAAGTCTTTATACCAGCTACTACCAGTCGTACGAAGGGTAAATATCGGCTTCTGATTCTTAATAGCCATAGCAGCTATTTAACACCTCAATTCGATAAAGCATACAGTAATACGAATATTATACCAATTTATATACCGGCGTATTCATCGCATATTCTACAGCCTCTTGATATTAGCTATTTTGCGCCTTTAAAAAAGGTATACAGCAGCTTAGTTAAGAGGCAAATACGATGTGGTATCAATTATATCGATAAATTCGATTTTCTCGCTGTATACCCAACTACTCGCTCGTAAGCCTTTAATAAAGCTGAAACTATTTAAAATAGCTTCGCAGCAGCTAGATTAGTTCCTTATAATCCAGATCGGGTCATCGAAAAGCTTGATATTCAGCTTTATACGCCTACACCCCCCGGGAGCAGCCAGGGTAGTTAAAGTAGTCAATTCTCGCCAAAAACCCCCCAAAATTCAAAACAGCTATATCGATAGACTTTATTAATTAAAGCTCTATTAAAACATCGCTCCCATAGCCTACTAAGTCTAACTAGCGCGGCGCTAGATCAGCTTATCAAAGGCTGCTAGCTAGCGATGTATAGCGCAACGATCCTCGCGTATGAAAATAAGGATTTACGCGCAGCGAATAAGAAGCAGAAGCAAAAACGAGCTAGATCTAATCGACAGATGCCTCGAGATCAAGGCCTATCAGTCCAAGAGACTCGTGAGCTAATATCGACGGCGCACCAAGCCTCTAAAGCCCAATCAGCAGCTTCGGCAGACCTTCATCAAGCAGCTTCGCAGCCAATTCAGCGAGCGCCGCCGCGCTGCAGCGACTGCCACGAATTAGGACATCGAAGATTACAGTGTCCAAAACGATGTAATTAGATTTTTTTTGTATATAAAGGCGTTGTGGCGAATATAAATCGATTTGAATTCTATATACTTGGTAGGGTGTCCCACTCGCTTACATGTCCCACTCGCTTACCGATTACGTTAACCAACTAGTTAGTTATTTACTTTTTATTAAGCAACTTTAAGCCACCCTCGCTTCGCTCGAGCTTGTGAGTAGATTAAGTCAACCAGATTGTACATCCATATGTCCTTTTGACCAGGCTTAGATCGCAATGCGTCAAGCCGTGGGCGACTTGGCGGAGCAGTAGCCGATAGTCCGCCGAGATCTCAGGTCCAGCGGTCGGCACTTCCAGCGCGCTGGCTCCCGGTCAACCCCAGATTTGCCGTGGAGATGCGGGGGAACTTCACCAAATCTGGGGAATGGGTTTGTGATTCTTGTCATTGAGTCTCTGACGTCGGATCTTTGCCTCGATCAAAACACAAGCCGCGTAGGATATATAAGCCAAAAGCGAATGCACGGCTTCCAGTCCCTTTGGTCCGTTGCACCATCCCTGTGCCATGGAGCCGCTCCGGAAGCACTGTGGCTCGGATCTTCGTATTTTCTGGGAGCCAGTGAGCTATAAAAACCGTGAATAATCCCCCGCTTTTTCTGAAGTGATCTGCCCGAGCCTGACCTTGCCCTTGCCCCCTTGAAACCATTTGAACCCTTCATCTACCTTCTTGCCCCATGGCTGCTGTCCTCGCCGGCAACCAGCCCGTTGCGGACGAAAAGGTTCTCTCACAACATAAGGAGACCTTGATGTGGGATGTCACTCACGATGCCGCCGAGACCGGCCATGCAGCCACAGACCAGTATGGTCAGGCGCTGGTGGAATTTGACCCAGCCGCGGAATCACGACTGAGATTGAAAATCGACTTGTGTATTGTGCCGACCGTTGCCTTATTGTATCTTTTTTGTTTTATCGACCGAGCCAACGTCGGTGTGTGACAGTCGACTGTCCTCCCCCGAGCAATGTGTGACTGACCTTGTCTTCACGGGTTATAGGAAATGCAAAACTCGCTGGGTTCAACAAAGATCTTGGATTGGAGCACTACGACTATAACGCCGTTCTGTCAATTTTCTTTGTCGCATATATCATCTTCGAGATCCCCAGCAACATTGCCTGTAAATGGATTGGGCCGGGATGGTTTCTCCCCAGTATCACTTTGGGCTTTGGGATTTGCTCCGTTGCCACGGCCTTCGTGACCGACATCCACAGTGCATCCGGCGTGCGGTTTTTGCTGGGTATGTTTGAGGCGGGCCTGTTGCCCGGCATCGCGTACTACCTGTCGCGATGGTATCGACGCAGCGAACTAGCCTTTCGGCTGTCGCTGTACATTGTCATGGCACCACTCGCTGGTGCATTTGGAGGTCTGCTGGCCTCGGGCATACTCACACTCGACCATTTTGGGAGTCTCCACAGCTGGCGAATGATTTTCGCGATTGAGGGCATCATCACAATTGGTCTCGCGCTTATTGCATTCGTGACATTGACGGACCGTCCAGAGACAGCCCGGTGGCTTTCACAAGAGGAAAAGGACTTGGCTGTGGCGCGCGTCAAATCGGAGCGCATCGCAACGACGGAAGTGCTGGACAAGATCGATCTGCCCAAAACCCTGCGCGGCATTTTTAGCCCCGTGACACTCACCAGTGCGGTTGTGTTCCTGCTCAACAATATTACAGTGCAAGGTCTGGGGTTCTTCGCCCCGACCATTGTGCAAACCATCTATCCGGACACTAGCGTGGTGTCTCAGCAACTACACACTGTGCCACCTTATGTTGTCGGGGCCTTCTTCACTCTTCTTTTTCCGTTTCTCAGTTGGCGGCTTGACCAGCGATTGATCTTTTTCATCATTAGCCCACCGCTAATGATTGCCGGTTATATTATGTTCCTGGCCAGCAGGGACAGCATGGTGCGATACGGGGCCACCTTCATTATAGCCAGCGGAGCCTTTGCATTTGGCGCCCTTTGTACCGCGCATGTGTCGGCCAACGTGGTATCAGACACGGCCAGATCATCTGCCATTGGGACCACGGTGATGTTTGGGAATGTGGGGGGATTGATCTCCACCTGGTCCTTTCTGCCCTTCGACGCGCCTGACTATCACATTGGCAATGGTCTGAACTTGGCGACGGCCACAACCACTCTGCTACTGGGGGCGGGACTTTGGATGTACATGGCATGGGACAACCGTCGGCGGGATCGTATCAACGTCAACCAGGTTTTGGCTGGGTTGTCACAGAAGCAAATCCAGGATTTGGACTGGCGCAACCCGGCCTTTCGCTGGCGACCATAGTGTTTGTTTCCAATTTTGCTTGTAGCGAGCTGAAAATGACTCTCTTCTTTGTATTGTTCATTCTTTTTCAATTCCATGATCGAGTTTCTCGAACCGATCATTGGGCTGGTGTATCGGTTTAGCACGCCACAAACCAGCCCCATGTCGGTCATGGCCTCGATCACTCGGCTGATCCACCCTTTGTCCGAGAATCGGCTAATAGTGAAATTTGCCACGACCACAGTTGGTCCGTTATGGCAAGGATTTCGTTGATTTTCACCGTGAGCTAAGTGAAGTCGTAATCCTGACCCAGGGAAACTGAAAGATAGGCTGCGACGGCCCAAGCGACGTCGCGATAGTATTCATAGTCGCTGCGGGATTTGGAATATCTCTGGCATGTCCCACGTCACCTGGTTGTGTTCTGTCTCGCTGGTGCTAGTGCTGATGCAGCATTGACACTATCATGCGGGATTGGTCGATTTTACTGCCGATGTCCGGACCGAAAATGAGAAAATCCTGCGAGTAAGCGATCCTGACATCGGCAGGTCGGGGGCCAAAGACAGCGAGCTGGGTCATTGGGAAATTGAATAAATGCCTCACCTCCCAGATCCAAGGGTTGTGACCGTCTGTGCCTTTGCGTCAGGTGGACTGCTGAGGGATCGCCTCTGTCTCCCCACGCCAAGACGCGGCGTATCTACCCTATCTCCACCACTCCGAGGGGAAGCCCGCTGGACGAGCCAATAAACAGGTCGACATCAGTCAGGGATGGTTTCGCCCCCGCGATAAAAGTCTGGGTGAGCCACATGGGAGGTGGAGTGGGTCGCTGCATGCCAGCTGCCATGAGGCTTCGGACGATTTCCGAGGGGAGAGTGTATGAGCTTCACCGGGGGCAACACTGGAAACACAGAAAAAGAGAGAAAAGAAGAGAATCGAGGAGAAAATGGCCAAGTCGACAATCATGATCCCCCAAACCCTTGAGTAGCCATGAAGACCCCCCGAGAACCCCGAGATCTCACGGGCCATTGGGCCATCAGCAAACGGGGAAAAGACCCGACCCGGCGAAGCCGTCGAATGAACTGCATCAACCGCGTGCTTTCGGGATCCAAGCTCCCTTGGCGCTGCCCCCCAGTTCTTGGCCCCGATGTAATGCCGATGGTCGGGGGGACTGGTCTGGGGGAGAAGTGGAGCGTACCGAGAGTCAAGGACTGTAACCATCTCGAGAAATCAAGCGAATCGTTGCAGTGATGATTTGGTTTGTGCGAAGATGTTTCTGCCCCCCGGACTTCCCCGCATCGAGAGAGCCCTGGAGCTATTAAAGCTCGCGCAACCTCTCATTGTCCCCGTCCCCAACCTTGCTCCTCTTGTCTCTTTATTCTCCAACGTCTCTCGTGTCGACTGCTATTCACCATGGCGGGCGGAGCCAAGAAACCCATCAACATCTTTCGCCTGAAGAACCTGGGTGAGCCCAAGGAGGTGTTCAATTGGCGCCTGTGGTTTGCCGTGATCTCTTTCGGTCTCATGGGCGCCGCTCGTGGAATCGATGAGGGTTTGATCTCGGGTGCCTTTAACTCCAAGGATTTTCAACGCTACATCAACTTCGACTCTTACAGCTCCGTCGAACAAACCAACATCAAGGGCAATGTCTCGGCCATGGTGCAGATTGGATCCGTTGGAGGTGCACTCTTGTACGTTGTGTTTCTTTTCATTCCCTGGCTTCAATCTCTCTTTGGCAACTCGTTCTGATTTGAACAATGTGTGCTATAGTGCTTTCGTGGTATGTGACCGTATCGGCCGTATCTGGGCTACCCGGCAGCTGTGTATCTTGTGGATTCTGGGTATGGCCATCTTCATGGGCAACCGAGGCAGCCTTGGTGCTGTGTATGCCGGTCGCTTTGTTGCAGGCTTGGGTGTGGGACAGACCGTGGTCGTAGGCCCAGTCTATCTAGCGGAGATTGTAAGTCCTTTTATTACGACCACTCGCATTCCACTATGTTGAGCTGACTGAAATTCCCAGGCTCCCGCTGCAATTCGGGGTCTCTGCACTTGTGTCTTCACAGGATTCGTTTAGTGAGTCTTTGTCACCCTGCAAGAGGTCTTCGGGATGGGGCCGATCAACTTTGACTTGCCAAAGCCGCGGCAATGCATCGTATTCACCAAAACCTCATGGCTAGACCGAGGACGAGCTAACCATGAGTTCACATTTAGTTTGGGCATTGTTCTGGCGTACTTTGCAAATTATGGCTGCGAGGTGTGTTTGGAGATATGTATATGGGAGATCGGAAGCGGGATCGCTGACATGAGAGACAGGTCAATCTTGGAGACCACACACACAACCGTTGGGTATGAGATCAAATCAGTCTTCCTCACAAGTACAATCACTAATGTCTTTTTGCAGCTGGTCCCCACGAGTCTGCACATTATTTTCGCCGGCCTCATCTTCCTCTTGTCGTTCCTCCAGTACGAATCACCGCGCTATCTCGTCAAACAAGGGAAGATCGACAAAGCACTTGAGTACCTCTCCCGTGTCCGCAACTTGCCATTAGACCACGAGTATGTTGTGCAAGAGATGAATGGAATTCAAAGTGCCCACCAGATCGAAATGGAGGCTACCATGGGATCTGGTCCCCTGGGAGTGATCAAGGAGACATTCTTGATTCCCGCCAATCTCTACCGAGTCTATCTCACGCTCATGGCCCAGCTCCTGTCTCAATGGTCTGGTGCCGGAAGTATCACTGTCTACGCGACGGATTTGTTCAAGCTCCTCGGCATCACGGGCAACAATGAGAACTTGCTAGTCACGGCAGTTTTCGGAATCATCAAGCTCGTGGCCGCTATCCTGTGTGCCCTCTTCCTGGTTGATGTCATTGGACGCAAGCGAGCCCTCCTCCTGGGAATCACCCTACAGGCTATTGCCATGCTCTACATTGCTGGGTTCCTGACCGCGGTACCGGAGATGGGTGTGGTCGATGGCTTCAAGCTCCCGGAGAATAAGAAGGGTGCAAGTGAGGGTGCCATTGCCATGATCTATATCTCTGGATTCGGATGGGCACTGGGCTGGAACTCCATGCAATACTTGCTGACGGCTGAGCTGTTCCCGCTGCGTATTCGGGCTCTAGCCACGTCGCTGGCCATGACCCTGCACTTTGCCAACCAGTATGGCAACTCCCGGGCCGTACCAAACATGCTCCTCCCCGTTGCCGATGGCGGAATTGACCCCAAGGGCACATTCTGGTGCTTTGCGGCGGTGACCATAGTAGGTGGAATCTGGGTGTGGTTCAGCGTGCCGGAGACCGCAGGTCGCACCCTGGAGAGCATGGACCGACTCTTCGCGCTGCCCTGGTACAAAATCGGTCTGTACGGAAATCGGGATGCCGAGGAGCAGGATCAGGTTATCAACGAAAAGATGGAGATGGTGGCACAGACCGATGGGACTGCTCATCATGTCGAGCGGACAGATCCATCGTCCCGGGTATGAGGACTGCATCTGCGATATGAATTCTGATTTTTCTTTTTCTTCTTTGCCTCGGCTTTCGGATATGAAATGAGCTCCATTTGCCTACGAAATATGCGATCATGACAAATGAATTTCTTGAATCAAACCAAAACTTTTAGTTGAGTCAATCAATCAATCAATCAATAAACAGGCGACTGCCATTCGAAGTCACGCTGAGTTGTGCTGATGCCCTCGGCAAGATATACTCGGTGGAGGCGCAACAGTCGGTTATGACTGGCCGTGCATGTTCACCGACCCTCTTCATGCCTCATCTCGCTATCTATGAGTCACTGCCATGGCTGTCACGTTCTACGACTGGCCACGAATCGCCTCACTTTCCGATTTTCCAAATCAGACTGACTCTACCACGCAAGGCAGCATCTTACGGAATAGTAGGGTGATATGATAAATCGCATATGGAAGACAGCAATATGACAGACTATAAACACCGGGGCTGGCCAGATATCGTGGTGAAAGCAACATCATCAACGCACTTATGTCAACATCCATCTGTTCCGAGCCGCTGCCTGCGTACCCAGCGTCCAAATTCATCGATGCAAAGACAATTCCCGCCCGATTTCAGCTACAAAACCAGAATCCCAGCTTGATCACTGCGCCTGCTCTAGCTTGATGCCTACAGATACCGTCCCGCTCGGCGACAAGTTCTTCGAGCTTCGATTATCCGACCGAGCTGGCTGGGTATGGGATTTCGCCCGATCAATGGAAGCAGTTCACCCACCCCATTTGCGAGGAAGCCAAACTCTCGCGCCATCAGTGGACCTCGGTGGTGGGAAAGGGTCTAGGTACTCTGGCCGTGGCCAGTTTGATGGTCGGAGGTCTGGGTGCAATTCCTGCTCTTTATATTGTGCGCCATTCCTATCGTCGCCAAGAGCAGCGAAATCTCATCAGAGCAATGGCGAGCGTCGAGCGAGAGCCATCTTGCGGACCATATTTTGCACGGGAACAAGACATGCTTTCATCCCAAAGGTGTGTTGATTCGCGTGGAGCTACCAAATGAATATCTGGTCGACATGGACCAGGTGCACCTCCGGTCAAGTCGATCCTCGCGAGTGCATAAAAAGAGTCTGGAAAGGATTGGTTTACGGCCGCGCATAGTGATCATTCCATATGATGCATCGGCCTTGCCATCAACAGCCTCAGAAGGAGACAATCCCCGGCCATGAACGAACTTGCCATCTTTGTAGATCATCCGAGTTTCATTGTCTTCGCTGTGTATTCCTGGGCTGTCTTGTTTCTATTTCTCTCCAATTGCTGGTGGGAATTCTTTATGCTCCTTGGATTTGCCCTGTCTTTCATCGCCACCCGTTCTATGTCGTCCTCTTTCCTGTCTCCAGGAAGGTTGACTGTCCCGCAACAAACTGTTCTGGGCCATAGTTTGCAGAATCAGTAGCACGTTAATTTGGAGTGTCAGACGAGAGCAATTGGTTTGGTGACAGCCGATGTTCTCACTCGCACAAACCCGTTCCAATCTGGCCCAAAAATTGTATCCAAGCCAAGTCGCGCGCAAAAACTCGAGGCACAACATCTACCAGTCAGATACATTCCCTGCGGTCGGTTTCCTGCGGTATTTGGGCCAGGGAAAGGATCGAGTTGACGGGTGAAATACCTTGGCAGGTGAAGTCGTTGGCGGCACCATATAAATCAGCGTGGACGCATCTCCGCCCGTCCTGTCTCACACCAAACTGCAGGAGCCGATCTTCTTTCACCATCCCACGCCATCATGACAACTCGGTATCGCGTTGAATGTGAGTTGGTCTTCAATCATCAAGTCCCCAGCTAACAGTCCCAGATGCGCTCAAGGTACGAATCTCCCCTGTGTTGCGGGGCTTCACTGACCGGCGTAGACTCATCGGCGGGATCAACTGGTAGGCCACCGTGGACATCCTTGGGGATGGCCATCATGCTGACACTTCGGTAGATTGAATGGATTAAAGTATGTAAAGCAAATGCCTCGCGTTGCAAATGTGCTAAGCCGACCATAGGGCCTGCTGGCCGTCCCCTTTGTTCTGCACTCGCAGCCCACCGCCGTCTACCAAGAGCACCGCGAGGGGTTGCAGACCGTCGCCGCCGACACTTACCAGCGTTACGCGGAAATCATGCGGGATGTGGAAAAGCTAATAGTTGATCATAGTGGGTGCTATACACTCATGCGAGAGAGATTATCCTCCAAATCCCAATTTCCCACCCGGCTACCGCTGACCATGATTGCAGTCGCCCACCACGATCGGGATGCACCCGGCAAGTCCAAATTGAAACTTCTCGTGCCCTCCGTTGGCACCTTTTTCACTCGCTTATATCTCGAGGACGCGTTCAAGTACCAAGATGAGCAGCGCTTCATTAGTAGGCGACGTTTTGTCGCCCCCTCATTCAACGATATCCGACTGATCCTGAACTCCGCCCAGTTGTTGGGCCTTGTGCGATCTAGTCAAGTACAGCTAGTGACCTTTGACGGAGACGTGACGCTCTACGATGACGGTGCCTGCTTGACCCCCGACAATCCCGTCATCGCACGCATTCTACGCCTGCTAGAGCAGGACCGTAAGGTTGGAATCGTGACAGCCGCTGGGTACACTGATGCGCCCAAGTACTACGAGCGGCTGCATGGTCTCCTGGATGCGGTGCACGACTCAACCATCCTGTCCGCCACCCAGAAGCAGGGTCTGGTCGTCATGGGTGGCGAGAGCAACTTCCTGTTTCGCTTTGATCAGAGCTCCTCCGATCGGCTGGCGTACGTGCCGCGCGATGAGTGGCTGCTGGAGGAGATGCAAGACTGGCGGGAAAGCGATATTACTGAGCTGCTGGATCTCGCCGAGTCAGCTCTGCGAGCCTGTGCCGCAAATCTCCACCTTCCTGCCGCCGTGTTGCGCAAGGATCGTGCCGTCGGCGTCTACCCTGTCAACGGCACCCGGATCCACCGTGAACAATTGGAGGAGACGGTCCTGGCAGTGCAGAATACCGTCCAGCGCTCGGCTGTTGGGACACGATTGCCCTTCTGCGCGTTCAATGGTAAGATAAGCTCCCGTATCCACCGCGGTGATGGCAAATCTAATTTCAGCTTAGGCGGCAACGACGTATTTGTTGATATAGGTGACAAGTCCTGGGGCGTGCGTGCCTGCCAACGTTACTTTGGGGGGATCGATCCATCCAAAACATTGCATGTTGGCGACCAATTCTTATCTGCTGGTGCCAATGACTTCAAGGTAGAACAGCCTCCCTCTTTTTCGTTAAAAAAAAAATTGACACATTTCCTGACTAGGCTCGTCTTGCTTCTACCACCGCCTGGATCGCAAGCCCTACTGAGACAGTGGAATTGCTGGATGAGCTGGAGCATGCAGTTGACGGATAGTCTATGCGTATCGTTTCTATTTTCTAGACAAGAAAATCTCCATCATCAGTGGCTGTCAGGTAACAGTAGTTTATTACAGAGGATTGAAGCGTTTAAAACATTCATTCATGATCCCAAAAGGCACGTAAGATTCAACGTCATAAATTCAGTTGATCTATCTGCGACGCTACCCGGGTCGTATGGACCAAGGCTACCATGAAACACAGCAGCGGTAAAAAGGCAGGAAAAGATCAAAGCACCCAAACTCCCAGGCATCAAATGTCAACCAGATCCCCGAAGGGGAGACTGGAAGGTCGGTTGCATAGCATCATACAAGACGTGACAGACGCCCACCACTAGCTCCTCCGCACACATAAAAAAGTAGCATGCGAGGGAAAACTTTTTTTAATGGCCGGGGTCATAGTTGGAAGGAATATGAAAGCGCCCGTGGCGGGCACAATGCAGAGGGCAGAGAATAATAGAACACCCACAGGAAATCCTCAAGGGTTATTAGGAACGGAGGGCATGGAATGAACTGTTGAAGGATATGGTTGACAAAGGAGAAGCACCGTTAACATCCAGGGAAGAGAGGGAAGGGGCTTGGCCACCTGCAAGCAAGAAACCTCGATCTTTAAACCGTAAGGGAACGGATGGGAGATCAAACGGCGGCGGCATGCCAAAGAGTGATCGGTTTACGTACTCTCATAGCAAGACCAGCTCTCGTTGGTGCCTACAGCTGAACGACCGGACAGGACGTTGACCACATGTTGCAGCTCAAGCCAGAACTCCGACTTGGGACGACGACGGGTCCAGTCAGTCTCGGTCGCCTCTAGGCCCGAGTCGCCTCCCATGGGCGAGAACAGGACCTGGGAGCCCTTAATGGCGATGACAGATGCTGACAGGGGATCGGCCGCCACGGCTTCGGGTGTCTTTCCAGCATATCCCTCGATGTGCTGCATACACCGGATGGCCATACGGAGTGCACGGACTCGGTCCATTGGGGACGGCTTGCTACCCTGCTGAAAGTGGCCGGGGACAGCAGCGCGAGACTCAAATCGCCCCTTGGCCTCCTCTTTGATCATGTCGGCGATCACCTGTGTGGTATACGTTCCCGAGGCGCATTCATTGCGAAGGATGATCTTCCCTGCGCGGTTTGCGCCCTTGTCGCGAATGAAGTTGTCACGGAGCAAGTCAATGTCACGCGATAGCATCTTAATATCGATGCCTTCTTCAGGGATATACACTGCCACGGCTCCCACGGCCAGGCCAGCAGTCGTCGCAATGTAACCAGATTTACCACCCTGGGTCTCGATAACAAAAACTCGGCGGCGGGAGGAAGAAGCAGACTGTCGAATGGCATCGCAGAATTCAATGAGCGTGTTCAAGCAGGTGTCGCTGCCGAGGGAGTATTCCGTGCCGGGAACGTTGTTAGAGATGGTGGCCGGCAGGACAATAAGCGGAATCTTGAAGGCATCGTATTTTTCCCGTGCCTGGCGTAGCTGGCTTACGGCGGTAAAAGCTTCGAAACCACCAACCACAAACAGAGCATCGAATTTGTAGAGTTCGAAACACTCGGCGGTTGTTTCAATATCCTCCGACGGCAGACTGCGGTTAGTTCCGATGTCTGATCCACCCTCGTTAACCCAGCTGTCAGATTCAAGCCACTGCACCTCGCGAACCGAGCTGATGGGCTTGTCGGCGTGATGGCGGCATAGACCGGGGAATCCATTATGGATGGCGAGGGCAGTGTGGCCTCGGGTCAGGCAGTAGGCAACCGCGGCACGGGTGGCCTGGTTCATACCACCAGCGGGGGCGCCAACGTGGATGATGGCAATGCGCATCCTCTGAGAAAAGTAAGTACCTGGGGATCCTAGGGAGTTTGTGGGCTTGGGGCATACCTTGCCTTCTGGGAGCAGCATCTTGGGGTGCTCCGGGGTAGCGGTGTTGAGGTATGCTCGATGATATTCCTTGAACTCGGGGTCGCGAAGGGTCATTGCAGCGGCGAAATCTTTCGCGTGGATCTTGGACGCGACATCCTTGGTTGCTTGAACCGCCTCCATCAGAGGAGTACGCATGATTTTGTTCTCGCGGATGGTGATCACTGGCGAAGGGGACTGGGGTGTCATTTCCAGAACTGCGCGCACAGCCTCGACACCTTGCAGAGTGGACAGCCAGCGATCATAGGCGCATGCCGGTCCACCTCGCTGAGTGTGACCCAGAACGGTCGTTCGAGTGTCGAGACCCAGCCGTTGGGTCAGGATATCTTTGACGGTAGAGCTCGAGATCTTGTTCAACTGGCGATCCTGGGCTCCTTCGGCCACGATGACAATTGTGCGGCGTTTACCACGTTCCTTGCGATTCTACCATACCACCACCCTATGTCAGTAAAGGAATGAGCCACACACCAGCTGTCCGATAGACCCTACCTTGGTAATCATAGAGCACATGTCATCCTCCCATCCGTCCCGAGGGGGAATCTCCGGGATAAAAAGCCAGTCTGCACCGGTACTGATGGCAGACATGAGAGCAAGCCATCCACAGTGCCGACCCATCACCTCAATCACGAAGCCACGCTGGTGGGAGAAGGCGGTATCGAAGACATCATCAACAGCGTCGCAAATTCGGGTGAGGGATGAGTAGCAGCCGATGGTGGCATCCGTTCCAGACATGTCGTTATCAATGGAGCCAACGAGGCCAACAATGTTCAACACCTTGTAGGGTTCCACTTGCTCTGTGGTCAACTCTCCTGCAGCGATGAGGTCCGACAGCAAGGAAGGCCATTCGGCGCGGAAGACATCGGCACCAGTCAAACTGCCATCACCACCGCAGACAACCAACGCGTCAATACCGCGAAGGACCATGTTCTTGGCTGCTCGCATACGACCGGCTCGCTCCCGGAACGCCATACTGCGAGCAGAACCGATCAGGGTACCACCCCGGGACAGCCAGCCACGGACATCTTCCCAGTGTACTTGACGGATCATGTTGCCGCCATTGACCAGACCCTCGTACCCCTCAAAAACAGCATAGGCTTCGCAGTCGCAGTGAATGGCCATACGAACGACAGCCCGAACAGCACCGTTCATGCCCGGTGCATCACCACCCGACGTGAGAACACCGATGCGGCGTCTCTTGGGTGGCTCGACGGGAAGCTTAGCAAGATCCATGTTGACGGATTGAAACTCACGACCCGTGTACCGATCGTAGGGAAAAGCAGGGACAACGGAGTAGCAGGGAAAAATGACCGAATGGCGAAATGGGCCGATAAGAGCCGTCAAAGCTAATTAAGAATCGGCAGCGGAGTGGTCTCTCCCGGTCCCGGTGAGGAAAAGCGGGCAGAGAAGTGGATTTGCGTCACTGCTGAGGAGATTCTTGTTTGGGAGTTGGAGAAGGGGATGTTGTTGAGAGAGCAACCAGATAATTGCCGGAAGGAAAATGACGACAACAAGCTGTGGACCAAGCCCAGGCAACCTCTCCCCAGATGCTCCCGATGCCAGTGCAACACAAAGCAGCCAAGAGCCCGCGACGCCATTCAAACGCGCTGATGTCACCGGTTTAGCTGCTTTAGGCTTAGTGCGGGGATAATCACGTGAAAGATGGGCTGTTTTGAGTAATTAGGGCTTACGTCAAGGGTCGATGTGTCACGTGAGAGAGGCCCGACTTCCTCTTTCTTACATCCACATTGTCGTACTGGTCACATCTATCATTTTATTGGCTGCTAACCAGGATTCATTGTCTCCAGGCAATTCATATTGTTGCTTGACGTTCCCAGCTGTGCTTGGCGAGTGGTGCATCCACCATTCGCAAAGATGGTCTGCCCAGTAATCCAAATGCCCTCGATACACAGAAAGCGAATAACGGGAGCAATGTCCTGAATCATGGTCAAGCGATGTCCCATAGCTTATCCTATAGCGAAATCGACTGCCTTCGGGGATTCTTGTGAGTAGAAGAATGCTGAACCATGAGGTTAGTGAATAGCAATTCGGTATGGGACAAAGTAACAGCACATACGCGTGTCCATAGGGCCCGGAGCGATATTGTTGACATGCTCTTTCTATTATGCCGGCGTTCTACAAGCGCTCTCGGTCCATAATGATTTCTTATTTGGCGTATGATCCACTCATTCAATGCCATTCGGAATCAAATGCCGTTCTCTGGTTTCCGGTGGAAATATTGCGAAATCTGTGCAAAAAGCCACGGATAAATGCTGCGAATGGTAGCTCTGAGTCTGGTAAAAATAATCCCAGGTTAAATGAGAACGATGAGCAGGCTTTAGCATGGTTAACTATTTCTGTGATTTTAGCGACTATTCCATCAGGAGAATAAAGATATGGTAGTGTATACAGCAAGTACTTCCTGAAAGAAAGCGATCTCCGAAATAAAATATACCATACCCCTTCCCCAAGATAGGTCGTAATCCTCGTGATGTTTCTCATGCCTTAGGGCTTCTGGAGAATGGGACGTTTTCCTTCAAAGTAGATGAAGGAGCTTCTTGTCGCTGCTCTTGGCCGAGATATTTGCGGCAGTTCGAGCTTGTCACATCCGAGATAAAGGTGACACCGGCATACCCAGCAAGATTCGTGAACAGCGCATATGAGCTCTGGAGTATAAGAAGAATCGAGTTTGTGGGGTAGATACCGTCGAGATCCATGGAGAACCTAGGCGGGAGGGTCTCAATCCAAGTGAGGAATCCGTCCAGCTGTTCCCGGGTCATGTTTTCGGCAATGTGAACCGAAAAGACTGTGCGTAGCGAAGGGGAAATCGTGTTCGGGTTAACCCGTGTGACGCCAGCGAAAGAGAAGCAGACAGACACCCCTAACTTGACATGATGTGTTGGCTTGACAACCGGGCTATTCTCTCGAAGAGTCGCCATGACATCCGAAAGTCCCACAAAGTGGTGACCGTCTCGCTTGCGCCGAGCAATCTCGCCCCACAACTTTCCAGTTAAGGTATTGCGTGGTGGTGTTAGGGCCTCTGGAGTATGATCATCGCTCGCAGAAAGAATTTCGACAACACGAGTCGTGGGATTGAACGCTCGCGTCGCTATATGCGAGTTATGCGAGTAGCAGCAATCTAGGACGAAAACAGCGTCTGTATCTGCAATATCGAAGTCCTGGACATCTCCTGCTACCACAGTATCAATGAATCTTTGGAGGTTTATGCTTCGGCGAGATCGGCCTTCGACAGCAAAGAGCTGTTTCCCTCTAATCTCCCCATGCCCAGCATAGTGCATCAGAACGATGGATTTACCCGGTGCGTTTGCTGCGAGTCGGAAAACGGACCGAACTTTGTCATTCAGTGTCCAGCCCGGGGTCTGATCCTGCTCGGCCAAGATCTCAACTTCAGCTTGGTCGAGTCTGAGTGTGCTCAGGATCGCCTGAAAATGCTCAGTGTCTGCAGAAGCATTCGTGTTGTCTTGCTCCCATCGAATACTGAGCGCGAAGGAGTTGTTGTAAACTCGGCTGCGATCATTCACAGCACGAGTGATCGCGTCCTCAAACTGTGCGCGAGTGATTGTATTCATGGTTTGGTCTGCGCTGATGGCTGCCATGGTGTATTGATGGAGGTATCTTGTAAAGGTCAGGTTTGAGTGAGTTGAGAAGATTGCACGAAGAGCTGGGCGTGGGAAGGTAGTTACGCCAGTATAGTATCGGCAAGCAGCTCTAGTGGGTTTAGTAACGCCAAATGAGGTTAAGTAGCTAATCAGACTACGGCGACCCATTACGGCCAACTGCACAAAGCGTTTGGGAAACCCATTGGACGTGAGATCAGTTCCAGGCTTTTCGACCACTGTGGATATATATATATATATATATATATATACATCTATATCTATATAGTAGACTCGAAAATAGCTTCAGCCAACCATGTACCACGTCGATCACATCAGGCCACGGTCAAATATTCCCCAATCTTATGATCTTGAAGGATTCTAACCAAATTTTCTTTATTGCAACTGTGACAGGACATAAATTTCCTTGGGAAGAACCATTGCTTGTTATTCTACTACGATGTGTATATGGGTTGAGCGACTAAGTCACGTGGTCTACGGATATTCGGATAAAGGGGAGGCGACGGTGCGCAAAAGAACGCCGCACCCTGACTGCCCCAACATTACATAGTGGAAGTGCTCGGATATGACTGATACTTTTCAGTCGAAACAAGGCGGCTGGCGAATCCCCAAGGCCTGTCAGGAATGCCGCAAGCGCAAGATCCGATGCAACGGGCTTAACCCGTGAGTCGTCCACGACATTCCCGGAAGAAGCCGATCTAATTTACACCTAGCTGCAAGACATGCGAGTTGCGAAATACAGATTGTGTATACCGTGACTTTATTCGTCATCGAAGGAAGCAGCATGAATACCAGGTGCCCCAGGGAAGTCGACCTCGCCATACCTCGCCAGGCATCATGAACTCTGGAGAACAGAACTCGGTCATGGAGAATTTCCCCAACAGTGTCTCAGCAACACACATGGCTAGTCCATCATGCCAAATGCAATTGTATTATGGGCCGACGTCGCATTTCTCGCTCATGCAACATGTCTACCGGGATCTTTTCTCGCATCCGACAGCCCAATCCGAGCCCGCAGGTGAAGTTGACGAAGCGGGGGCAGGGTTGGACTTGTTCAGCTTTCGCCGCATCTTCTTCGGAACACCCGATACTCACGAAGGAGGAAAGGGAGGTGGTCCTGGCGACGTCCCAGTCATGTTTTTGCCACAGGAGCTTGCCAGGCTGTTTCTCTCTCGCTTTCTGTCAACTCTCTACCATATGATGCCACATCGTCCTAAGAGCTACCTTGAACAGCTTTTGATACAGCTTTATAGCTCATCGCCTTCCACCCACCCGGATACCCTAGCCCAGGCCATCCTTTTGCTCGCACTGGCAACCGCTTCACTTGGCACGGAGTATTTTGCCTGGGGTGACGTGCTGTATGAACGGGTCAAAGCCTCTCTCGCTGCCTTTGATGATGTGGTCAATCTTCAAACTATCCAAATCTCATTGCTCATGATAAGTCCAGTCTGTTGAATCCCACTTGGTCTACCCCCTGACAGGCTTGCGTCAATAAGCCAACTTCCAGAACGAACAAGGCCGGCCTAACTCAGCTTTTCTTCACCTTGGATCTGCCTCCCGCAAAGCCCTTTCCGCCGGTCTACACAAAGATGTGCCCCACAATGACGTCCAAACTCAGGAAAGTATTGAGGAACGCCGAATCACGTTTTGGTCTCTATACCTTTACGAAACGTTGGTTTGATCTTCTCGTTATCGAGGGATGTTGTTGATTTGATTTTAGGTGGTTTTGCTTTCACTCCGGACGACCTAGTTCCCTGTCTTTAAAGGATGTTGCAATTGAACCTGCGCAGGACCCGTTTGTTGCGAGGCTGGTGGGGCTTTGCAAAACCATATCTCGATCAACCGATGAGATCTACAGCCAACGGCATGAATCCTTACTTCATATGTGGAGAGTCGCTCGCTCGATTAGGGAAGATCTTCACGGACATGAAGCACACCTTGAGCAGGAACTGGGCTTTGGCTTAGATGCGACAATCCGGTCTGGATCCCTTGGGGTTCAACAAACAATATTTACCACCCGTAAGTTATTCTGTCAATCGATTCCCCTCGTTCCCGAGCTCAATCAAAGCAAGTCTATTATCACACTCTTCTTTTGACTTTTCGCCCATTCTTGATCTTCCGTGGTCACTGGCAGCGTGATATGAAGATGCATATTCAAGAATACAATGATCGCTCCGCAAAGCGCCCGACAGAAACTCCCCCATGGCTTCATGAAGCCTGCAACTACGCGCTTACCGCTGCCCAGAAAACAATTCACCATTTGTGCGAGGCTTCTAGGGTGAATGATCTAGTTCGGGTAATGATTTCTTTTGTCGAGTGGCTATTGTGCGCCTGGGATTCCGCACTAACCGAAAAACAGCAATTACGGTATCATGGATATTTCATGGGCAGTTCCACTTTTACGTTAATCTACGACTTTCTTCATGATCCAAAGGTCGCACCCGTTCATCTTCCATGGGTGTATGCGTCTTTGCAGAATCTCTCCACTATGCGAGCTGGCGAGCCCATCAAGAGCACCATTTCGGCTATCCAAACTGTTCTCAGGAAGATTAATCCGGCATACGAATGGACCATGTATCCCAACGAAAGGAGTCGGGATGCTCAGCCGGAACAGACTTCGCCATCACAGCAGACAGGGGTCAACGACAATCATCCGGCGCGTTTCGCCCCTGCTTTGCTTCCCAATCAACCTCAGGGACCGAAATTCGACTCGCCGACGTCACAGTGGAATCTTCCGGCATTGGAAATGCCAGAAACAGTGGGCTCTGGAGGCTCTGGAGAAGATTTGCTTGATTTTACGCAGTCCGACATGGGTTGGGATTTCGATTTTTCTACCATGGACCTCGAGGCCTTCCTTTCCATTCATCAGTCTCCAGATCTTCCGATTTCCTGATGGTCTGTATCAGATGTCAGCTATACTTTGCCTGGAATTTTGGTTATCGCGCCAACTAACATTTAACGTGAGGATGACAATGTAAAACCTGTATATGTTCGGTGCCTGGGGTGTTTTTCCCACATAAAATCTTATTGACTATAGCGGACAATATTTACTGAATTCATCGGCCTGCGGTGTACAGGAACCCTTGTCAGGTTCAGGGTATCACGACCAACGTACTAGTAGTCTATATATACCTCAGAAACGAATTCCTCTTGAGACTAATTCACGATTTGCCACACAGGTGGCATAGGCGTATAGTCGAGAGGATTGTGATCTGTCCCAAGTTCAACTGTAGTACTTCTCCGGGGTCGTTGATGCCAAAGGCCGACAGCTGAAAATGGTAGGGCTGCCCAGACGCCGCCTGAACAAAAACATATTCCCAACCAAGACCCACGTCTCGGCAATACGGATTTAAAAACGTACGGAGCGGATAAAGAACAAGCAATACAAGAGCTAGCTGCATTTTAACGGTCGTAAATATCACCTAGACTTGTTTTTCTTTTTGCCACGAAGGATTTGACAATACTTACTGGTTTGAGGGGTTATGGAAAGTCTCAAGACAACCAAGTCAAAGATAAGAAGCGACACCACCCACTTTCTGTGGCCAATATCTTGGTCAAAGCCATGGAAACACCATCTTCGGGGATTGCAACCCCGGTTGACGTGGAAAAGGGCAAGTTTCATCAACGAAAGCGAGTGACGGTCACTTTCCGCGACCTGAACGTTCGAGTGACGGCACCAGATGCAGCCTTGGGTAGCACATTGTGGTCAGAGATCGACCCTCGACAGCTTTGGAGCCTTTGGAAAAGAGCAGAGCAGCCCAAGCGGGTATGAAACCTCACGTTACAAGGTGTGGGCTGTCATGCTGATCTAACGGGCAGGTAATCTTAAAGAATATAGGTGGCCAGGTCAAACCAGGCGAAATGGTATGCTTGTTTTGTCATGGTATCATATCATCGATTGCTAAGAAGGACAGATGCTGGTGCTGGGTCGTCCGGGATCTGGTTGTACATCCCTCCTCCGAGTTCTCTCGAATGACCGCGACAGCTTTGACGAAGTCACTGGCAAAATCCACTACGGAAGTATGGACCACAGAACAGCTAGTCAGTTCCGCCAGCAAATCATGTTCAACAACGAAGGTATGCATATTTGGTTAAGTTATTGCCAGGGTATAGACTGACCGACATGATAGATGATTTACACTTCCCGACCCTCACCGTCAATCGCACCCTGAAATTTGCGCTGCGGAATAAAGTCCCCAACGAGCACCACGACCCTTCCAAGACCCCAAAAACATTTGTTGAAGAGAAAAGAGATGGCATCCTTGAGTCTCTTGGAATTGGACATACTAGGAAGACTCTGGTGGGTAATGAGTTTATTCGAGGCGTATCGGGAGGTGAACGCAAGCGTGTATCCTTGGCCGAGGTCATGGCTGGTCAGGTACGTTCTTCCCAGCTTGAGAGATGACCCGTGGGATATGATAGCTAACACGATGGCCCAGAGCCCGGTGCAAATGTGGGACAACCCGACCCGTGGCTTGGATTCCAAGTCTGCCGCGGAGTTCGCACGCATGTTGCGCTTCGAGGCCGACAAAAACGACAAGACAATCATTGCGACCACATACCAAGCAGGGAATGCTATATATGACCAATTTGACAAGGTCCTGGTTCTGGCAGAGGGCCGGGTGATCTATTATGGCCCTCGCAGTCTCGCGAAGAGTTATTTTGAAGACCTTGGGTTTCTCTGCCCAAAAGGTGCCAACATCGCAGATGTATGTGATTTAAAACGCCACGCAGATTGAAGTAAAGTGCTGACTGTTCTTACTTTCCAGTTTCTCACCTCCGTAACTGTCCCTACCGAACGCGTCATTCGGTCGGGATGGGAGAAGGACGTCCCCAGCAATCTCGAAGAATTCGAATCTCGTTACTACCAAAGCTCAATCCGCAGAACCCAGATAAATGTGATGGAGCCACCCGAGACATTGGCTGCTGAGACGGAAGAGTTGAAGTTAGCCGTCGCTCGCGAGAAGAGAACGCAACATGTTCCTCGGAAACAGAGTGTTTATACGGCAAGCTTCTGGAATCAAGTTGGCACTTGTGTGCGCCGACAATTCCAGATCGTGTGGGGAGACAAGTTCTCGCTGCTCGTTAAGATATCTTCAGCCATCATCCAGGCCCTTGTGTGTGGTAGCCTCTTTTACAATCTGCCAGAGGACAGCACCTCCATTTTCATGCGACCTGGTGTCCTCTTCTTCCCGGTACTTTACTTTCTACTTGAGTCCCTGTCCGAGACTACCGGCTCCTTCATGGGACGTCCAATCCTTGCACGGCAAAAACGATTCGGCTTTTATCGACCAACCGCTTTCTGCGTTGCCAATGCCATCACGGACATTCCAGTGGTGATGGTTCAAGTTACCTGCTTCTCGCTCATATTGTACTTTATGTCTGCATTGCGAATGAATGCGGGACGCTTTTTCACCTTTTGGGCCATTGTCATTGCACAGACACTCTGCTTTATCCAACTGTTTCGTTCAGTGGGTGCGGTATGCAAGAGATTCGGAAACGCATCTAAGGTATCCGGTCTGTTATCGACCGTGTTTTTCGTCTATGGAGGTGGGTACTCTGTCAGTCCACATTGAGACATGCGCTAACTCGAGATTGACAGGATACCTTATCCCTTTTGACCAGATGCACGTCTGGTTCCGCTGGATATTTTACCTCAACCCCGGCTCTTACGCATTCGAAGCTCTCATGGCAAATGAGTTTGTTGGGCGGAAGCTGAAGTGCATTGAGCCAGACTATATCCCATACGGTCCAACTTACCTGGACTCTGCTTCTCCACATAGGGGATGCTCCGTTCCAGGAAGCGATGATCAAGGAATCATAGATGGAGCTGCTTACATTGGAGAGCAGTACAACTACTCGTTCCCTCACATCTGGCGGAGCTTTGGAATCCTTGTTGGCTTGTGGGTCTTTTTCATCTTTCTCACTTCGGTTGGCTTTGAGTTGCGAAACAGTCAGAGTGGATCTTCTGTTTTACTTTACAAGCGTGGAAGCCAGAGGAAGCATGTATTGGATGAAGAAAATGCTTCACAGGCTACACGATCAGTTCACACAGGCTTTGGTGCAGCGTCCACGAGACAGTCAACATTTACGTGGAAAGATCTCGATTACCACGTGCAATTTCATGGGCAAAAGAAGCAGCTCCTCGACAAGGTGTTTGGGTTTGTCAAGCCAGGAAGTCTGGTTGCACTGATGGGTGCCTCGGGAGCCGGCAAGACAACGTGAGACTCGATTTCTACCTTTCCTGTCCCTGTCTGTATTGTCCAGCTGCTAATCTAGGTGACCACAGACTGCTTGATGTTCTTGCCCAACGCAAGGATAGCGGAGAGATCTATGGGTCTATTCTGATTGATGGTCGGCCACAGGGCATCAGTTTCCAGAGAACCACAGGGTATTGCGAGCAGATGGATGTGCACGAAGCAACAGCCACCGTTCGAGAAGCGCTTGTCTTCTCTGCCGTTCTACGCCAGCCATCGAAGGTTTCATATGAGGAGAAGATTGCTTACGTTGAGCACATAATCGATCTTCTGGAATTACATGATATCAGTGAAGCATTAATTGGAGGTATTTCCACACCTTCGCATGATCTCTCAGGGGGCTTTACTAACAATATCAGCCCCCGGTGCCGGCTTGAGTATTGAGCAGCGCAAGCGCGTTACCCTAGGCGTCGAGTTAGTGGCTAAACCCACTTTGCTCTTTCTGGATGAGCCGACTTCGGGGCTTGATGGGCAGTCAGCGTACAACATTGTGCGATTCTTACGAAAGCTGGTTGACGGTGGCCAGGCCGTTTTGGTGAGGGTTGAATGGCTAGCTACATATATCCCTCATGCTAACATGTAGCAGTGCACAATTCATCAGCCATCCGCAGTTCTGTTTGATTCATTTGACGGCCTGCTCCTCCTTGCAAAGGGTGGCAAGATGTCTTATTTTGGAGAAAGTAAGTCACAATTTGATATGTCTGTGAGCTTCGGCTGTGCTTTAGGGATGTCTGACCCGTCAAACTATAGCTGGCGAGGATTCCACCAAGATTTTAGAGTACTTCGCCCGCAACGGAGCCCCGTGCCCACCCGAAGCCAACCCGGCGGAACATATTATTGACGTGGTGCAAGGAGCCAATCCGGGAAAGGTCGACTGGGTCGAAATTTGGAAAAACTCAGAGGAGCGCCACCAAGCGCTGGAAGAGCTCGAGTCTTTGAATAGATCCTGCGAAGCTGACCTCGATTACATTGAAGATACGGCCGACTATGCCACCTCGCATTGGTTCCAGTTCAAAATGGTGACCAAGCGTCTCACGATCCAGATTTGGCGATCCCCGGTATGTCTACCAATGTAAGATTGATGGAGCTTTTCATTAACCGACAGCAAAGGACTACATGTGGAACAAGATTATCCTCCATGTCTTCGCCGCACTGTTCAGTGGTTTTACTTTCTGGAAAATTGGGAACGGAACCTTTTCATTGCAGCTAAGGTTGTTTGCCATTTTCAACTTTATATTCGTGGCGCCCGGATGCATCAACCAAATGCAGCCATTTTTCCTTCACAACCGTGATATCTTTGAGACTCGAGAGAAAAAGGTGAGCTTGATTCTTTATATATCGATTATTATACCATGGGACTGATTCTTCGCAGTCCAAAACATACCATTGGATCGCTTTCATCGGGGCTCAAACGATCACGGAGATTCCCTACCTCATTATTTGCGCGACGTTGTATTTTTTGTGCTGGTACTTCACCGCTGGATTTCCCGCAACGCCAAGTATTGCAGGTCATGTTTACCTTCAAATGATCTGTAAGTGTCTGGCATACATCCTGCGTTCCGATGTAGTTTTGCTGTTTCCTCGATATTGGTCTAACATTGAACACAGTCTATGAGTGTTTATACACTTCCATTGGCCAGGCCATTGCGGCTTATGCACCCAACGAGTATTTTGCTGCTGTGATGAATCCGGTTTTGATCGGGGCCGGAATGATCAGTTTCTGTGGCGTGGTGGTCCCCTACAGCCAGATGCAACCGTTCTGGCGTTACTGGATTTATTACCTGGACCCCTTCACCTACCTTGTGGGTGGACTTTTAGGTGAAGTTCTGTGGGACGTCAAAGTGGCCTGCGAGCCATCCGAATATGTCCGTTTCAGTGCACCGTCTGGGCAAACGTGCGGGGAATATATGGCCGAATTTCTGGCATCGCAGGCTGGGTATCTGCTAGACAAGAATGCCACCAAAACATGCTCATTCTGCAAATATTCCAGCGGAGCTGACTATGCCAAGTCCTTCAATCTCACAGAAAAATACTACTCGTGGAGAGATGTGAGTATCGGCCCAGAACGAAGGTGGTTCTTGCTAATTATATGGGACTTATTTAGACTGGCATTACTGCCCTGTTCTGTTTCACTTCTTACGCGCTTGTGTTCTTCATGATGAAGCTCAGGAGCAAGAAGACAAAGAGTGCTCGGTCCGAGTGATGAAACGGCCCTTAAAGATGGTCTTGGGCATGGCTAGCAGGTGAATTTACACTTTCGTTCAACAAACTGTTACGATAGAATCAGGGAGCACATCTCAAAGATCAGGTTAGAACACCCAGCGACTTTCCACTTGCCTAGAAAAGTGGATGTGAAAGGAAATGGGTCGTGGAGAAAACATGCCTATTTTCTCTTTTGGTGCAGTGTTTTCTTACCTTGGTCGAAATGCCCATAGGTGAGATGGTGGGGTTATCGGGCTGACACTTACGGAACTGGCCAGTGCAAGTGAAAGTCATTGCGCAAAACATCAGCACATGGATTTTGTGTCTCGTAGTTCATTTCTGTTGAGGTTACGGTCCTTGGGTGGCCCTATGCGTCGGGTCGCTGGTACATTGGGGCCGCCCTACACCCTACGCATCTCTAACCGAACCCACTCGTCAGACCACGAAAAGTCCAACAAAGAGAGTTCGACAAGGCCACTCGGGATGCGCCATAAACCCTGACGGGCTAAAATTGAGGAAATACATGCGTATTAGTTTCACTTCTTCGCCCCGGACAGCCCATGAACCCCGCTCGTTGGGGCAGGTCTAGATATTCACTATTCACTGCTTGAGGTCGTTGAAGCCATGAGGTCACGCAGTTAAAATGAAAAAGAAGTTGGACCTATAAGAGAGTCATCATCCAGGAAGCCGAAACCTCCAAATTTTACCCATTCGTCCCCCCTCCACTCGACATCGCCTAGTGTTTTGTTTCGACTTGAGAAACACCATGCACTTAAATCTTGCCTCCTTGCTGGTATTCGTTGTTGGAGCAACCGCTTCCTACCGTGTTTCTGGGTTTATCGATAACGGCTGCTTGGACGATGGCGAATTCACGAGTGCTGGGAATGAAGATGATCAACAAATCGGGGAATGTCAACACTTTCATCGTCCTGCCGACTCCGTCATGGCATCATGGGCTGATCAAAGTCGCAAAATCACCATCTATACGGATTGCCATTGCAAGGAAACCCCCTGAAAATTGCGACGCATTGACCCGAACGAGGACTTCGGCAGAGCCTATAAGTGCCTCAACACGGCGAGGAAACACCATGATGATAGCAACGAGCCAAGCATCCGAGGTCTCGGATCTTTCCAATCTTTTAAATATGAGTGAATAGGATATCACAGGTGAGGCTTTGGACATTTATGTACTGCTTATTTGGTGGACGAGGTAATCATTAACTCCATTTATTGTAGTCGACCTATTCCTCGCACAACTTGAGCACGTCGCCAGATGCCCTACAGTACTGGGTATCAAGTCAATGATAGTGGTTGGCGGTGGTCATAAAGCATGAAATGTTTCCTAGTTTTATTTTATTCTAGCAAAGTTTAAGCACATTAAGATTGAGTGAAACGCCTATAACGTCAGGTTCTGTTATTTCATCTTCGTCTAAAGGAAGATGCGGTTATTTTTACCCTTATCTCTGCGTTGAAGCTCGCGGTGAAAAAAGCGATTTTTTCCATGTAAAAGGGCCCATATAGAGTGACAATAAAATCTTATTGTGCGTAATTGATGGGTTCCACAAAGAGATAGATTGGGCTGATATGCCCAGCGTTTCTTGGGGAGTTGAAAATGCAGGCTTTTTGGGCCCTTGAGCTGCTTCCATCCGCCGTAAATACTTCTCAGTTGATCGATATTCCGAACCTAAAGCCATGAAATAACACATATCAATTGCCCTAGTCACGAGCTGGGCCCCATGATTTAGCCCCAGCCCCAGCGTCTAGTCCATAACCTTTCCGTTGACCCTCGTGAGCGTCTGACCCGCTCTTATGATATAATTTACAAAGCTGTGTGATCAGCGGCTTGAAAGAAAAGCCATTGGGGCAAGATTGTAAGGCCACAAAGGATTACGGGTGCTTTTTGGCAAGGTGCATAGGGATTACTTCACTGCCCCTTGCCCCGACTTTCACGCCCTACCTATCCCTAATTAATGGTCTAGCCCTTTTCTATAGGCTATTATCGAGTCTTATGGGCTAGAAAAGTCTCGTACTTTGTGCGAATACTCACACTAGTTGGCTGTTTCTAGATTGGGATGTTGGGTTTTCAGTCTCGTCTCGCCTTTCTTCCGCTGATCCAACCCCTACACTATCATGAGCAGGAGCTGGATAGATTGGACGGCGGTTTGGTAGAACCAAGAGATGCTTGAGAGGTGGTTGTCTTGATTTGGGCAGCGCGTCTTCCAACCCGGAAAATGTATTAGACAGGTAATTCCGCACCTTATGCCAGAGGCCACACAGTCATTCAATACTGGTCGAAAAAGATGTATTGATCGCCTGAAATACGATACTCAAGGGTCGGGCTGTGCGATTAACGCAAGTCACTATTACTCAATATGTTTCGAGAATAGCCGCGAATACAGAACCACGCCTCCAAAGTCTGCTATCTACTTCTGTGGCGAGGAAATTACATGTTTCGTTTCTCCTTTTAATTCTTCCACTCTTCATAAAATAATCATGCAAACGTATTGAAGGAGTTGAACAGCGGGCAAGGCCCATATCAACTTCTATGGGGCCTACTCCAGTATGCCATGCTGATTAAATCCCACTTGCTGCAGTCCCTGCTGGCCCTCCCATGGCCCTTCCCGTCCCGACGGAGATGCGTAAAGAGAATATCCGCCCTATGTACATTGAAAACAAAGTTAGGCTCTGGAGCAACGTGGGAATTCGATGTATGAAGAGCGGCTCACCGGATCCGTCATTCCTGTCAGACTCGGGGCTATCTCGGAATTTGTAAATGGACGCAAGATGTCCTGGGAGGGCTGTTGAGCTGGAGAGAGAACGGGCACGGCCATCACGCTCCTAATGTAACGATCAATTCCCGCTGCCAGCCTCAATGAGAGTGATGAAAGATGGTACTCCTGGTCGGGCAAGGGGATATTTTGAGCGGATGGGAGCCACGGTGGAGTTGAGGAACTGTTCAAAGAGTTCTGATCATCCAGCTCTAAGGTGTGGGTCGGGAATTTCGAACACCGTAAGCACAGGGTGGACGGAATACTTGAGTCGCTTCCTGTACCCATCTCATCATCGTTTGCGGTTAGTCCGATACCCGAAGACACACTAGAATTGCTCGCATTTGGCTGAGCCGGGTGTGGCCGTGTGATGGGAGCTGAGCATGACATGTTTGGAGCCCGAGAAAAACTGAATGGACTGTTAGGCCAGATCGAAGGTCTTGGAGACACATTGATACCAACCGCCGTGTTTTTGAATTGGTTGTTGAGCTGGGATGAGGTGCAATCTCAGTGCATCCATTGTGAGTACATTGGGAGTGCTTTGTAAAGCTCTGCCCACGTATTACATGATGGCCTAGGCCATGATTGCCGGTTTCATGCCGTCTCCTGTGCTCAGCTCTGGTGAATACCTACGGGATCAAGGTCAAACTCAGATCTCTTTTCAAACTAATGAGAATAATTGCTTACCTTATCGCATCCTGGGTATTGGCAGCCATGAACACGTTTTCCCCTCTTGGCTTTGCTGATGCGATTCAACGAGGGCTGCTGCGAAGAGGGTTGAGGGAAGGGAAGACTGGAATTGAGCGGGGGGTATCGGTGTTGGTTGTGGTGCCAATCGAGAGATTTGGTCGTATCGAGAGATGACTTGAGTTCACCGATGAGCTCACCGATGGCTTAAAATCAAAAGGAATATCAAACGCAGACATGATTCGAAATCAATGGTTGAGGAACTTGACCACGGGAGCCTCAACTGGTGTGCAGAGCTTGTCTGAAACGAACAATTCTTTGTAAAGATGCTTCAGAGTAGTTGCAATGGCAGTTCTTGTAGGGACCGAAGACTCGATAGTGTAACAGAAATCCAACATCCAACAAAAGAATGAGGACAATGGAAAGAGGGGGCACAGTCCTATTTCTATTCAGAATACGCATTATCTACTTACGCGGAGGGGCCATAGAGATCAGAGTAAGTAGGCATCTCCGAGAGTAGTTCACCTAGTAAAAACAAAAAGAATGAAATATTCTGAAACCGCTAAGAGTATACCCCGGTCATGGTATCATTATAACACCAGGGATACAAAATCAAGGCTGATCACACTGGTGGCCAACACCGCCCCGCCTTGTTGGGACGACTGTAGCGGTATCCAGGATAGAGCAGAATGCGGCTTTTACGACAAGCGCTTAACAAGGAACCATGAGAGGGCGATCCACGATGCTTCGAATTTGGAAATGAAAATTATCACCGTATACTACTCTGGAACAGGCTTGGCTTGGGTCATAGAACTCCCGGCCTTGTGGTGCATAAATACGGATTCGTATGTCCTCGCAGAAGTTCAAAGGCCACTAGTCCACTGATTCAAATGTAGCCGCGCAGGATTTAGGGTCTAAGAGTCTAAGCTTACTTGGCAGGGAGACTTTTATGGGGCTATTACCCAGAAGGTATCAAGCGCATTATGTGGTCTTCCTGCGGTAAAAACTAGCCGTGCCAATCAAAAATTCGATAGAAGAAACCCAGACCAGGATGAGCGCCCGCCGGGAAGAGGGGCTACTGATTGAGAATAGTAATAATTGGTCTGTGCCTAGCTGATCTGCACTGGAAAGCGCTTAGATAGATTTCGACTACACGCCTAGACAAACATTCGGCCATCAGGGAGACAGAGATTTGCTCCCTTTTCTCCTAATGTGTCAAGGATTTACAACTGGCGCAGGTGTATTGCATGGCTCCACTTGGTGGTTCCGCTGATTACCCCCCGCCCCGGAGGGAGGCTTTGGGCCACTGGCGAGTGCCGCAGAAGTTACATCGTGCCCGATCTAAGCGAGGATCTCGTTTGGGGGTCGTTTTGCTCGCCTGGATCTATGTGATACGGGATAGTTTGCGGCAATTTCATAGCATGCGGCGGTGATCGACGTTGCGATTGCCCGGCTATACTACAGCATGGAACGAGATCACGAGCGCGGGATACCACGAGCCCGCTTGCCTGCGGTCTGACTTGGGGTGCTCACCCCAGAAATCCACCCTCTTACGTTAGCTCCGCTTGGCAACCTGTTCGTGGTCTTGGTGGTTCTCGACATTGCTTATGCTCCCCGTCATTACTTTGCGCTGGGTTCACTTCATTCTCGGGACCGAGAAAATGATACATAAACTCTTGGAAAGAGTTTTTCATTCTCCACAGCGAGTGAAATGGCAGTCAAAAAAAACCGTGGTCTTCGTTTATGAACTGGTTATGAATACTACAATTCCTGGCAGGTGAAAAGGCAAATTCATAGTAGAATGATTGAAAAAGAGAGATGACAGATGTTGTTGAACAAGCTGGCTGAATATGAGGAAGTGCGTGACAGAATCACAAGGACCACGATGAGAAACAAAACTCGGCACATGAGCCTGGTTTCTCTGAAGCCTATCCATTCATAGAAATGCCGAAACTAAAAGACTGAAGAGCAGATTGGACAGAGTTGTGGCTTCTTTGGCACGGGGGGCAGCCCCAGTACTGGCGGTAGGCGCAGTAGTAGCTGGAGGGGACGGTGGCGGAACTAAGGTCTGACTAGGGCGGAAGACCGCAGGAGATGGGTCGAGATCATAAGAATTTGGCAGAGTCAAGTAGAGAGGGCTGTTGATAGAGGACACCAGAATATAAATTAAACTGAAGAAAGGCAGGCCGAGCTCGATGTTGGAATCATTTGTCTTTTTCGTGGTACAGCGAGCCTTGTCTCCGGAAGGAAACGCGGGAACGCGGACTTCGAAGGGGGCTGGTTCTTCCTTACTGGCTGTCGTGACATTGAAGGTAATTGAATAGTTCGATTGGCAGAGGTTACTGCCACGAGGGACAGTGATGCTATCGCTGCTGAAGTTGAGTCTTGCACGCAGCTGTTCTGGATGACCTTCAGTAATTGCGAGGCCGTTATGTGTCGAGTGTTGGTACTTTTGGATAGTGACATTTCCGGGGATTTCCACCGTGCCGCTTTGTAAAAAAGCGCCATTCTCCGAACCAGGTAGGATATACCATTGTCTAGACCCGACTCGATTGGCATCATAACTAGGAGCAGCTCCGCCAAAGAGGAGAGACCCTTTGAACCTGCCCTTCTGGCCGACGTTTAAGGCAAATGGTACAGTGAGAGTCTGGAAATTCTCGTTGTTGTAGATCCAGCCGGCATTCTGAAGGACGGAGCTGGGTCCGAGATTCAAAGCGTCTCCATCGTTGGGAAGCAATGGATAGAGGGTGTTATATTTCCAGCTCCCAAATGTCAATGTAGAGTCTTTGAAAATAACAATGTCGTCATTTGAGTCGTGGACCGAGGGGAAGGATGTATGATTGTTCACAGATACTGGAAGGACACCAGTGTCCACATCGTCTAAACGAAAGCTGTTTGTCTTGACAGTTCTTGCGCCCCACGAAGAGATAAGAGTATCAAGCGGTTCGAGGATAACTTGATAGACATTGAGGGTCTCTTTCGGGGCAGTAGAGGCCACCACGGTTGGGTTAAATGAAACTCCTGAAGTCACGAGGATGGGTTTGAAGGACGACTGAGCGCAAGTCAAGCCCACCAATGCAAAGATTAAGAGAGTGGACAAAAAATAAGGCATCTTGAATGGAGGCATTTTCAAATGGATAGGGATGAGAGATGAGAAGGGGAAAGAAGATGAAAAAGGGGAAATGAGATAGAAAGGTGATTTTGTTGTCTGACCCTATGATGAGGGGTGTAAAAGAACCCTCGAAGCATACGCTAATCAGATCTGTACAGGCACGCTAATTGACCGGACATCCCCCGAAGTCAAATAGCACGATATACCCTGTTCTAAATGCAGGTTGAATGTAAGTGTGATGACTCGGCGCCTATCACCCGCGCCTTGCCCCCAGCCCCGTGGGGCGTATGAGGGTATTGTTCTATCTGCCCCTTCTACCCCCAACATCTCAGCTCATCGACCTTGTTGGTCATGTACCTAGTACAGTTATCGGTTATTAGTGGCGCATTCCTTGTTTTCAGCCCCAGATCCTGCCCGTTGTCCTTATTGTTAGCCCCATACGGGTTCAGCCCTAGGCCCCATGGCATCAAGCCAGTGGTATCCACTTATGTTTGCAGTGACCAACTCGGTAATGTAGGTTTTCTTCTTGGGAAGCTTTCTGGTTTCTATGATGCTGTTTTACTGCTAAAATGGAATGCTCAATATGACTTTATAAGAAACCCCCCCGATCCTGACACCCCAACAATAGCTGACCACTTTACACCCTGAGCATATCCGGTGCTGTTTTTGTCATGTCAGGCTACTTTCTTTTCCTTTGGCTAATAAGCATGGCCAATGCCGCAGCTTTTCACCCAGTTAGCACGTTGTTGTCTCCTCAAATGTCCCAGCCCGACATCTCCTCGACTGAGCTACCTACACCCACAGCGCACGCAGAGCTCAATCAACCCTTGGAACACAATCTCAAGCCTCGGGGTGTCTCGCTACCTATAGTATCGGGCACTTGGACGGCCATTTCATGTGAGCAATCGGACATCGTCCCTGAACATGGAAACGCCACCCATAGGTATAATGCAGCGGGCGTCCCAGGTCTGTTATATGTTTTGAACCAATATTTTGGGGTTATGAAGAACGAATGGTTGATAGGTGCCTGGAGCAATCTTCTCGAGAGCTGGAGCTTCTACAAGCGAAACGGCCAGGGAGAACCAGGAACACCAACCAGTAATGATACTTCGACCAATTTCATCCACTACATGGCTGATAAGTGTCACCTTCATGAGGGATTCAATTGCTGGCCATTTGATGGAGCCTGTAATACAGTGGGTTGCCCCCAAGATGGTCACGCACCAGCCACATATCTTATTCCCAATAATTTTGTTTATCTGAAGCTCGTGAGTATTCAAAACATGGTTTTCGGTTGCAAGCTCTACTAATAGGGACCTCAGTATTTTGAGCAAATGATACTTGGTTTTGATTATGCCGCAAAAAACATGTCGGGGTTAATGCAAACCTTTCTTCACACCTATGTGCCGAAGACAAACGAGGACGAAGTCATCAAATCCCTTCTAGATATCGGGCTCTTTGCAGGTCTAGCTTTTATCCCGACGGGTTTCGTTGCTTGTAGGTTTATGTTTTATCATAGTGTGATGCATGGCTAACAACACCATCGTTCCAGTTGCGCAGGTCGAGAAGGTTGCCGCAGGTTCGTTGCCCCTTTCTGCAAGAGCATATGTTCTGAATGAATGTGCTAATATTAGTGTCTAGGATCGATAGCTGGGGCGACAGAAAAAGCTGCGGCAGGTTAGTGCTTTATTTTCATACCACAGCGTCTTTAGAGACTGACCTACACTACGTACCTAGACTTGATTGCTGGAAAGGGAGAAAAAAAGGCAGCAGGTAAGCCACCTTCCAAATTCAGAAATCGTTCAATATAATGGATTTACCCTGTTTATTCAGACTCGATAGGCAGGAACCTCATCATGAACTCACTGGTGGGGACATCTGTTTTTTTACACAACATGGTGGAAAACTTCATGTCAACGTGAGTTTATCGAAACCAGGCCTGCATGTTGTAGGTTGGCTGAAGAGGCACTAGTTCGGCAACATATACCGACAAAGAGGTCGCTCTCAAAGACTTGATTGACAGCTATATCGATGATACGCGACGTGGTGTATTCGACTTCGTGAACAAAATGAAGACCATTGAGGATAAGCACTACGAAAAGCATATGGGCGACCTGATCAAACATGGAGCGTTGGATACCTTTTACAAGTCCTGGAGTTTGAAAGACTCCACAAAAAGGTCGAGTTCGGAGAGTAGCCCTTTCGATCCAGCCACTGCATTTCAATTCGCAGCACAGAAGTCATTATGGGGACAGATTATCAGTGCGGCATGGCATTCTTCAAGTGGCCCATTTATTTTGTGAGCATCCCTGAGGGGCCCTACTAATCTAAACGTTTTCACTAACAGGAACCAGGCGGATCGACAAGCTCCAGTACACGTGTAAAGATCCCGTTACCAAGAGTGGTAATGGGCTGCAACTACGTCAATACATGAACGATGATATAAAAGACGAGACAATTTGGTGCGACAATGAGTAAGCTCGACGAGAAACCCCTCAACTGGGAAGAGAGACACTGAGGCTAATGGGCGCTTGCAAAAGTGGCAATTCCTTTTTTTTGCTTCAGCCCGACTTTCAAACGTGTGGCGGACAACTTGGTTGCACCACTACCACCGGCTTCAAGCCTCTCCCTGGTGGAAATGATCGTGATCTGGGCTTGTACAACTTGTCAATCAAGTATTCAATTCACCCCCAGGCTTACTGGGGTCCACATGGCTGATTAAAGACCAGAGATATTGTTCTTTCCTCCTACGGCGCTTTTCTTCACAACAAAAAACAAAATGGATGGGTGAGATGGTTGACAGGTTTACCTTTCTACAAATGAGGATCACTGATCTTTTGAATTAGGTCCCTAAAGCCGATTCGGTCATGGAGGTCCAAGAGGACTTCTCAATCAAGAACACCCTTTTGCCAATGCAGGGAGGTATCAGACTACCTGGTAGGTTAGCCAGCAAGTCTTCTCAACAATCTAGCTCTACTAACGCACGCAACACTAGGCTTCTTTGACATCGGGGTCTGCCTGGATGCGGAAAAAGCAATTGACAACATCAACAACCATAATTATTGGAAGGGTGTCCCTTGCAAGGATCCTCAAGACGCCAAAATGTCTGTCGCTGAAAAACCATTCTGGCTGGGGGAGTGGCTGGTGCACTGTTCATTTCACCAAAGTTCAAAAGAAAGAGGGAGACCTGAACCCTGTTGGTGTGTATCAGATGGGTGTCACCCTCTTGGACCATAACGAGAAAATCATTGCCCATGCCCCAGAGCAGCCGGTGGACTGGGCAATCGATATTTTCAACGAGACTTCCAAGCTCGGTGGTGACTTTGTTGTCGCTGTGGGCAACGATGGTGACGACGCCCACGTCGAGTTCTGGCACAAAGACCTCTATTGGAAGAGCGACAGCAAAGACCATCAATGCAGCTTTGGTAAATTCGACCATGGAAGAGCCGAGGGAACCTGTGGCTGGCTGTGCGATCCTTCGCCCGCAAAGGCCAATCCCCCTACACCCGTGAATGGTGGAAGTGTGCCAGCCTGGATGGGGAATTCCAAAGGGAGGTACCACCATGACCCATTTCAATATACCCGGGGTATCGACCTACAAACACGGAACGTGTAGCATTCACATCTACCAGTTCCAGCAGAATGTCAATGGCCAGGACGACTTTCATAACCCCGGTGGCTATTCGATGTCGCTGGCTATCTGGGACGATGGTGGCAATTTTATTGCCTACACCCCACAGTCCCACGGAACACTTGGCGCAAAAGGGCCACTTGAATGGACTGTGTACTGTCACCAGGACGGTGGCTACGGGGCGCAGGCATGGTCTATGTACAGCAAATTTGGGAACAACCACCGGACGATGAGACACAGTTTCGACTGCTAAGTGTGGCACGTCCAGTGGAAATAACGGGTCCAAAGTGGATTTGTTTCAGCATTCGAGTTTCTTCTCTATTGTTCTACAGGCAAGAAATGTAGAAATTCCGGTCAATGCCGATTGTTTAAATTGCGTAAGATCCAACGCGTGGAAGACTCTATCGATGCCCTGAAAGCCAGAAACCCTTGAAATTGAGATGCGACAGATGTGAAATTCAAAACTCAAAGCACGGTCTAGTGCGAGTGAAGGGGGAATAGCATGATATAAATCCAAAAAACATGACTGCATAAGACATATCAGAAAATTCTTTTCTCTTCGCCGAGAGCTTTTATTCAATAGCCGAGGAGGATTCGCCGTGGGTGACGGGGTTGATCTTGGGGTTCCATTTAAGCTTGAAGTCCTCGCCAAGCTCTTTGCGGATGGCAGCTTTAACGGCCCCAAGGACATTGTCAAACACACCGAAGTTGGCGGGGTTGTCACGGTCGTTCGTGCCCTCCTTGCCCTGGAAGACACCAGTGCGGACCAGACATGTGTTCCAACCGTACAAATTCCCGCCGATGATGTCCGATTGCGGGTTGTCACCGACCATGTAGATGTGTTCGGGTAGACTTCGCTCGTTATGAATTTCCTCCATCCAAGATCGGATCACCTCGTCGGCACAGACATAGGTAGCCCGCTCGGGCTTACCATAGACGACACGCTCGAGGTCGGCACCTGTAAGGGCCTTGTACTGCGCCTCAATGGAGATACGGAAAGCACCAAGGTTGAGACGGGGCGGGCCTTTGTGCTCAGTAGGGCATAAGAGGTCACCCTGCGAAAAGTAGATCGGGATGTGGTTTGCAGCGGGGTCATCGTCGCGGGTCAAGAGTTGACCATTCTTCGCGAGTAAAAGGTCAATGATGATCTGGAAGTCGGTGGAGGCATCGCGCGACTCTGCGAAAACCAGGATAGCGTCGAAGTTGACCTTGGAGAAGTCGCGGGGCTTGGCTTCGGCACGCTCCTCCTCGGTAAAGTGGCGACACGGGGAAATAGTAGGATCCCAGGCCAGGATATCCTTGGGGTGTACCACGTTCTTGAATCCATAGGCTTCTGCGACTTCGCGAACTTTGAAACCCTCGCCACCACAGACAAGCACAGTGTCATAGTACTCGGCAAGAGCCTGCATGGGGGTGTGCGACTGAATGAACTGGTCGGTAGAAATAGGATGCTCGAGGACCTCTGTAAGCTGCGCACAGCGCGCTTCCTCCGTTTTCCCGCCACCGTTGGTCAAAAGAATGTAAGGGAACTTGATCCCAAGCTCGTTGTCGCCATTGAGAATTGTGAGGGCAGTCTTCGCCTCCTCAATGGGTTCGTTGCCGTGTGCCAGCACACCGTCGATGTCAAACGCGAACGCCATGTTCTTGACAGCGGCCACCTTCTCCTTTGACATATCCTGCACCTGGGACGCAAGGACATCGCGTGCACCCAGTCTGGGCTTGCCAGCCGAGGAGAGTCGCGACACGCGCGGGGATCGTGGGATCGGCAGAGATGTGCCAAACGAGTTGCGGGATCCCCGGCGGTCCTTCATGGAGGGCGACATGCTAAGATGGTGCATGAGAGCAGAGGTACCGCTGATAGAGCTGCGCGTGGCAGGGATCTCAACCGTGTTGCCATGTTCGGAGGGAATGGCCTGGGCTGCAGGATGATCGTGCGAGCGAGCGGGCTGCGCATCGCTTGCACGGGGATCCTGAGGAGCAGGCTCGACCGCAAAGTCGGCGTCGTCGAAGCGAGGCATTCTGTGTGTGGGTGGAGGGGGAGGTAAGAGTTCAACGGGTCGTGTGTGGAATTGATGTGGATAAAATCGAAGCTACTTGCAAACTTCGACTTCCACGGAAAACTAAATCTTGAACCAGCAAGAGGCAAAGAAGAGGATGCTACCATAAGTTATACTTACGGACCGCTGATCGATTCCCCTAAGCAGCAATACCGACTATGGGTCCTCGGTGCTGGACCCAGAATCCTCCAAAGTTACTCTATCACCAATACTTCGTCTATCTCGACTGCAAAAAAGGCGAAGAAGTGGATAGCGGTATGGCCATCGCCGACAATGACGTGAATCGCGTGTCGCTGTGCATCGACATTGTCAAAGATAAGCAGTAGATCTCAACATCAAAGACCGCAAGGCCAATGAAAGTGCGAGAGCGAGGGCCGTGGTGACAACTGTTTCCGGAGATATGTGCCTCTTACCCACAAGCTCCCAGACAACGTTTGAGGGCCAACGAATGACGTATCCCGCAGCCGCATATCGCCATTTTCCAGGGTTGCATTCCGGGATCATTGAGACGGCCAGACGGTTCGAACGCATGCAGATTGAGGGAGATCTTCCGTGACGGACGGGATGTCAATCTCGACCCGACCGGTCCTCGGTCAACCTTCCTACGGCTCAACCCGAATCATTTTCTTTTCTTTACAAAATCGCTTCGTTTCAGCGCGAGAACCGTGGCGAAGAAATGACTGGAAGTATCACCGGAAAGGCAGGTTGAGACGCTCCCAGCTCTCACCGGGACGTCTCTGGTGAGCCATTGGCTCTAGCCCATAGATTTTATATGGAGACGGGGGGCTTTTTTGCGGGTCTCGCGGACGACGATTCTCCGGGCGGGTTGTATCATAGTAATGGCGACATGTCGTCGGTGATATTCCGCGGATTACCCATTGCGGGACACCCGAAAATCTGCAAAATGGTGGATTCAGATCCACCGGTGACGACGGGGGGCGTACCGGGTCGCGCAAATATGGGGAATCCGGAGACCTTCGGACAGAGACGGGAGCACGTGATGCCCAGTATCGGGCGAGAACCGGCATGACGTCATCCAGCCTCGGCTATGCTTCTTGTTGCTTTCGTCTCTTCCCTTATAAGGCTGAGATTGGTGCTTTGCGCCAATACTAGTGATCGCTACAGTAATCGTTGCCGAGCAGAGCTGGTTTCTTTTTCCGAGCCACTCAACCATTCAAGAGAACAGACACTAACCCGATATATAAGCACGTGATTAGCTATCTTAAGAACTGACACTCCCACGTTTATCAGCGTAGTGTTATGGATCAATAGAGGCCCAAATAGCAAAGCAACCTTGAATTGTGGACTCGTGCTTTGACTTTGTTCCTGATTCTCTCTCCAGCGTACTGGCTCGACTACGGGACTAGCTTCACCCAATCCTCCCTCCAGTGGCGTTTCCCTCTCGCCTTCCAGGCCGTTTTCGCCATCTTCTTGGTACTGCAAGTGATTGGACTGCCTGAGACTCCTCGCTGGCTGATGAAGAATGACCGATATGATGAAGCGCGGGAAGTGGTAGCGGCCATCAACGATGCCTCACCGAACGACGAAGAAGTTATTCAGAGCCTCGCGGATATTGACAAGGCCGTCCAAGAGGATGTCCAAGGCCAGGGTCTGAGCTGGCGAGAGTTTTTTTTACCCATGGAAAGCTGCAGAACTGGCGACGGCTGTTGCTGATCATCTTTATTGAGATCATGCAACAATTCACCGGCTCCAACATGATGTAAGTTACTCTCAACCCTGCACTGGTCATAGCTGACACGAGCAGAAACTATGATGTGCCAACGGTATATCAAAGCGCAATGCATATGCCATGAAATATGTCGCTGATCCTTGCCGGGTGCACCTCGCTCGCCTAGGCCCTGCCCCTTTTCATGATGGATCGTTTTGGTTGCCGTGTGCTACTCATGGTGTCCGCTGCGGGCTTATCGCTGTGTTTCATCATGGTTGCCATGTTGCTGTCCTTCGGCCAGCTTCAAACTGCGTATGGCGCAACAGCATTTATATTTCTTTTCCAAATCTTCTACGGTCTGGGCTGGCTACCCGTTTCCTTGGTTCTATCCATCGGAAATCAGCACAACACATTTACGGTCTAAAAGCGCCGCCATAGCCTCGGCATTTAACTGGCTGTCAGTGTTTGCCGTGGTCAAGATCACTCCCATTGCTATTAGTGAGTTGTCATCTCCATGACTCACAATAATTCGTCCCGTGTTTTATCTGGGAGCTTTGTTGCAAGTAGGCGACGGAAACTGACAAGAATCTAGACAATATCAATTGGCGCGTATTTATTATCTTTGCTGTGCTTAACTTTCTTTGGATTCCTGCCATTTTCTTCTTCTAACCCGAGACCAAGAGCCTTGAACTCGAAGATGTTAACTTGATCTTCGCCAAGGGCGGCTTCACTGGCGGGGTCTTTTCCTCTCGAGGTCGAACAGTGGTTCCACACCAGCATGCACAGGAAACGGAGATAGGTGCTAAGCAGGAAACAGACATCATTGAATATGTCCAGCGGCAATCATAAGCGCCGGTATGATACACCGGTTGCTCAATTGGGGTACATAGGCAGATGGAAAGCTCGAATAGCAGATCCAAGTCAAACTGATTTCCTGGAGTCCTGTTCAAGGAACCTTTTCATGGAATCTTCTACTAAAGGAAATAGTACATAAGCCCTTGACATGATCGTACTCTGATTTAGCATCTTCGTGGCTAGAAAAGCTATTGAATGGGGCACTGGATCATAGTGCTGCAGTCCTGGATGATGGAGGACTTGTATGACCCAGAAGCATTCATCGATTTCTAGCGTCATCGTCATATCAACCTAATTACGGGAGACAAGTCAAGAACTTGCCTAGCTTCTTCAAGACGGCTTCCTGCGTCGTCGCATTGGCATCGTTCTTGGTACCCGCCATCCCGACCGATACACTTGCGTAACAGCCCGAGTGGAGGATGACTTCGAGCTCGCTTGGTAGTCGGGAACTGCCACAGGTAGTCACATCGTCTGGTGTAATGACGGGTATGGCGGCGTGGATACGGGACAGGACAAAGGCGAAGTCGCTCGGGCGGTTGCATTCCAACTTGGATACCGAGGGAAAGTTGACATTCAGCCAGACATCTTTGGGCAAATACGGCTTGCCCGCAGAAACCACACGGTTAGTGAGGGTAGCCGCGAGGTCCGCGTAGACCTTGCTGTAGTGCGGCAGGGTTGCGCTGGTATTCCATGCCGTCTGGGAACCACTCCTCCCCGAGAAGGCGATGGCAGGGATGCCGGCAGTGTGCGCAGCGTAGACCGCAGCACCCGCGGTGCCCGAGAAAGAGACAGCAAGGCCCAAGTTAGAGCCAACGTTGGGCCCGGCGACTGCCATGTCGGGCGCACCGCCAAAGAGCTGCGGCCCTCGCGTGTCAATGCCATGTTTGATTGATGTGACCGGGTACGAGTTGACGTAGTTGAGCCGGGGCTCCGAGGCGTTGTATCCCACCGCAGGACTGCCTGCTGGACAACTGTTGAATTGACACGGCTCAGTGAGTTTAGTGGGGGTCTTCTGAGAGGAGCCTGTCACGCCAAGGAGAAGATTAGTGACTCGGGATCAAGGGGGAGAGATGTGCGATCGCATACCAGTGCCGCTCTGGTTCTCAGCGGGCGCAGACACCACGACCGAATGGCCGGCTTCAACCAACGAATTGAACAGAGCGCGGATGTTAGCCTCGGCCCAGCCATCGTCGTTGGACGAGACGATGTTAATCGCCCTGGCAGACGCCGCAAGGGCAAGAGACGCCGCGAAAGCAAGAGACACTTTCATGGTTGCTGGGGTGCAAGAAGGCAGGCTCAGAGACACTCTCGTTCACCGGCCCATTCGTTTGATTGATGTACGGTTGACTCGGTCTGCTCTCGGCAACGATGTCGGCATCAGACGCCGATTCCCTTGATTTGGCCCCCAGTGGAGCTCGCATCCACCACAGAAACCATCACATACATTATTGTTTCTCCTCATTGCACATTGCGAATCTCACTCTCTTCCTGTAATGAAGACTATTCTTTCGTGCCGGTTAATCCTTTCGAGAAGAAGTTGAGATTTCTTCGACGCATTGACTTCCACCTCCCAGGGCCCCTGGACTTCCTCGCTGAAACTCCCCAGCTGCTAAGCTTCGTTGCGAAGTGAGTCTAAAGTGAGTAACGCGGAAAGACTGAGACCTTGGCGGATCTAGGGGAGTCTTGCATTGGGTTATCAAAACGCGAATTCATCGCGGAGTGTTGTAAGCCCGTTCTAGATTGAGGATCAGAACTCGATTCTTAATTTGTTATTCAGGGTATCCTTTCCAGCTTCGTATGGTCACAAAGGTTACACGCCGAGTCCTGCTAAGAAAAAGCGAAGGAAAGATTGTGAGAGAACAGGCTCACGGTAAACCGAGCTTGCCCAGGGTCAGACATTTTACCTGGAGTTGGCATAGGTCGACTATAGTGGGCGGCTAATACTAACTATCTATTCTGTTTGTGTTTGTTATATGATAAATAGGCTCATATCTAACATGACACATATAAACAAAGTACATGAATTAGACAAACGTGAAGGGGAAGACAACAACATAAAAACAGGAACCCATATATTAATATCCTCTATTATCATCCCACCTTCAAGTGTGGAAGATATACCATTGGAGTGTCCAGCTACTTCCGCTATCACCTGAGCATCCCACAAGGCCGTGTCCACCGACCTTGTCATTGTCCACGAAGTTGTCAAGCGCAAAGTTGACAAAATCAACAGCGTCGTGGCCATTGACATGCGCGTACCAGGTATCAAGGTTGACGTCCCCACCATCGAGTTTCGCTGTTTTACCGTCGTACTTCTCGATCCCAACACCACATGACCCGTGTGTCGCAATTGTGTGGTGCGGTGCACTAAACCTCGTGGTTTTGTCCTGATTGATCTCATCGATCAAGCCTTGGCAATCTTCGAGGTTAGGAGAGGCCCCCGAGACCTCCGGCTGGAAGTCGTACGTCGGGTCGCAGGCTCTTCCGTCCCGTCTTTGCAAAGGAGAGAGTTCGTTGCGTGTTTGAAGTTCAGGGGTTGGCGCGGCAATCGCCGGGGCAAGGAGAAGAGCAAGGGCGGTAGCACTGAGCTTCATTTTGACAGTTGGAACGATAGCACTTTGGGAAAGGTAATGTTTCTTTGAGTGGAAGACTTTGCAAGATTATTCCAGTCATCCTAGGGAAGGTTTGCCTTTATATACTATTTTGCGTGAGCTATCATCCTACGAGGCTGCGAGCCACGCCGGAGGCCTGCTACGCTATTATTTAATCTTACTGTCCTGAGTCATACAAAGGAGTGAAGGCCGCGCAAGCTCGGCCCGAAGCTGTTTCTATCTATAACTAGAGGACATATTCGGCAAGTCTACTGTACATGTTAAGAACCGAAGGAGTCGAAGGAGTCAAAGGAATTGAAGGAATTGAAGGAGTTGAAGGAGTTGAAGGAGTTGAAGGAGTCAAATAAGGGGAAGAAGGCGGGGGGTAAGCAGTGAAATCCATACCAGTGTACCCCTATTCCAACCACTACAGGCGCACTCCACACGGCAGCAAATAGCGGCACTCACGAGAAAAATGGTATAAGCCATATATTATTTTTGACCACTTTACTCTCCACCTACCATATATCATCTCTTTACCTCTATATTGTAGACCGCTATTAGCCAAGGCTGTTCATCTGAGGCTGGGGCGTACGCTCAGCCTTGTCATCGATGAGCTGGAGGCAAGATCGTCGAGGTCTCGGATGATGATAAACCCCCTTTCGCGGGAACCGTCCTCCCGTAGCCTCGTCAAGGCGAAGTATACATAGCTATCAAGAATAGAAAGTTAAAAGTGTCGAACTGACGAATCAGGTGATTTACCCTAATATCAATACTGCGAGCAGATGCATAAATCAGTCCTCATCTCTCCAAATTCTACCATACAAATGCTATATATAGGCACCCAAAACCTTGCTTAACTTACCTTATTCGGACTTGGTGCGTTGCTCATTCATCTGGCCGATCGGCCTCAGCATCTGCCTTGATAGTATGGCGGCATGCTGGTCGACAAAAAGTAGCGAATTAATGGGCTTAAAAACGTAGCATACTACTTGCGAGATATTGAAGAACAAAAGGAAAATACAAGATTATTACTATATACCTGAATATTCATGGTATGAAGAAAGAAAACCAAATACTAAATATACATTAAAGAAAAAGAGATATAATATTAAATTATTCTATATAAACAGAGGACCAAACCCTAAGAATTAATCTATAAGATCTAATATTCATTGTTTAGCATGCTTTAAAAATACATACTCTATTTTCTTTCACTTTCTTGCACCTTTCCACGTTCAGACTTTGCTCCAAGAACCGCTCTCATTAGCAGATGCTCCCGCAGCCTTGTAAGCATTGTTAGGTGATCGGTCCGGCTGTGTCCCAGATTCAGGTATAAAAAAAGGACTAATCTGGCGCAACTGGCTATTGTGAAGAGCGTTCAAAGAACTCGGCAACTATCCGGGTGCGACTTGTTTTGACCAAAGGAAACCAGCATTTTGGTTCTGAGGTCGTCCCTCTTCCCCATCTTGATACAACATTCTCTGACTTCACACCTTCAATTGGACGCCGATCTCGACAGATTTCATCTAATCGACGCCCTCTTCATCGAAAGTCCATTGATTCAGATCCATTTTATCGCGTCCCACACTCACACTTACATCGCTCTTGAAGCCCGCATGCCAAGGTCTGTCAGTTTTGCTGTCAGTTCTGCTGAAAGCAAATCACAACAAAGCGATATTCAAGGTTTTTGCAAGGACACCAAGGCGATAGATCAGAAGAAAAGGCCAACCAATTTCAAAATACGATTTGCAGATCCCAACTTTCGATGTTTTTGGGGTCCCTGGGTAGCTTTCAGTCTTGCAGTCGGTGTGGTTTGACTCGTTTACACAGCGCTCGAGTCTTCAAGCCACATTACCCGTTGGCGCAAGAGGGTTGTTGATCGATCTCGGCGCCGAGACACTCTGTCGTGGCAGGCCAAGACCTGGCTCGAGATTGGCATTCGTCGCTGGCACGGGAGCACTTTCCAACGCGAAGAGTGCTAGTAGGCAAAGCAAAAAGCACGTATGGGGAATTTCAGTTCTGTAAGAGATGTTTTAGCGTTTATTTCTGTTGCCTCGCCACGATATAACCTCGTCGAGTTTCAGCGCCAAGCAGGGCCGGACAGAGGCACGAGCGATATACTTCCCTTCCATTGGAACCGGACACTGACACATCCCTTGGCGGATGAATCACAAAGCTCGGTGTGAGGAGCGGCGGGGCACAATCACAGGCATGATACTCATTTGGCTCGGCGAAGGGGCGGAAAATGAATCAGTACTGGGATTCTACATTCTACAGTCGCCCCAAGACTTCCAAGACTTGCCGAGCGTCTGTGGCCGAGGGAGCCCACGCAAAAAAAGATATTGCCTCTCTCAGGCGCCCGATTGCCCGAGTCTCTTGGCCTGGGGAAGGCTCAATCTTCTGGGGTTGAGGGGACACACGCCGAGCCTGGAGTGCATCGCAGCCGCAGTACAAAAGGCTCCTCTTCACTGTTTCTTTTTCTTTCTTGACTGTAAGGCTTTCTTCCTTCCTTTTCCCTTTCTCATCATCAACCCTGGATAATCTCCAACTTCAATCATGGAGAAGGATGATCACTTTTCCTCGGAGAAGCTCGACGTACTCGATGCCGGGATGAATTTGAAAGAGCATGCTCAGCTTGAAGCTCACGACAAGCTGCGGAATCCTCTTATGGGACTCAGTAAGGAGGAGCTGTTTGCCGACGTGGAAACATTTGCCAGAGACCATCAGCTGGAGCCCATCTTAGAGGATCTGCAAAAGGGTGCTCTGGTGGCCAGAGATCCCAAATCTTTCGAATCACTCGAAGAGCTTTCCGAAAGTGAGAAAGAGCTATTCCGGTAGGTGCTATGGCTTCTTGTCCGGGCTGGCACGAATGTCCATGCTGATCATCTCCAGGCGAGAGACCACTCATCGCTATCACCAACCAGCTATGCTGTTCTTCATGACAGGTAGGCGAATAAAGCTGCGTAACCCTACCTAAGTCCACCAGCTTACTGACTCAATCCTTTTCAGGTCTGTGTGCTGGGTCTGCGATTGTCCAAGGAATGGACCAAACTGCCGTCAACGGTGCCCAAGAGTACGTATATTTGAGATTTTCATGGCTTCCATCGACTGACCCAAGCAGGTACTACTTCGCTGAATTTGGGGTCACAGACCGTTCTCTCCAGGGCTTTCTCAACGGAGCACCCTATCTTTGCTCTGCTTTGGTTGGTTCGTGGACAACTGCGCCCCTGAATCGCTGGTTTGGACGACGAGGTTGCATCTTTATATCGTGCCTGATTTCCTTCGCCGCCTCGTTTTGGATGGCAGCTGCCCACACTTGGTGGAACCTTCTTCTGGGTCGCTTTTTGCTCGGTTTCGCAGTTGGTGCTAAATCTACAACGACTCCTGTCTATGGGGCCGAATGCTCTCCAGCCAACATACGCGGGTCGCTGGTGATGATGTGGCAAATGTGGACGGCATTCGGAATCATGCTTGGGTTCATTGCCTCAGTGGCGTAAGTATCACTTTTCGGTATCAAATGTGTATCACTCTTATCCATCTTTTCCCAGATTCATGGATGTCAAACATGCGACTATCCCGGGGTTAAACTGGCGCTTGATGCTTGGGTCTACGGCAATCCCGTAAGTGACATTTACTTTTCTTTTGATATTCAATGGGCGGTCATACGCTGACCTCTCGCACGAGACCTATGATTGTTTGTATTATGGTTTACTTCTGCCCCGAGTCGCCTCGCTGGTACATGACTCGAGGCAACTATCAGAAAGCGTACAACGCCCTTTGTCGGCTACGATCCACTCCACTCCAGGCAGCTAGGGACCTTTACTACATCCACTCTGCCCTGACTTCAGAAGAGAAGCTTCGTGAAGGAAAGAATTTGTTGCGTGAGCTGTTCACCGTGCCCCGCAATCGCCGCGGCCTTCAGTCAGCATTCTTTGTGATGTTTATGCAACAGGTCTGTCGAGTCATTCTTTCACTTTCCACTCAACTACTAATCCCAACCTAGTTCTGCGGTGTAAATGCGATTATGTATTACTCTTCCTCAATGTTTCGCAATGCGGGCTTCGATCTCCGCACGGCGTTGATTACTTCGCTCGGCTGTGGTATCACGAACTGGCTATTTGCAATCCCGGCTGTCTACACTATTGATACCTTCGGGCGACGCAATCTCTTGCTTGTCACGTTCCCACTTATGGCATTATTCCATCTTTTGACAGGCTTTTCTTTCTGGATTGAAAATAACGTGGCCAAAACCGCCTGCGTGGCAACGTTCATCTACCTCTTCATGATCGTATACTCTCCTGGAGCGGGCCCGGTACCCTTTACCTACTCGGCAGAAGCATTTGTATGTCTTGATTTCCTTTTCTGTTTTCTTATGGCCTCCTCCCATCCCCTCGATGATGGATCAAGCTAATCCTTTTTTTTGAATCGATTAGCCGCTGTATGTCCGTGATATCGGCATGTCATTTGCAACCGCAACAACGTGGCTTTTCAACTTCATCATTTCTTTCACGTGGCCTGAAATCAATGAGAAATTTACCCCTCAGGGGGGATTTGCCTACTACGCGGCATGGAACGTGTTCGGATGGATCGTTTGCTACTTCTGCCTGCCGGAGACAAAAGCTCTCTCACTAGAGGAGCTTGATCAAGTCTTCTCTATCCCAACTCGCCGCCATGCCAGCCATTACTGGGCAATGCTTCCTTGGTACTTGAGGAAATATTTCCTACGTCAGGACGTTGGGCCCCAACGACAGCTTTATGACTACGAGTAAAAGAGCTGGATGCAAACGACTTGATAAGAGAATTCGTTTATCTGAGGGGATGATTGACTACTTTATCGCTGCCTATTTCCTGCCATCGAACATTTCTATCAGGTCCCATATCATGACTCTTTTCTTCTTCCTTATTGATGGTGTCAGCGAAGAGGTATTGTCTCTTTTTCTGCCTATGCCGAACTTCTGCTTGGGCAGTTGCTTGAAACTCTTGATGTAGTTCTCAAATCGATACTTGGTGCGCCAATAATAATTCAGTAAGATTTATAAGCCACGGGAATATGAGGATCGATACAGCTGCAGCTGTGGAAAAACAGTGGCATACAGGAGTTCACGATATCATGGAACCTGGTCGTTTTCACATCATCCATTGCGGGCAAGTAGATGCCTGCTGCCGAAGGAAGTGCGGAGATCAATGCGGGGGGAAAAATCAGCAGCTCTCACTGAACCAACGACTCTGATGTTACGATTGTAATATGAATTGCATGAATGGAGAAGACCGGATTCCGCATATCGGCTATTCACTCGGGCGCAAATCCCGACGAGTGCATCCCGCAAAACGGGCCGACGTAAACAGCGGGATGGGGATGCGCTCCACGCGGGCAAAGATCCACAAGTCGGTAAATGGATTTGCGATATTGGGGTTGTGTATAGCCGGGCTGGGCAGTAGTTCCATATTGCTGGAATCTACTAGTTAAAGAAAAAGTCAGTTCCTCCCTGCTTTTGTGGTATTTTCTGTTGTCTTTTCTTACATTAATCTGGTCCGCAAAAGCACTCTTTCTTGTATATCTTCAGCACAATGGCGAAACCCATCGTCCTCCAGTTGGGCGATGACATCCGTTGGAATCATGACACCTACAAAGAATTCCAATCCAAGTTCGACGTTCGACGCTCTTATAGCATGACCCGACCAGAATTCATTCGCGCACTCAAGGAGCGTCAGTTTGGCGATTTCTCCGCCATCTACCGACCATTTTGGAACACAGGCGGCGAGATGGGCAATTGGGACGAGGAATTGATCTCGCTGCTGCCACAATCATGCAAAATATATGCTAGTGCCGGCGCCGGTTTTGACTGGGTCGACGTAGCAGGTTTAGCTCGAAGAGGTAAGGGAATGACTATGCCTGGCAATGGGGAGATTCGATTCTGACTGTTTTCTTTCAGGTATCCTGTACTGCAACGCGGCTGCTGCTTGTACTGAATCAGTTGCCGATGCGGCGATCTGGCTCATCATCTCCACATTTCGACTCTTCTCCTGGTCTGCGGTGGCTGCTCGTTCGGGCGATGCCGGTCAGTTCACCGACGCCAATCGCAATCTCGCCCCCGTATCTCGGAACCCCAATGGGCACACCCTGGGGATCATTGGATTTGGTCAGATCGGTCGCAGGGTAGCCGAAAAAGCGTACCTGGCACTCGGAATGACGATTATCTACCACGACATCGTCCGGATACCTCTGGATATTGAACAGCGCACCGCCGCGACTTTCCACAAGGATATGGCGACTTTACTCGCGACATCAGACTGCGTTGTTGTTGCCACGCCTTTTAGTGGGTCGAAGCTTCTCGATAGATCTACATTGAGCAAGCTCAAGCAAGGGGCACGACTCGTGAACATCGCCAGAGGGAAGCTTTTGGATGAGCAAGCCCTAATCCAAGCGCTCCAGAGTGGCCATCTCTCCGCTGCTGGGTTGGACGTGCATGAGAACGAACCACATGTCAACCCGGAACTGATTCGAATGAAGAATGTGGAGTTGACCTCCCACAATGCCGGGGCGTCGTTGGATTCCCACATTGGATTCGAGCGCCTGGGCATGGCGAATATAACCGCCTTCCATGAAACTGGGAAGGCATTGACTGCCGTGAATCAGCATTTGATTCCCAAGGGACAATCTGGCAAGGAGAAGCTGTAGAGGCAGTGGGTGGTGAATGTGTACCGATTTATAAATCCAGGCATTCTGCCTATGATGTCAATCATCATTCGAGTACGTGTTTCTGTGCGTGAGATTTACGATTGGACTTATTCAACATGTAGATGTTTCAATCGAATTGAACCGTCCGCGGTGATGCACATTCTCTTGTTCAACGGGTGCACTTCGCAAGCAACGGAAAACCGAACCCGAGGTCAGTTGAGATAGAGTCCAGGGGCATTTCCAGCGAGCATCGATGGTTTAAAGTATGAGGACATGTGACTGGGGCCTTAATATAGTTCCCTCCTCTCCAATGACAAAGTAACATAAAAGAGGGATTCAATGTGGTTAAACCGGGGTAAGGGGAAATGGAAACAGGAGGAAGAAAAAAGGAGAAAAGACGGATGCAGAACACGAGAAATCAGATGGAATAGAATTCTGAAAGAACAATATAAAAAGCTAGAAAAGTCGTAGTGAAATGGTAGCTATGGTAATAGCTATTTATATACTCTCTTACACTCAGAAGGCCACTACTCTTTAATAAAATATAAGTCGAACCATAATAGTATAAATCTCATTATTACTCCCTGCTACGCCACAGCGAAGCGAGAGTCAGTGGCTTGTAGATAATGATGGGTTCCAATGAGTCGTAAACCATGTAGAGGCGGGTGGGTATGCCAGGTAGTTGAGGGGAACACCGCGACTTACGCACACTCGACTGGCAACTCCCAGCCAGGACGATGGATTCACCACATCAGTATCCACCCGAGTTCTCCGATGAGCACATCCTGGAACTGGTGGCGCAGATCAAGGATTGGCAGGTCAATCATGGCTTCCTGCTAAAACTCGTCCAGTCGGAGACAGAACACAGCGTCCTTTCTCATCCGGTGGGCGTCAGTGTCTTCCCCACACTCTTCCCGCGGTCGCTTTTCCACCGAGCATTAGATCTCCAACGAGTATATAACCAGCTATATTGTGCGATAGCCGAAGATGAACGGTGGCTCTTCAATGCCACCAAGGACCTGATCCCCGTGGATCCCCTGGCTGCCGCGCTGTGGCGCATTCACAATGAAGCCAAGAAGGCCGGCTTCGCTCAGGATGTTTCAGCCGGGATCTTTCGATCTGATTACATGCTTCACTGTCACGGGGATACCTCGCCCAGCTCCCTTACGTCACTTGCTGGGGTCACTTTGAAGCAGGTCGAGTTCAACGCATTTTCATGCGCAGGTGGCACTCATGCGAACAAAGCCGCGGATATGCATCGCTTCCTGGCCAAGAAGGGCGCGTACAGCCCTGGAAAACAGGATCAGCTGGGCGATTACTCTGTTGAAGCCTCCGCGCTTCCTCCCAATACTAATATTCAATCACTGGCATCTTGCCTGGCCTCGGCCCATGCGATCTACGGACCCCCCAAAAGCAGCCTGGCCAAGGAAACAGCGGTTTTGTTCATTGTGCAGCCAAACAACTTCAATATTGCAGACGAACGTCCCATTGAATACGCCTTATGGGATCGAGGCCAGCCCATTCCTACATATCGACTCGACTTCGGGCACGACGTACTTCAGCACACATGGCTGACCGATTGCCGAGAATTGCTCTTTCACCCCCCTGGCTGTCATCGGCCGCCCCCATTGAAATATCCGTCGTATATATGCGTGCCGGTTATGAAGCGGGCGAATATGACGCTACAGGCTGCGAAGCTCGCATTTTGCTTGAGAAGTCAGCCGCAATCAAATGTCCCACCGTCCTCTCTCATCTATCTACCTTCAAGAAGGTCCAGCAGGCTTTGACAGCACCCGGTGTCTTGGAACACTTTTTGTCCAGCGAAAATGCTGCTGCTATTCGGGGGACCTTTATCGCGCTTTATCCATTGGATGAGTCCAATGCTGGAATGCACGCCCGAAGCATTGCGTGCGACGAGCAACAGTCCGCTGACTATATCCTCAAGCCGTCGCGGGAAGGAGGCGGCCACAATATCTACAGTAATGAGATCCCCGACTTTCTGGCTCGGATTCCACAATCACAGCGGTCGTCGTATATTCTGATGGAACGTATCCGGTCACCATCCGTGGCAAATATCCTGATGGGGCCAGCTGGCATTGAAGGAGGTGAAGTCATCTCGGAGCTTGGCGTCTTTGGATGTTGTCTCTGGCGAAAAGAACCTGATTCTAGCCGTGGCTGTCAATTGCTAGAGAATCTTGCTGCTGGCTGGTCGTTCAAAACTAAACATGCCGACATCGACGAGATGAGCGTTGTTAAGGGATTTGGATGCTTCGACACTCCTTTGTTAGTTGACAAGCAGGAAAGTCGTGACGAAAGTTCTCAGAAAGATAGAGCTTGACACATTGAATGTGACTCAATAGTACGAATTATGCATGCATTTTCGGATCAACTACGGCACCTCGGTTCCCAAGGTTGTCTTCCACTGATTTTTGTGGTCCTCAAGTGTGTGTGGAAGAAGCCTGAGCTTGGCTAAGAATGCTTCAGATGTCGAGGTTTAGAATTCAGCCAGGCCCCGGCCATTGTCTACTATCCCAAGCCACCAGCTATATGACAGGGTGGTGTTAAGTATAGTGCTCAGGCTCATTGGGTCAACAGAGTAACTGGGGATGACATCACGCATCTTGACATCAACAACTCAAGGAATCCATAGACAATAACCATATCAGTAACCTGTGTGGTGCATATGAATGGCCACACGATCAGACCATATTCAACTTGTTATTGCCGTATTTATTCTACTGGCCATCGGCCTGTCATCTTGTTCTCCAGGCCTGCTCTGGCAAATACCTGCCGACTTCTCACTTTCGCTTCTTCGATGACATCTGTCTCATTCATTGTCAATAACTCAGCATTCTTGACCAACATCTTCCCATCGACTACCACGACATCCACCTCGCGCCCCGTGGCTGTATAGACAACCGCGCTGGCTGGATTAAGCCAGGGCTGAGTATGAATACCTCGCACATCAATCGCGACGAAATCTGCCTTCTTTCCAATCCCCAGGCTACCAATCCGGTCCTGCAGCCCGAGCGCTTTTGCACCATTGATCGTTGCCATCTCCAGAACAGACTCGGCTGGAACTGCAGTCGGATCATGGGAAATGCTTTTGTGCATGATTGCCGCTATTTTCATTTCCTGTAGCAGATCACAGGTATTGTTACAAGGTGCACGCACCATCTGTTCCCAGACCAATGTTGACCCCAGCTCGTTGAAGGTCTGGCATTTGGCAAATTCCCGAGGCCAACTTCGCCTTGGATGTGGGACAATGCGCGATATGGCCCCCCGAGGCAGACAGACGCTTGATATCGGAATCATCCAAATGGACCATGTGCACCAGAACTGTGGCCGGGGTCAGTAGCCCCACCGAGTCGCAGAATGACATAGGTGTGTGAGATATCGAGGCGAAGAAATCGCGGTCGGCCTTGACCTCGGCGCAATGCATGGTCACAGGAATCCCTTTCTCACGCGAGAGAGACGATCATTTCGATATATATCCCCCAGGAGTTCGTGCACCAAACCATACGCGGATACGGTCATTGGCTGCCCCATTCCACTTCTCCCACATCTTGAGAGTGCCGAGCAAGGAAGTTTCGCGGTTTTCGATTAGACCAGGATGCATGGCCCAGGCATTATCCTTTGCATAGTTGGCGATGTCCATGACAATCTTGCCCAAGCAACCTCGGATACCGCTTTCTTCTACTGCTCGACAAAGTCCATCAAAGCCGTAGCGGTCGGCGAACTATATCAGTGTTGGTAGGAAGGTCTTTTCCAATGTTTCGACGCTGAAAGCTCACCATACTCTCAAGAAAACAAGTGGTCCCCGACTTGAGCATCTCCCCAATACTCAACCGAGCTGCAGCATAGCCATCGGCTTCGGTAAAGTTGCCCTGTAGCACCCAGGTTCTTTCGCATAGCCAGGAAGCTAACTCCGGGTCGTCTGCCGTTCCACGGAGGAGGGTTTGCGCAGTATGCATATGGGTAGAGATCAGACCGGGGATAATGATTCGACCGGAAAGGTCATATTCCTTGTTGTCCGGGTAGCGTTCTTGGAGGGCAGCCGTCTTGCCGACATCTGCAATTCTGTACCCCTCGACCTGAATTGCCCCGCCTTTGATGATGCGACGGGAGTCGTCAACTGTGATAATCGTAGCGTTTGTATAGAGCATGATGGGTGGGTTAGCCTGCCAGGGTTTAGCGTTTGGCGGAGCCCTCTGCTTGCAATATATGCAGTTTCAATACTCGCGGAAGAGAGAGGTTGTACTTCAACTGGAATACTGAGATACCTCAGACTGGAGTCATGGTAAGTCCCATATATCTGGGAGACTTCACCCTTCACTTGATGTGACTGTCAAGTCAGAGACCGCCGAACCACGATGATCCGTGAGGGGAAGATGCACGCAAGATAAGATAACTCGGCTTTGACCAGCTTCATGTGGACGTAGCAGAGTTGGTGGAAATCTCCGATGATATGCAGATCCTGAGTATGATGGTTGACTATGAAAGCTCATTCCTATTGTGCCACCATAATCTATGCTAGTGACCCCTATGATGCACCAGACGGTAATCCCGGCTTTCTCCAACTAAAGATAGGTTCGAAGATACTCGCCAAGGGCCATGATGGCCATTGCCTGTCCATACGGCATAGAGGTGATCGGAACTTTCTTGTAAAACTCTAGCGAGTTGCCCATGCCCGTCCCGAAACTAGTGTTTTGTAGCTCTCCCGTCGTGTCGACATTTGCCATCACGGCCAAAATTGCTTTTTCCGCCACAGGCTGATACCGTGCACTGATATATCGCTTTCGGATGGCTTTCAGCATGCCATAAGCAAAGCCGGCGGTGGCAGATGCCTCGATGTACGAATCTGGGTGGTCGAGGAGAGTATGCCAAGCGCCAGAATCGGACTGGAGACGTTGGAGAGCCTCACACTGGGCATCCAGAGTTTCAATTAGATGAAGTCGGATCGGGTCGGTGGGCTCGAGGTCAAGTAACTCAATGAGCTCGGGGATCACGATCGTGACCCAGCTGTTGCCCCGCGCCCAGCGTGCATCTGTAAAGTTGTGTCCGCCATCCTCGAATGTCCAACCATGGTAGAAAAGACCCGTCCGTGTGTCTACGAGATATTTAATGTGCGTGAGGAACTGTTTCTTGGCCTCGGCGATGTACTCGGGGCGACCCAGCAGTTTCCCGATCTTGGCCAGCGGCATCACTGTCATCATCAAGGTGTCGTCCCACAGTTGTTGGCGATTCTCCGTCAGATAAGTGATATGCTGCATGCCTCCATAACGGGTTCGAGGAAGATCATGCATTGCCCACTCTGCCCAGGCTTCGAGCCAGGGCAGATATGTGACGTTGCCGGTCTTTTCGTACACGTAGGCCAAGGTCAGGAAGACTGCCATGGTATTGATGTTCTTGGTGGTGCCCTCGGCGAGCCTTGCGGCAAACCAATCTTCAATTGTCCGTAACAAGGCCGGGTCACCCGTCAGCTCGTAGTATTTCCAGATGCCATATAATCCAATCCCATGTGTCCACTCCCACCCATGCCAGGACTTGGTGTCAATGAGTCGGCCATCGGACAGGTGAAGAAGAAATCTTCCCGTCTCATCTTTGATATTGACGAGATTCTCGATCAAAAGATTTATCGCTTTGTGCACATCTGGGGCCGGGGGTTTTGTCGACGCCATGGTGAGAGTATCGGTCAGCCACCTGGACTTCCTTCTGACACACCGATTCCAATAAGAAAAGCGAAAAGTCCAGGTATCTTTTGTCGTGGCTCCCCGCTGTTAATAAAGGCCGCGCGAGACGAGAGTTGTTCCACGAATGGGACGGGCCGTGCTGGTGCCACTCCGCGTCCCCGCGCGGGCCCCGGTTGTTTCGGTGCATCTCAGCCCGAGATATACTCATGCACGACCACAAGGCAACTAAGCGAGGCCCATTACTGGAGCCGATGGTCAGATACCACTTCCTTCGGGTGATTGCTACCCCGGATTCCTCTGCAGACCAAACCCTCCATGGGGAAGACTCGCTGGGGATCCCACACCCCCGCCTTGCCAAGAAGCTGGGGAAAAACAAGCACCCCAGAGTCTCATCGCTGATCGGCTAATATGGTTTTCAGAAAATGTGAATGCACAGGGGGCGAGAGAATGCTAATATCAACCAATCTTTACCGGGAACTAGTCACCCGGCTGGTGGAATCCTTGTTTAGCATGTAGTCTGCCCGGGGAGTCCGTGCTCTGAATTCCCGGGGTATTATAAGACCAATTGATCCCCCAACTCTCCCTCAAGAGCCTTCCATCTGGTATAGGTCCTTGGCATGTATGGTCTCCCACCCTTCACCATGGCCTTCGATGAGCGCAAATCCCAACAGGGGATTGAAACGGATCCTGTACAGAATCGTTCTGTCGAGATGGAGGACCACAGCAAGAGGGATATCTCGCATGTCGAGCGCGTCCTATCACCGGATGACGATTTGAGGAAAGAGGACACGGACCACACCCTCGTCGACAAGGAGATTCAGATGTACGCTGCGCGCGGACAGGTAGAAGTTGACGAGGAAACCAATTCCCGGCTGAAGAAGATGATCGATCGCCGCATCTTGGTTATTATGATCTGCACATACTTTCTCCAGGCACTAGACAAGGGAACCATGTCCTTCGCTTCTATAATGGGGATCAAGAAAGATGGAGGCCTCGAGGATGGTCAGAAGGTTCGGGCCCCTATCCATGCGTGTAGTCCGGTTGATACTGACAATGATGTCGTGTAGTACTCCTGGTTGACGACATGTATCTATATCGCCGTGCTGATTGTCGAGTACCCAACCAACTGGATCATCCAGCGTGTTCCCATCGCCAAGTATCTCGGTATCAATATCTGTATCTGGGGAGGTATTCTGGCCATGCACGCTGCTTGCCATAATTTCACTGGCTTGGTAGTTGTTCGGACCTTGCTTGGAATATTCGAAGCCTGCTGCCAACCCATATTCGTGCTTCTGTCATCGATGTGGTATAAGCGTGAAGAGCAGGCGGCAACGGTCACATACTGGTAGGCCACTATCGTGAGCAATCGGTCTGGTCGTCACTCACTGTTGGTATAGGTACATGATGAACGGCGGACAGCAAATCGTCGGTGGTCTCCTGGCATACTGTTTCACACTGATCGGCCACGACAAGGTGATCAAGTCGTGGCAAGCACTTTTTCTGACGTACGGATGCTTCTCCGTGCTTTGGGGTCTGTTCGTCATCTGGTGGATGCCAGACTCGCCGATGCGCGCCAAAGTGTTTTAGCGAGGAAGACAAGCACCTGATGATTGAGCGACTGCGGTCCAATCAGACCGGTATCCAGAACAAAAAGTTCCGGTCTTATCAGATGTACGAGGCATTCCGCGATCCTCAACTGTGGTGCTATTGCAGCATTCAGATTTTCACAACACTCCCGACCAGTGGTCTTGGTGCGTTTGCCGGAATCATCATGACGAGCTTCGAGTTTTCCGTCTTGGAAAGCCAGTTGCTTGCCATGGTCCTTGGGTTTTATATTATCATCATTCTTCTGAGTTCTGCGTGGCTGGTGAAGAAGTTCCAGCAGAACTTGCTGGTGATGCTGGGATTCATCGTCCCGTAGGTGCTCCAGATATGTCGTAGTGGACTGGAGCTAACGTCTACCTCAGGTCTTTCATCGGAACTATTGTCCTGATGACTGTTGAGAATACCACGCTCGCCACCAAGGTCGGACTGCTGATCAGCTATTATATCACGCTGTCTTTCTGGTCCGCCCAGACTTTGTGTCTGTCCATGGTATCCCGCAATATTGCCGGGCAGACCAAGAAGGCCACCGTCGTAGCGGCAACATTCATCTCGTGGGCTGCAGGGAATGCCATTGGTGACACCGATTCTTCTAAAATCCTTGGTCTGATAAGTAGCGCTAACCACCAATCGTAGGTCCGCAAGTATTCCTCGACTGGGATGCGCCGCGATACCATATCGCGTGGAGTGTGCACCTCGCCTGCTACTCCTGTATGACTGTGGCGGTTACCTTCCTGCGCTTCTACCTCATTCGCCAGAACAAGAAGAAGGATGAGATCCTCGCCCAGGCCGGACTCAGCGCAGCGGATCCGAATCTCGTCCATGCTTTTGAGGACAAGACGGATCAGGAGAACTTGAACTTCCGGTATATTTATTAGGCCATGTATGTTTCATGCTTATTTAGTGGCACGGCATGAGTAATAGGTGTTGTGTCGCAATGTCCGGCCTTTTTCAGGCTATTCGAGCATGTTTCGTAGGACAGTAATCGATAATTGGCTAGAACCCCAAAATTTGGTATAGATTGGTAAAAGGCTGACACCCGGAGCTGCCAGTGTAGAAAGAAAGACACTTTTGTACTCATACAACTCGTGAGCAGAAGAAGGTCTTGCGTCGGATTCATTACCATCGATGATCAACTGGCCTCAGATGAGACGTGGGCTCATTGGGCAGCTTTTTAACCTGAATATTGCGCCGTCGAGCAGTTTCATAGACCAATTCACATGCTCGCCGCGCTGCGTGGAGCAAGTCCTCCGGTGCACAGCATTCCGTCTTGTCTTTGAAACCCGTGTCCGGCTCATATTGGAGATCCAAAACGAAGCCCATCGTTTCTAGATTTGGTAGAAATCCCGGTGATTCAAATGCATTCGGCCAATCGGCCCAATGTTCCGATTGGCAGAGCGACACTGGGCCACGAAAGTAGAACGAGGTCAGATTCGGTGGAAGGTACTTATGTAGCGTTGGAAGATAGGACGAGTCGTTAAAGATCTCCCCGACCGATAAGCGTAGGGTTTGCAAATTTTCCATGCGGCGTAAAATCTCGCGGAAGGCGTCTTCCGCAATGAATTGAAAGTCCAGTCCATGGGTAGAGCGAATGTGTAGGGTCTTGAGGATCTCGATCAAATGAGGCAACGCTGCACTCATGCCTATTAAAGTATCCACGGCGTCATCTTCTAGGATTTCCAAGGTCTCGAGATTGATGGAACGAGACGAGGGCGTGTCCTCCTCTATGCCGAGGACCATCGCATCTCGAGGGATGGAGTGGATTTGATCTTGAAGATGTTGCTGATGACTCTCCTCGGACTCTCGATGGGGACCTTGGACTTTGATGGTGAACGGGGTAATATTGGGGGCGATCGTTGACGCGTTTCTTTGAAGAGGACTGGCAGGAATTCTGCGATGAGATAAAACCCTGGTAGATGAACGAGCTTGATAGAGCCTGAGGAAATGTTTTGCGAGATCCACATCAGGGCGGAGTGTCGAGAGGAAGAACAGGGGGGTTACGGGGGTGTTTGTTGTGTTTTCCAATGCAGCCCAAAACACACAACACCGATGTCCTGCAGGTCTCAAAAGCTACACCCTTCCCTCCATTTTTCAGCAAGATATCCATTCTAGACTATATCCGGTTCTTTGCAAACTCCAGTTAAGCTCCTTTGGATCGGCCCCACTCCCGGTCAATCTCCCGCTCGGCGTCATACGAATAACACCACATCTGCGTTGCCGGGTCGCTCCACTGGTTCGGCGAGAAGGAAAATGGACGCCCTGCGACTTCAGGTTCCATGGCCTCATCTCGAGCACGCTGTCGTGGTCCATCGGCAAAATGCCACAATTTTCCGTTGAGCAGAGACGCCTCTTGCATTTTCTGTGCTCGATCGACGCGGACTCTCTCGCAGACCGAGAGAGCGTGCGGAATGTCCTCCCGACTTTGGATGTTTTTTAATGCTCGTGCGAGTGCAATTCCATCCTCGACGGCGATTGCAGCACCTGCATTCATAAGGAATCAGCTATAACCCCCGCGAAAGCCCCCAGCATCTCGTGAGTTGCCCTGGGTAGAATATCGAAATCACTCACCTTGAGACATATACGGAAGCATGGCATGGGCAGCGTCGCCCAATACAATGAGATTTCCGGATACCCACCGGTTCATAGTTGCCCCACTGAATAGGGGCCATTTAAGAGCTTTGTCGATCATTCCGATAATCCGAGTCAAACTGGTGTCATTCCATGGGTCAGTGAAAATGGCTCGATCCAAGGTTCCATTCATATACATACACCGGATCCCAGTCTTGAAATTCGTTCCGCATGTTTTGAAGCGTTTCCTCCGGGTTGAGATTCCATTGCGAGCTGTCGCCACTATCGGGGTGGGACAGAACCATGTTGAAGGACTTGCCTGCCCCGATCACGTAAGTCATGACATGTCGGTTGTCTCCCAGCCTATATTGTGACTCCAGTCAGCATTGTGATGAACATCGTTTGAGAAGCACTTCAGAGACCAAAGGTTGAATGCAGGTTTCTCCAGAAGCCATGATACTTCCGGATCACCTTGCATACGGTCGATGTCTACAACGGCCCGATAGGCTGCAAACCCTGTTCGTTGGGGCGGATGGTCGGCCCCAAGCACGACCTTTCGCGCGGTCGAATTCACCCCTATCGGAAATTGAGTCAGTAATAACCGAAAATGACTCGTGCTAGAGTCATTTTTTTACCATCTGCGGCGACAACCAAATCCGCAAAGACCTTCGAGTCATCGTCCAGGGTGATACTTGGTTCATCTACATCGTACGAAACCACCTTCGATGCCAGTCTGACTGTCACACCCAGATCCACGGCCAGGTCGTGCATCGCCTGGTGGAAATGGGCCCGATGGATCACCCAGTAAGGTGCGTCGAAGTTCTCCCGAAACTCGGGGTAAAGCCGGGTGTGGCCGATCACTTGTCCATTTTGCCAGCGACGCATCAGCACACTCTCGGGTTCTGTCACATACTTCTCGAGATACGGCCCCAGGCCCAGTTTGAGTAGCAGTCGAGTGGAATTGGGGGAATTTGGATTCCGGCGCCCACCTATATCCACGGTTAATATGATTTTTTACTTCCCTCTTTTTTTTTCATAAATTGATTGGGTCATGCCTCAGCCAATTGATTTGCTTGTTCATAGATTGTCACAGAGTGGTTGCGGGCCAGGGCAATGGCGGTCGCCAGGCCCCCGAGACCCGCTCCGACAATGATAACATTCAGGCACACTGGGATATTAATCCTTTGGGTTGTGGAATCCGTGGCATAACTTCGGATAAAATGCAGGCAGTTGCTTGGATAGCTCGGTTCCTGGAAATCGAGCCAGGATTAGTATAGTATGGTATAGATTGGATGTGTTAGGATATAGATCTCATTCGCACCTTCAGCAGATTCCGATCGGCAGGGACGGAGTTGGCCATTCTACCCCAGGATTGAGTTTTAGACCGAAAAATCTGAATGTAGCTTCAGCCTCAATAATTCCTGCGTATTTATCTCTGTCAGCACCCGGCCCGAGATCGCATGGAGGGGCGAAGGCGCACGCGAAATTGCAAGACGAACGGGAAAGTCCAGCCCGAATTAATGAAATCCGCAGACTACCGATTTGTGATCAGCGCGAGTAGCTCGATTCTCGCGGCCAATCGATTCTAGCATACGCCCGGGGGGGCGATGGGCTGATCTGCGCTCTACATCCTGACTGGTGCGTGGATATAGACCAGCGCACTCACCGTCGTCGCTTGGGTGGATGGGTCGGCGATCATTGCTTAGCATAGACAAAACATACCTGCACCTCCCGTGGATCCCCTACCTCAATTGCCTTCGGCGAAGTCAATCTTGCTGTGCGTGGGTCAAAAATCCGAGAATAACAGCCTTTCGCCATAAACAGCCCCCAATCCTTGACTGAAAATCCGCATATCGACTCGATGCATGTATAAACTTCTAGCGTGGGGTTAGGGCCAATGTCAGCCTTGCTGCTCTGTTTCTTGAATCTCCATTCCGCGCATGAAAGACTTCTCCATACTTGCATTCATCTTCTTCCCCCTCCCCTCATTCTTCTCCGTACACTCGGCCGGACACGATGTCGGTCCAGATAGGCCCAGGAGGCTACGGCACCACGCTTTTGGCCGTGGCCTGGGCGGAATTTGCAATTGCTCTTCTGTTGCTGTTGGCCCGCACGTATACCACATGGAGGATCACCCGACATGTCAAGATTGACCTGCATCTGACGCTACTGACATTCGTATGTCTGCCCCTCCCTTCGGTACTATCAACATGCCAGATGACTGACGGCGCCAACTCTTATAGGCCGTCGCCGTCACTAGTATGGCTTTCTTGACACTGAGCATCACCTATGGACTGGGCGAGCACAAGAATTTGCTGTCGCCCGAACAAATCTCGTTGAGCATCAAATGGAGCTGGATGAATCAGGTGCTGGCGATCTTTGCGATTGCCCTGGGAAAGTTGGCGATCGTGGCCTTTTTGCAGCAAATTCATGGACCCGAGGACCGTGGCAAGGTGATTCTGCTGTGGGGGGTGGCTCTCAGCAACCTGGTGATCAACACCATCACCATTGGCATGATCCTCACCCAGTGTACCCCTCGCCACAAGCTCTGGGACGAGGAGGTCCCTGGCAAGTGTGATGGGCGTCTCCGAAACCAAAATACCGCGTACTTCCAAGGAAGTGAGTTCGCCCGTGTCCTTGGTCACGGTGTTCAAGCTGACCATCTCCTTTACTAGGCTGGTCCGCTCTTTGCGATCTCATCCTCGCCCTATATCCTGTGGTCTTTTTCTGGAATGTCCGACTGAATATCCGTGTGAAAGTTGGACTCTGTGTCTTGATGGGCCTGGGCGTGATGTATGTGCCCCGCGGATATCCCTTGCCGCACACCGCGCGGGTGGCTAATGTTGAACAGTGCTTGCGTGTGTTCCATCGTCAAGACCACCTATCTCCAAGTGTTGTCAGAAACACATGATCCTACGTGTTCGTCTCTTTTGTCTCGATAATCCTGCGAACTGCCCTACTGACTCGATCTTGGACAGACTACATTGCCCAACTCATTACGTGGAACGAGTATGCCTAGCCCTAACCGACTCCCGGCAAAGCCAAGACCATACTAACATGGCTGAACAGAACCGAGATGTGGGTTGTGCTGATTGTCGGATGCATTCCTCCCATTCGACCCCTTTTGATGGTGGTTTTCCACAAAGTCGTGAGCACCGCGCGATCGGCGACCGGGCGAACCGATAAAAACCGCACCGGCACCGAGCTGCAGTCCTACTCCCACGCTTCTCGACCACAGGCCAAATCTCGGTCGCCAGGAACAACGCAACTGGGAAGTTCGCTTGATGCGAAAGATAGCGAGGAAAATATCCTATCGCCGGACGCGAACATCGTCAAGACCACCGACTTCAGTTTGTCATACGAAACGGGGTCGACCTCACACCCTGGCGACTACCAATCTCAGGTGCTTCCCAACGAAAGGTTATGATTTCTCTCGATTATCACCACCGCCACTGGCCCAGACAATAGTGGCCCCCTCCGAGCTTGGTCGGGGCCAAGGCGGACGCTACGGAGGGTCCACCCCGATCCCTCGCAGAGTGGATCTCAAGGGTCTTGTAAATATAAATTATAAAGATAGTGAGTAACGAGATCATGTGGATTATAGAATAACGGTTCAATCTGTAAGTGTATAGGTTGAATACGTTCGGTATAATGATGGAATCGGCGTATAGCCCCCAAACATGAGCCATGTGGAAACACCACTGCCAATGCCAATGCATCTCTGCTGCCGTTTTCGACGAGCAAGGGTCTCTCGCAAGGGTGTGTGGGCCATGGGGGTCCACTTGACAAATTCGCGATCCCATCGAGAGTGGTTCATCCACTGGGAACTTCGACTGCTCCTTGACCCACCCGCTGCGTGCTCGTACAATTGCCACGACCCCCGGGGTCGCCGTTCCAAGTGCATCGAATCCTGATTCACAATTCGAGAATCGAGGCAATTCGGGCAAAGATTCCTTCGAGAGAAAATTCCACGTGTGGTCCCGATGCAAGTACAATTGCTCCACTTATTCCCCTCCCTCGCCTGAGGGTTGTCTTAGGTCCTTATCGACTTGCTTCTTTGCTCCCACTTCTTGTTTTTCGACACTGAAAGGCATGACCATCATGGCCAACTACCAATATGGGGATTCGAGCGTGGATGTGATTCCAGGCACGGATGTGATGCGCGATGCCGATGATGCTCATCTCAAGCATTGGAAAGGAAGCGACACTGTGTGAGTTTGACCCATCATGCAAATACCAGTTCAATTCACTGACCTCGCGCAGGCTCATTCCACAGCCCACGAATAATCGCGATGATCCATTGAATTGGTCTCCGGTCTGGAAATGTGAGAGCGAGGCAAACTGCGTCCTATAAATCGAATCCTGTACTTACAATCGCTTGCTCCAGACATCATCATTGCCACCCAGTTTCTGTACACATTCGTCACGGTCGAGTCGGCACTCTCACTGGCCCCGATGTTCCCAATGCTCAAAAAGGAGTGGGATCTCAATCAAACCCAGCTGAGCCTGTTGACGGGAGCGTGTGTGCTAGCTCTGGGCTACGCCAATTTCCTGATCGTCCCCTTTTCAAACATCTTTGGTCGGCGCCTGGCCGGCTTGTCTCTCGGGGTCTTGGTGATCTTGACGGAACTCTGGGAAGCTCTTGCCACCTCGCACCACAGTTTCCTTGCGGCGCGGGTTGTCAATGGCCTTACCACGGCGACCGCCGAGAGTCTGATGGTGCAAGTCATTGCCGACATTTTCTTCCTCCATGAACGGGGATTGTGGACGGGAATCTACTTGTGAGTGAAGCCCCATCTTCCAAGGCTGTATCAATGGTTGTGACTAACGAGGTGATGCTCAGCACGGGCTACTTCTTTGGATTGTTCTTGGGTCCTGTCATTGCCGGAACTATTGCCGAACGGTATGTCTTCCTCTTTCTGGCCGTCCCAAGTAACTAAATTTGCTGACCACTCTCAGGCATGGCTGGCGGAGCTTCTTCTGGTTGTCCCTGGCTCTTTCGGTGTTCAATCTGATCACCATCTTTTTCCTCTTCCCAGAGACCAACTACCAGCGCTCGCCCGCAAGCACGGGTGGCCAGGTCAAGGCTGCGGACGAGCCCACCCAGGTGGTCAACGAGAAGACCGGCGACGAATCGGTCCAAGCTCAAAATGATAATGAGTCCAGGATCAGCTCACAATACGGCCGTGGGCGCCCCTCGATGAAACAGTTCATGCCGTGGCGAAAGCCCGATCCACGATGGAAGAGCTTCCTTATCCGTGATATCTTGTCTCCATTTCGGGTGTTCTTCTACCCCATCATCTTTTGGGCCGCCTTGAACCTCGCAGGACCGGCCAACCTGCTTCTGTTTTGGAACCTGACCGAGTCCTCTTTTCTCTCCGAGCCGCCATACAACTTCTCGAGCTCGGGTGTCGCATACAGCAACTTTGCTTTCTTTATCGGCGGCACGATTGGGCTGGTGACCGCAGGACCATTCTCTGACTGGATTGCCGATCGAGCCACGCGCAAGAACAACGGAGTCCGCGAGGCCGAGATGCGTCTTCCCGCGCTCATCCCATTTTTCATCACCACCGTCATCGGCGTCGTTGTCGGCGGCATCGGGTATGAACGCCAATGGGCCTGGCCGATCATCCTCGTGTTTGGATACGGTCTCACGGGGCTCAGCGTGACGACTGTGCCGACTATTTCCATCGCCTATGCCGTCGACTGCTACAAGCCCATCTCTGGTGAGATCATGGTTGTTGCCACGGTTGTCAAAAACACCTGTGGTTTCAGTATGAGCTACTGGGTTGAGCCTCTGGCTGAGCGGAAGGGTTTGATTGCTCCTGCCATGGTTGAGTTCGCACTCACCGTTGGACCCTTGGTTCTTGCCCTGCCGCTGTACTTCTACGGGAAACGGCTCCGTGGCATGACCCGCCACTCCAAAGTTCATCAATGGTCGGAGATCTAATCGAGTGGCTGTAAGAGATTGGCAAGTGTACTGTACATGATGAGTTTTAGACGATGTTACTTGGGCATATATCTACGACTAATTGGGTTTCATTTTGGTTAGTTTTGAAGGCATGGATTGGTTTATAGTTTGTTCATATACATATATATACATTTGAGGAAAGACATTGACACTCATTTCCTACCTTTCCGGGCTTCCAGAAAAGAAAATGAGAAGAAAATGAGAAACTTAACTCGAGCTCTACACAGCTAGACCCAGTAGACATCCACGTTTGGCGCGAGCACCCAAAGGCGAGCAATGACGCCCTTCGAGGGAAACTGCGTGATGGCCACTGCGGGCTGGCGTAGCCCCACCGCCCATCCCAAGCAAACGCGCTTTCATCTTCCATTCTTCTGCTTTGAACCTCGCCTGATCCCATCTGTATGATACAATAACCTTTCGGCAGAATGGAGTTGGACGGCCTGGTGGGCAGCAACGGGGCTGCCTACCGGCCACGGGAATACCAGTTGGAGATGTTGGAGGCGAGTCGCAAGCAGAATATTATTGTTGCGGTATGTCGATCTCATTTTCAGTTGCATGCATCATGCTCACATTCATCTTTAGATGGACACGGGGAGTGGGAAGACCCATATGTATGTTGCTGTCTGCTGTTGAAATATTGCTCCATCGAGGACATTATCTGATCAGATCACTAGTGCGGTGCTACGGATTATCGCAGAGCTCGAGACATGCTCACCAGACAAGGTAATCCTTTTAAGGCCCTCGGACAGCTTTTATCTTGTTTTTCATATTCTGACATTTCATCCAGCTGGTTTGGTTTCTGGCACCTACAGTGGCATTGTGTCTCCAGCAGCATGAAGTCATCGCTTCCCAAATCCCCTCTGTCAAAACTCGGGTCTTGACTGGCCTTGACAATGTGGATCGGTGGACAGAACAGGCTGTCTGGAATGAAGCACTCAAAGATGTCCGCGTGGTGGTGTCAACGCATGCTGTCCTCTCAGATGCTTTGTGCCATGGTTTTGTCCTAATGTCTTTATTAGCTCTCATTATTTTTGATGAAGGTAAAGTGGGTTTGAGCTTTTGACCTCTGAGATTCAATACTAAATTCTTTTACGCAGCGCATCATTGCACTAGGGGCCACCCAGCAAATAAAATCATGAAGAACCATTACCACCCGGCCCGTCGAGATTTCGGTCCTCATGTTGTACCCCGGATTCTGGGTCTCACAGCCAGCCCGATCGTTAGGTCCAGCGGGGAAGAACTTCAGTTAGTACCGGCTCTATATCTTCTCTTCTTTCACTTATTCATCTCTTATCTCCAGGGTTATCGAAGCCAACTTGGACGCGGTATGCAAGACACCGCGGGTTCACCGTACTGAGCTCCTCGAACATACCCACCAGCCGCACCTGGAGCGTGTCGAGTATTTGCCGTGTGGCAAAGAGGACTATGGTCGTGGGAGCCGGCTGCTTCTCCTACTCACGGAATGCGCAAAGGCGTATGAAATCAAAGATGACCCCTATGTCGAGATGCTGCGCCGGAATCCAGACAAAAAGGCGAAACTTGATGAGACATTAAGAACAGGCAAAACCTTCTGCAGCGCACAGCTCAAAAAATTTGTGGAGCGAAGCTGCCACATATACGATGAACTGGGAGGCTGGGCAGCGGACTATTTCATCGACGCCTCGATTGACCAGCTGCGACGGTCGATCCACGATGCCAGCTCACTAGATGAGCTGGACCGGATGGAAAAGGTCTATCTGCTGGAGCTTCTCTTTTCTATTAATGCGCCCAATGATGTCCCCGAGAGTTCCCACACCTCCCCCAAGCTCCAGACGTTGCTCGAATTCCAGGGGAGGATGGACAGTCCCGAATTCTCCGGTCTGATATTCGCAAAGCAGAGAGTAACGGTCAGCATGCTGGCCCGGATACTGTCGATGCACCCTGCAACAAAAGACCGCTTCCAGTGTGCTGCATTTGTTGGTTGGTCAGGAGCCGGCAATCGTCGAGAATGGCTTGGCGAAATCCTTAGTCGGGATATGCAGCGTGACACCCTCTCTGAGTTCAAAGCCGGCAAAAAGAACCTCATCGTAGCGACGGATGCATTGGAAGAAGGCATTGATGTCAGTTCCTGCAGCCTGGTCATCTGTTACAATAAGCCATCCAACCTCAAGTCCTTCGTGCAGCGGCGTGGTCGAGCTCGGCACAAGGAGTCGACATATGCTATCATGATTTCTACTGAAGATGACTCGCTTGACTTGTATAAATGGCAACAGTTGGAACAGGCCATGGTCAAGGCATATCAAGATGACCAAAGACAACATCGCCAAGCCTGGGAAATGGAAAGCATCGACGAAGAGGTGGCTGATCGATTGTTTGTTCCATCGACTAAGTAAGAAGTCCCCCGGTACTTTCATTTATATGATACCAATGACTGAGGCAATTAGTGCTCTTTTGACAGCCGAAGAGGCAATGCAGCATCTTCATCATTTTTGTGCCGTGTTGCCATCCAATGACTACACCGACAACCGGCCCATGCTTTCTTTCGAAGAGGATGCTGGCAGGCTGCTCAAAGGGACTGTAACACTGCCCAGTTGTGTACATCCAGCAGTTCGCCGGACTCAGGGAGTGGGATGGTGGCGAACGGAACGAGCAGCGAGGAAGGAGTCTGCATTCCAGGCATACAAGGCCCTTTGGAAATACGGCTTGGTGAATGACAATCTTTTGCCTCTCACCAGTAAGCCGGAGCTGAGATTCACCGAAGTGAAGGAATTGCCCTCCATCGTGGAGTCGTCAGAGCAATACGATCCCTATGTCGATTTGGCACAGGCTTGGGCCTCGTCCGAATTGTACCAGACTTGCATCAACGTGACCAGCAACGGATCGGTCAATGAAGATTTGTCCATTACTATGGTCCTACCGAAGCAGATTCCAATGCCAGAGCCAATGCCATTTTATTGGGACAGCGACTACACCTTTCTTGTGTCACTCACTCCCACGACACCCATCCCGGGAGTCACAGCGGAAACAATTCACCAGATGAGGCGAATTACATCCATGTACCTTCAAGCTCCGAGTTCGCGGCAGCGTGGTCCGGAGCAAGACTTTGTCGCACTCTTTGTCCCCAACATTCCCCACGGAGAATTGGAAGAATGGTTCCTCCAATACCAAGGCAGCGAGACAGCCATGGACGTCTATTCACGCGGCGAAGCAGGGTTTCCCATAGGCATCGTCCGCGACCAGTCACGGTTCTCCGAACCACGCACATTCAAGAGATGGATTGTGCCCGGGGTATCCTCGGCAGTAGAGCTGGAATGCGAGTCCCTACTGCGTCGAAGGAATCTTCTCCAGGTTCGAGCCTTGGCTGTAGCGGAGGATGGAGAGGGTCCGACTCTCAAGGCGCACACCCTTCCTGCCGCAGCGTGTACCATTGACAAGCTCCCCGCCCAAAAGGCAGTATTCGGGCTTTTTATCTCCGCGATTCTTGATCGACTAGAAGCCGCTATGGTAGCGCACAAACTCAACGATACAATCCTCAAAGGTGTTGGGATTCAAAATCTCAGCCATGTGTTGACTGCTATCAGCACGCCCATCGCGCAGGCGAGCACCAATTACCAGCGATATGAATTCTTTGGGGACTCGGTCTTAAAATTCACCGTCTCGTGTCAACTCTTCTTCACAAGCCCCCAATGGCACGAGGGCTATCTCTCTGAGAGCCGTGACAAGGTCATTCAGAACAACCGGCTCGCGCGGGCAGCCCTCGACACCGGGTTGGATAGCTTCATTCTGATCCGCAGATTCACACCGCGGAAATGGGACGCTCCCCTCATTTCACAAAAACTAACACCGACGTCCGCCAAGCGGCAGCTGTCAAGCAAGGTCTTGGCCGACGTGGTCGAAGCTCTCATCGGCGCCGGATACATGGACGGCGGACTGCCCAAGGCGCAGGCGTGCCTGCATCGGTTCCTGCCGGAGATTGAGCTCTTCACAAACAACATTCCCTCGTTAGACGTCCCCACCGGGAAGGGCGTGAGTAATCTCGTCGACCAGCATTGCCTGGCTCGCCTTCTTGGATACACCTTCACCGACGCGGCGCTCCTGACCGAAGCCCTGACCCACCCATCGTGCGAACATGACACCACCACGCAGTCCTACCAGCGAGTGGAATATTTGGGAGACGCCGTCCTCGATATGGTTGTTGTGGATGCAATCGCCGCACACCCTACTCAACTTCCGCAGGGCCAAATGACGCTGATCAAACACGCTGTGGTTAATGCTAACCTCCTCGCATTCCTGTGTATGGAATTTTCCATCGAAGTAGACTCCAGCGATGCTAATCAAGGCCCTGGTGGTGATATCGGGCCGGTGCCTCTGCACAACCAGATCAACCTCTGGCGCTTCCTCCGTTTCAACGGACCAGCCATCAGAACGGCCCGCGAGGCGTGTCTCACACGGCATCATGCCCTCCGCCAGCAAATCCATGCGGCGTTACAGCATTCCCCAGACTATCCCTGGGAACTGTTCACGTATCTTCACGCAGACAAGTTCTTCTCGGACACTGTGGAGAGCGTGCTGGGCGCTTTGTTCATCGACTCGCGCGGGAACCTCGAGCTGTGTCGGGCATTCGTCGAGAAGATCGGTCTCTTGCAGTATGTTCGACGGGTGATCGCAGATGGTGTCAATGTCGTTCACCCGCGCAACACTGCCCAGAACATGGTCAAAAGCGTGGGCAATCTGATCTTCAATAGAAAGAGGATGGAAGCCAAGACGGGGGCGACGTATCGTTGCTCGGCGCTGGTGAACAAAGTTGAGATTGCTGCGGTTGACGGCTGTGCCACGGGCGAAGAGGCCGAAGTGAAAGTGGCCCACGCGGCGATTGCGTATCTGAAGGCGCAGCAGGAAACCATGGAGTGAGTTTTACAAGTTTGCTGCTCGAGGGGGATGCCGGTTTGAATGAGTGATGGCGATATGACGAGACAATATTTGCGATGGCATTTGCAGCGGCTACTTTTGCTACGCATCTAGAAATAGCTTCAACTAGCGTAGAATCACAACGTACATACTTGGAAGCACTTTTTCCCTTCTAGCTTGATTATCTACAATAAGACGCAGAACTCGACCACATCGAAGCTTAAAAAAAAAACGCTGACATTGTAACCCCGTTAAGCTACTCCGTCGTCTTGGCTCCGTTGCGTTTGGACCGACGCACCGGTTCCGGCTGCGAGTCTTCCTCGGGAGAGTCGGAGGGGGTCTCCTGGGGTTCATCGGAAGGACGCGAGACCGATTGGTCGTCGTCACTGGGGGTGACATCGACCTCGTCGTCGAGGGCCTCGGCGGGCTGGGGTACAGGCTCCACCCTTGACGGCGCCTCCCATGTACCACTGGAAGGAACGCGATCGGCACGCAAGCTTGTAAGAATCTTTGTGGTTTCGCTCTCAATGCCATTCCAGGCTCCGCAGCTGCCACAGCGCCAACGGCCCAGTTCTTCGGGGGTGTTGATGCCCGGGGGAGCTTGGCCGTTGACGAGCCTACATGAGCCGCAGACCATGGCCATGCGGTTGCGTGGCTGGGTCTCGTCTTCGCCCAGCAAGACGTCGAGAAGGCGGTCGTACCAGTGTGGCTGTTCGATGTACTGGCCCTGGTTGGGGAATGCATTGGGCGCGAAACCTGGCTCGTCGGTGGGAGGAAAGGAAGGCCCGGGGACGGGTGCAGGTGACGCATTACGCGGCGGTTGCGGTGCGGCCGGGATCTCGTAGGAAGGAGGTTGAGCAGAGGGATTGGGAGCAGGCGCAGGAGGTGGACGGCGGATGTTGGCGGTGGGCGGCGGAGGCAGTCCCGTGCGAGCGACGGGTGGTTGCGGCGTAGCCGGCTTTTGTTTCACGTTGTCGGGCTTGGGGCTGGCTGGTTTGGGTGACTCGCCGCCATATTTTTCGAGCAGCTGCTGCGTGGAGTTGTACTTCGTGGCAACCTTGAGCTTCTCAATGGTCTCCTCACGCTGTTTCTGAAAGTCGTCGAGTCGATGCTGGATGCGGGATATGCGGTAGTCAAAGAGTCTCGCGCCAAGAGAGCGGACGGCGTAGATACTAGAAAAGGAGCAAATGGTTAGTTGGATGTTTGTTTGCCCTGCATGAATGACCAAAGCACAACGTACAGCACCGGTCCACCAACAATGGCCGCATATTCCTTTACACCCCAGCTATCCCATCCCAGAACCAGGGCCAGTATAATCGAGTAAAAGAGGTAGGCAAATGTCGAATATAGGGTCCAGAGAGCTTTGAAACGACGAGAGGCTTGACGATGCTGGTCGAGGCGCGAGCTGGCCTGGGCGATTTTCGAGGACAGCGTCGACAGGGTCTTCTCGAAGGAGGCAGGGGAATTATCCTCGCCCTGGAAAATTTAGTATCGTATGTTCCATAATCCTTGACTATGTAGAATTCTCACCTTCCAGGGCCACAGTGACACCATCGTGTTGGGGTGAACAAGGGCGGAGCAGCCGAAGCTCCTGGTGTTGGCGGGCACGGGCCACTTGACGTCTTCTCTAGTATGTATGTAGCCTCTCTATGGCAATCCTACGAACACGCCAACCAAAAATGCGTCTATATTACACAGTTCGCTGGTCTTTGCTTCTTTCTAGTGGTTTAAGGAGGCATATTAGTGAGTAAAAACTCGATTTTCTAGGCTTTTCATCTAACTTTGACTCTTTTTTTCTTCTAAAGCTGTATTCTTTGCTAGAATATATCCCAGCATATTTGGACTAGTCTTCTAGTTTTGTTCTTGTTAGAAATTTATTTTCTATTTCCCCAGTCTTGACTTTTTTTCTTTTCTGTTCCTTTTCTTGGTAGTATAGTTAGTAATTCTATTTTCTATTGATCAAATTAGATAGAGAGGCAAGGGGCAGCCGAAGAATAAGAAGAAAGAAGTCTTTAAGGGCACCTAGGCTAATGACTAGGTGAACGTCACGTTCGGCACTAGGAAACTCGAGACATTACGTGGTTTTGGCGCAACAGCCCTTCTGCCATGTATTCCTGGATTATAAATGCGTTTTCAAGTCGATATGGTACATTCATATTAAATTGACCACCGAAACCAGGGATTTGCTCAGAAAGCTGTCGTCGAGGATGCACATGGAAACCGCGCCGATGGGTATCGTGTCTTTTCCAACCCAAACGAGAAAGAAGGGAACGAAAGCAGAAAGAGAAGCAAACACCACAGGCTCTCCATGTGCTGGCCTGGTTATGCAAAAGAGATAAAAACCAAAACCCCAACCAATTGGCATCGAATACTCATCAAGGACATTAGAAAAATCGTCAAGGCCATAAATATCATTTAGTAGAAGACCCTCCGAGGCACGGGTGTTCGACCCAGAAGAACGGCCGATAGCCGTGGCGAAATAGGCCAACCGGTGATTTAACTTTGATCAAACCACCCACCGATCTCCCATTGACCAGGCTTGTAGGTGGCTTTTCCGCGGGCCACCGGATCACACAAGCCGCTGAGGAGCACATTGAGCCGGGCAAAGTCGATGGGTTTCATGACCCAGCCATCAAAACCGGTATCGATATAGAGCTGCTTGTCCTTTTCCAGAAGTGAGGCTGACACTGCAAAAATGGGAATCCGGGCATTCCGTTGGGCTTTAGTCGAGAGCGCACTTTTTGTGGCCTTGGCTTCAAAATCGCGGATCATCTTGGCTGCGCTTATGCCATCGGCAATGGGCATCTACACAGGAGTGGTTAGTGAGAAAACAGGAACATGGCGAGGTTCACAGTATACTGACCTGAATGTCCATCAAAACGACGTCGAATGACTTGCTCTGGTCCATGAAAGCGTTTGCGCATTCCTCACCGTTGCTGGTGAGTTGAACCGTGTAGCCGAGCTTGGTCAGACGTTTGTGGACAATCTTGCTGTTGACCGGGTCATCCTCGGCGACAAGCACCGTCAGTAATTTTGAATCGGTAGATGGTGCAGTGGTTGGGGCCGTTGGAGACGGAGGAGCAGTGGAAGGTGCATCTGACATCCCTGCACTTGGTGCGTCGGTTGGCGGGAAATAAGAATGATCACGAAGCATCTGTGACTGGTGATGTTGGTGCTGCCCGCCTCGCTCAGAAACACGGACCGCGCCCATCGGAACGCCCGAATCAGTAATATTCTGCACACCTGGAGGAGGCGGGGTCACAAGTGGCTGCAGTGTAAGGGGTGGTGCATGCGTGACGGTGGAAAGACTGGCGAGAGGGTCGTGGGTCGTTGTGGAGCGCCTGAGGGTCGATGGAGGGGAGCCCGTCGGAGGCGAAGTCATACTACCGCCCCGGGGGCTCATGGAGTGTCTCATTTGCCTCGTCTCGAACTCTTCGCTGGTGCTCCTGTGGATCAACGGAGGCTCCTGCATGGCGCTGATAAGACGATCGGCATGGCTTTTCCCGCTGCGGAGACTTTCAGAGCCCCGTCGCCTGCTCTCGCTGGGGGATTCGGATGCGCCGCCAACTAACGTGAATTCCTTGCCCGACGCCATGGGAGTCTGTGGCACGGTATGGGCAGGAAAAACAGCCTCCGAGGGGGGTTGAGCCGATGCTCCTTCTGGAAGTCGGAACTGCAAGATGATCTTGAATCGACTACCCTTGCCTTCATCAGACCGAACGCCAAGCTGGCCATGCATGTTGTGAACGATCCGAGCCGCCAATGCGAGACCGAGGCCCAAAACACGCGTCTGTTCCGGTTTCTGGGGTTCATCATTTTCCGGGTAGGGATTTTCATCGTTGGAGACCTGCTCGAGCTCCTGGAAGAGCATTTCCAGTTTGGGTTTAGACATACCCGAACCCGTGTCGATGACCATCATTTCTACTGAAACAAGGTCCGCGGCTGTCTGTTTAGCCGAGCGCCACATCTCGACTGTGACAGTACCTGAATCCGTATGCTGGATGGCATTTGAAACAAGATTGGAAAAGACCTGCCGCACGCGCCGCTGATCACCCAGCACGAATGGAGGGAGGCCGGGGTGTGCCCAAGTTGTGTACGAGATATGTTTGCGCCTGGCTTCACCAGCCAACATGTCGGTAGCTTCTTGGAAGGTTGACAGGAGATCAAAAGTTTCGTCTTTGATGAGGGCTTGGCCTTTCTCGGTGTTGGTCAGGTCGAGAAGGTCGTTGATGACGTAGATGAGAGACTTGGAGGCAGAATGGGATTTGGTCAGGCTTTCGCGAGTTTCAGAATCAAGAGCCCCTTCCAACGCAATCTCGAGATAATTGATGATCGCATTCAACGGGGTGCGGACCTCATGTGCAGAGTTGGCCAGCAAAAGTCGGGTCAATTGGGAGTTTTGCATCGCAGCCTCTTTTTGCCGCCAGACCTTGATGAACTTGCCGTACACCAGGCACAGCACGGCGGCAGTCTCCACGTCGGATTCAGACCACTCGCGGGATTGGCTCACGACCGTTTCACGCCACGCAGCGAAGCTTTGACGAGGTTCCAAATAGCCCTCAGTCTTTTTTTGGTTTGCAATGTCATACGGGTTTCCGGCCCATTTGATTTCCGTCAGTTGACCTCGACGGAAGAAGACAATGAAGTCACTACCGCCAGTAGATAGCGGCACATAAAGCAAGCCCGAGATGGTTTTCAAGCCAGGGGGATAATGAAGATCGGGAAAATCCTTGGTGATATCGTGCGAGGCAAGAACAGATGGCATCCGTCTGATACGTAGAAACTCCAGCAGTGCTAATATTTCCTGGGAATGCGAATTGTTGCCCAACAGCTTGGTTTCGTCGCGAATAGACAAAGCACCATAGTCCGCATCGAAAAGTTGGAGCAGGTCGTCCGAAGATGCGATGATGTATCCCGATGGGCTTGCTTCGGTGGGAACGGTATTGATCAACTTGCGTGCTTGTAGGCGAGATGCGTAGGAAAGGCGTTCAATATTGCGTGCTACCGTATCGCCCAGCAGGCGACACATCTTCCGAATGGGAAATGCAACCCGCGTTCCGGTGATTCCATAAGAATGGCACGAGATCAACCCCCAGAGGTCATTGAAGGCATTGACGCTAATCGACATGGATGACCGCACTTGCATGTGCGCCAAGTACTTGATGTGGATGGGTGACATGGCCCGTAGATATGCATGCGTCATGTCCAAGGGGTTTTCAAGGTCTTCCAGTGTTCGACAGACAAGGCGAGAGGTGTTCTGGTCTCGATCGTATAGTAACCGTACCTTATTGATCTTGTAGAGCTCGCGAGCCTGGGCGGGGATATCCGAGGCCGGGAAACGAAGCCCTTTGTAGAGATCGACGCTGACTTTCGGATCCAACAACTCGGCTACGACCATTCCATTCCAACTGCTATCAAACTGAGAAACTAGTAAGTATGTGAATGGTCCGGAGTTCAGAGGACGAGGGGATTCTTACCTGGTAGATTAAAACCCGGTGGAAGCCAGTCAGTTCCTTTACTAATCCAGCCGTCGTATTGAGCAATGTATCTAAATCACTTGCCCGGCCGAGCTGCTCCTGGATTTGAGTAAGGATACTGAAAACCTCCATTGCCGCAGCTTCGCCCTTCCTTCGCCGCGCACTGCGCAGAGTGCGAAGTGGTTGGCTGATATTAATGGTACTCGCAGCTAATTGCTCCGGAGTAGGAACAATGCCTAGGGTGTCCGCAGTCTGAGCTGGTGTCGCCTGGCCCTCGACATTCAAGGGATTGATCTCATCGTCCTCGAGCTCGAACTCGCAGATAATCATATCCTTTTGGGACTGGCTGACATGTGTGGCACACCAAAATCGGCGCCTCTCCCCGGATGGCGTGGGGATGGACAAGACGAATACCTCAGGCCCGTCTACAATCGGGTCATGAGCATCATCACGAACGAAGTCTACGTGGTCCAGAAGTATGTCCGCTTGGTCGTCCGGCAGAATGTCACAGAAGTTCTCCAATTCAAACAGCTGTTTTGGTGAATATCCCATAAGTTCGCCAGAGTTTTCACTGACCACGCGCACGACGAGTTGATTCGGCGATTCCCCCCGCATTGCAATCATCACCCCAAATCCTTGGGTTGCACCGGGAAAGCGAATTGGCTCATCTTCACAATACTGGAACGAACCCCCGTCTCTTCCTGTGATCACCGCATGCCCCCCTTCGGTCGTCACATGTTTGAAGCGGGCGGTCATATGGTCATGGCCGTCCCGAGAGGCGGGTGTCGGCGATTGCGCAGAGCTTGCCCTTGACTGGTTATCGCTTGCGGCTTTGGCATAAGTCTCCGGGTGCTGCTGGAGCACCGACGCCATAGAGTGGGTGGCCAGTTCTGTCTGGTCCTGGATGGCATCGGTCTCGTGGCCTGGGATGTTCGACTGGGGGTTTGACAAGGGTTGCGACTGTAGTTGATTCCACGTTTGGGAATCGATGATTGAATACTGCCGGGGCCCATCTCGGGTGGGCGATGCAGGACCCCGCGACTGAGTCGGAGGTGGATTGGCGGTCGGGTCAACTGTCACAACGGAGCGAATTGGAAAGACGCGGTCCGTACTATCGAACCCCGTGGGGACTGGGCGTTCAGGGTCTTTGTGTGTAGTTGACTGGGCGCGATGCCTCCTCTCCGGCTCAAGCGAAACTGGCCGTGATGGGGACGTTACGCTCTCGGACCGATTCCGCGGGGCCCCTGACCCGGTGTCGGGTTTTGGTGAAGCCATTTGCGCACTCAGCCGAACAAGAGATGCGATGGTACAACGACCACAGGGACCAGAAGCGTCAAGGGGGAGGGGTCAGCGGAATATTGCAACAGTACCGGGTTTCGCACGATGGTGGGGGGGGGGCAACAGCCAGAGAGCCGCGCGCTTGCGAGAGAAGTCATTCTAGGGAAACCGAACCGGGGTTAGGGGATGGTCCTGGTCATATTTGACCAATTTGAATCATCCATAATGATTGGTGAGTAGCCCCCAGCAAGCGCGATGTGGGCTGGTGGCCGGGGGGCTACGCGAAAAGTTGGAAAAAGTTGGAAAAAAGTTGGGAGAGTTGGCACGGAAGTTGGAACGGCCGAGACAGGGCGGCATGTAGCGGGTACCACATAAATTAGGAAGTACCCAGTATCCCAATATCAGCACTAGAGATCGAATTCGTCGTGGATGCTAGGGCATTCGAAAGGATATATACACGCGTGCATGTCTGCAGTAGCTATGTATCTGGGCCTTTTCCACATTGCATTTGTAGAGCAAAGCTGCCAGACTATACCAAGGGGCCAACCTTAATTAGAAAATTGAGAACGAGTGAATTGTCGTAAATCATGCGAGAGGAAAGAGGGAGGAAAGGTCGATAAAAAGTGACCATGGAATATTCCAAATTTGAAGCAATAGTGCGATCGATCTAGTTCGAGGCAATCGAAGCTACCATCCCACGATCTCCAGCAAAACAGACAAACCACGAGTCAATTGAGTGCGACGGGTGAAATCAATGCAAACTGCCGTCGGCCAATAGGGTTCTTGTCCTATACTGTTGGTATGATCGTCAAACGTCGTCCTGAATCATGGGGGCCATCGACATGCATCTATATGTAGGGCGCTTTATGTTCGTCTATGGCTAGCAATCGTTTATATGGTTTTCTTCCATCTATATGCCTTTATTTCAAGCGGTTCCCCCGAAAACTTTCGATCCTGCCATAATTCTCTCGGTCCAGCCACTATGACTACCGTCGCAGGAAACTACCCTGAGGCAAAATTTCAACAATTTCAACGTGATCCAGTCTGTCTACAAGAACGTCGACCAACATGGCATTCGATCCAATATCTTGACTCCTATATCTTTGCCTACGAGCGGGCAGAGGCCCGTAATTGCACGAGTCTATGGCGGAGGATTGGTAAGTGTTTATCAATGGGCAACTCCCTCAATACCTCAATACCGATACTATATCTGACCACCTCATCCAGTTCCGTGGAGATTCCATCTACGCCGACTGGTTCCCAACGTGGCTTTTACAGTTATCAGAAGCCCATGCTGCCGTGATTGTCTCTCCCAATTATCGCTTCCTTGCTGAAGCCAACGTGGCCCAATTCCTGAAGGACATGCACGAGTTTTGGTCGTGGTTGCATTCTGACGATTTTGCTCATCCCTTGACACCTCATCACGTTAGCTCGATCTCACTTGTATGCTGACCACTGGCGACTCGGCCGGTGGAATGCTCACCATTTACTTGGCCCTCACCTACCCCGATCAGATCCGCGCCGCGATCGCCAGGTATCCGCTACTCAGCTCAGCTGGGATAACCCACTGCTGCATCCTCAAATTCGGAGCTGGATGAATCCCGAGGTGCCCGAGTCTTATCTGAACGAGCACCTTGCCAACATCTAGCCTGGGCAGATCGAATCTTCTGATCTGGATCTTAAACGCATCCGGCTGCAATCGGCCATTTCTCAACATAAGAGGGGCCCGGAGCTATATGCTCGTGACTCCGAGAATTCCCCTTGTCGCGGGCGTCTTTTCCAACTGGCTCGGTTAGATCAGCCCGACACGAAGCTTCCTCGGGGTGGTCTGGTGATTATGCACGGTGTCGACGATGGCATGGTTGTTCCACTGGCCAGTGAAAGGTTTGTGGAGAAGGCTCGGGCTACTATGCAAGGGAGACAAGGGGGCAAGACCATCGTGCTTTCTCTTCGGCCTGGTGATCATGGCTTTGACGTCAATTCATCGTTGGAGGATGAGTGGCTGAAGGAGGCTCTCAAAACAGCGGTGGAGCGTTCTGTTGAAATTGTGTCTTGGGGGATAACTCGGGTTTTTGTACAGTCGTGTCCACAGCTGGCCTCACCTGTATTCTCTCGCCATGCTTACGATATCTGTATAGGAGTCATTTTCTAGGCTCTCCTCAAATGATCAATACCGCGACAGGATATGTTGCTGAATCAATACCAGAATCAGTATTTATTTAGCCACCGGACTACATATTTATGCTGCCGATCCGGTTAATGTCGCCTTCACCAACTCCTCCAGATCCGCCTCGGTTTTGAATCCAATGCCCAGCAGCTCATTATCAACATGCTTGAATCTACCCCCATACCCCTCAGCAAAAACAGCCCGAGTCAGGAATCCCAGCGATGATTCCAGACTGATAATCCCCTTGGAATATTGCTCCTGCGACTGGGCCTCTAGGTCGGCCGTGCTCACAGTCACTGGCTCCCACTTGCGCGCGGGGGCGATCTTCCGGGCGATAGAAAGCACCTGCTGCTGGGTGGTCACAAGATCATGAACGAAGATCGCCTTGTTCTTAGTCTCTTGAAGATGCGTCAAGACACTGACGACAGATTTCCCGATTGTGGCCAGGGTAGTGCTGCTGAAGGGCCTATCTCCACCATCGTAGAAGACTGGGTTCTCGGACTTGAAGTTGACATGGAAGCCAAAGGCCAGACCCCAGTCCAGGAAGACACCGTTGCGAATAGAGGTGTAGCTGAAGTTGGGATACTCTCGGGCCTTTTGCTGGAGAGCTTTGTCGACGGCGACCTTGGTCTGATATACGGGCAAAGTAGATGACTTGGCATTGTCCGTGTCCGAGCCGAATTCCGAAGGGATGAACCTCTTGACCCCGGTGGCGATAGCTGCATCGATCAGTGGGATCTCGAAGCCCAGCGCAGCAGAGCTCAAGGTCGAAACCACGGCATCCTGGCCTTGCAGGGCGGTAGTAAGCTCTGCTCGGTTGTCGTAATGGACTGGGATTACTCGGACGTCCGAGGAGAACTGGGACTTCGAATCGTGTCGAGTCAAGACAGATACATTGAATTGCTTGGAATCCAGGAGGGCGTTTAGGACCGGTGCCCCAAGAATCCCGGAGGCCTTGGGAAGTGTTAGCAGGAAGATCCAGTAGATGGTAAACTCATAGACCTACCCCGGCCACGACGACATTTTTGATAACGGACATATTGCACTTGATATAGCACAAGTTGGATTGATTATATCAGAAATTCTGTAATGAATAGAGAAGCTGAGTTTGGGGTGAGTAGCAACTCAGGATCAAGGCGATGTACGTGATTGATTTATACCCAAGTCCTTACCAGCCAGTGTGCCTTGTACAGTCGTCCCTCATAGAGAATGGCTTGTGGTTTGATTTCTAAGACGACGAGGTACTCGCGTCTACTTTGCGAGCGAGCCGGTCGACTTCCGCTGCTCGTGGGGGCTCATGGGGGCGAAGGATCGGTGGACCATAGTGCGCACTCTCGGATTAAGGGCTCGTAGTCCGAGCGATGACACGAGAAGCATTCCAATCACATAAAAGGAAAGGAATATTAGCAAGGACAGCGACTTGATTGCTAAGAGCTGATTGCGGTTGCTTAGCGAGCTCGCCGGCCGTTTTCCGCATGCCATCAAAGGCTCGGCAAAACATCGGAGTTACTGCATTTGTATACCCCGAACGGCATCACGGAATCCTCGGGCTATGGCTCACAGCCCTGTATGAAAAAAGTGCCCTTCTAAATAGCGTCAACAGAATAGCATTACCATACCAGCCGCTGATCCTCACTTGGCCGGGTGGATTTAGGGTCAATAAAGAGTAAATATCAGATTTTATAGCATTCTTTACTGTGAGGAGTCTATCTTATTTTCAATACTCTGTTATTTACTTTGATCTAAGCGTACTATAGCCATATCTTCCTAACCCTCTTTTTAATACTTTTTTTCTTCTGTTACTTTTTCTACTTTGTCTACTTTTTCTACTTTTTCTTATTATTATAGAGAGGGGGTAAGTAGTTCAGAGTAAACGGGACTATATCAAGAGAATATTTGCTTCGTACAAGGAAAATCTGCCCAGGTCAATTTTTAGGATTCATATATTCTTGTACTATAAATATCTTGAACTATGAGCAAAAATCATAGATCAACAAACCGGATCAAGGTGAGACAACTCTCTCAGAGCAAGTAGCGAAAACTCTCGATCTCTCGGTCCGTTTTGTTAGAGAGCTCATCCCGTAGCTCTGCGCCCACTGTCATTGCCTCAGGAGAGCCATACAACCGATCCCGTCGGCGATTCTCCCAGATGTAGTAGAAGAAGAGACAGAGAACGAAGAAAATGCTCAGGACTAGTCCGGACATGCCTGCTTTGATGCCAGTCTGAAATCATCTGTGTCAGTAATGTAAATTTTTGGGAGCATTCTATAAAGAATATGGAGAAGGAAGGAAAGGCATATCTGAAAGACTCACCGGATACGTGGGCTCTTCTGATGAGTAAAAGAATTGCGGCCCCACGATGCTGGAATATGTAGTCAGCGTTGGATCTTTTTTTTGGATGTTTTTTTGTGGGGTTGCTTTTAAACTTACTTCCCAACGCAATATGCTATAAATATCGAAGCGCTAACCACACTCTTCTTGGAAAAGCCAGCCACATTTGAAGTGACGACACTCAGAGACAGAGGCAGGTTAATTGCGTAGACGACGGCCAGAGTCAGACCGACCATACGTCCAACTTGCTCATTGGGATCGAGTTTCCACACGAGAATCATGCCAATCATTGCAACAATGGTGTTCAGAACCATGGACAGGAGACGAGAATGGGGGATAAAAGTAGCGGCAAGCGAGCTGAGTATCAGAAAAACGATCTCGGCCGCGCCTTGAGGCATTTGCATCAATAGCGCCTTCAAGTCAGAGAAGCCAAACCCAGCAGTGATGATTGGGGTGAACTAGCAGTATGATCAGCATATATGGCAATGGGTTTTGCATCCGAAACAAACCGTCGTGATTCCGCCATTGCACAAGTTCGACGTAAAGGTGTAGAGAACCAAAAGCCACACTTGGGGGTCAAACACAACCTCTCGAGCCTGAGCCCATCTGAACACATCATTATCCAGGACACCGGTTTTGTTTTTGAGTGTGCGTTGGACAGCAATAGCGCGTTCGTTGGGCTTGAGGAATACGGCTTTGGTAGGCGAGTCGGGCAGCACGAAAAAGAGAAAGACTCCATAGGCCGAGGTGATGGCACCGAAAATAAGAAACAAAAGTTGCCAGTGCGGCAGCTTCGTTGTGTCGATGTGGCCGATGGCAAAGGCTATCAGACCTCCAAACAGAACCGCCAAACAATTGCCGAAGAACCACGCAGATTGCCTGTATTTCCATCAGAAAATATACAGTCATTAGGAGTTTGAAGAGCACATACCGCAAGGGCTGTTCCTCTCGTTTATAAAACATCCCAGTAATCAAAGTAAACCCAGGCGCGATCGCTGCCTCGCCGACCCCAAGAAAGAAGCGGACGGTGACGATGCCGCCGAAGCTTTTACATGCTGCGTGGCACATGAGGATTCCACCCCAGATAAACCTATATATTCTGTCAATATCTGTAGTGCGGTGGTCATCGAACCAATACATACACTGAAGTGGCCAGGTATTTGCCAATAGGCAAGCGCACGATGATATAAGAGCTGGGCCAGCTCCAGAAGAAATATCCGAAGTAGAAGACCGCCGAAGTCCATGAATAGTTCGAGCCATGCATGTTCTAGACACATCAGTGGTGTCCTTGAAATCGAAGGCACCCAAGAAAAATAACCCACCAAGTCCTCGCGCAGGTTAAACAACGTAGCCTGGCTGAGGGCCAGTTTGTCGAGGAACTGGAGGAAGTAGGCCCATCCCATCATGGGGATCAGGCTGGATGGTATCAGAGAAAGACAGCCAAGTGCCGTCATCGGTACACACTCACAAACAATCCAACTTCCATAGCACGCGACGTTCTTCCTCGGGCGTCGCCTGTACGGCGAGCACCTCGCCGAGATCGAGGTCGCGGGCAGTGGGTTCAGGGTCAACCTTGAGATCCTTCTCTGTCATAGTGAACGTATGTCTTCGACAAGACTGCAGGAGTAGCACCAACTCCCGAGGCGACGGTCAACCCGCTGCTTTTTATTGCTGGACCCATGCGATAAGATGGTCGGCAATACACCCAATCTCCTGATGCCCAGAGATAGCATTCACTGTCGTCGCGTGAACGTACCAATACCGACACCCGGCGCTGTTCCGCTGTGGATTCCATGCTCGGGAAACACAAATAGCTCTCGCCAATGATGATGGTGTGTTTAGTATTCTGTGCCAAACAAACATTCCCTTCTCGCGAGCTCAATAGTGCGGAGAGCTTCCAGCCACCAATGACTGTGGTGTATGTGTTGCTCTCAGGATTCAGTGGAGCTCCATCGCGTGGTTGGGCCTCCAGTCTGGGGAAGTGGAGGTCTTCCCCTCTTTGCAGCGGATGCCATCCACGGCATTTCTCGCCAGTCGGACACTTGGCAGCTTCTTGGGCCTGCTTATCTCGAACCTAACAAAGAGTTGGAGTCAAAAGTCTTAGTATAGCGGGATAGCCGCGTGACGCCGCGGTGCAGATTGGAGTCTTTTTTTATCATTTTCTAAATGGCCAATGGAGTCACTATAGCCTAGCCGATTGAGATTTGAGATAACACATCTATAGTCCACTCTCAAAATCCGAGCGGACAGCAGCAGCAAAGCTCCTATCAACTAGGACCTGGCATGCGACCACGGCCATCCCAGCGGCACAATACAAACTGCGCTTGAACCCTTCTTGGGAGCCAGCCCCGGCAGTAAATTCGGGAGTGTGGTTGACACCGTTCGTGGGAATGTAGAAACCACCGTGGAAGCCAGGAACCTCGTACGACACGTTTCCTAATCGAACGTCAGCCATTTCTTAGATTGCACAGATTCGGCAGTGTCCGTCACTTACCCATATCCGTGGATCCCCCACTGAGCCCGCCTTCTTGCCCGGCAGCATCGAAAATAGTGCTGTAGCCCATAGAGTTCATCGCCGTGACATAGCCATCGCAGATGGACTGGTTGGTCTTCATGTCCATATAGGCGGGTTCCCTGCAATACGAGTTAAGTTACCTTTGGGAATTCAACTGTTTTTACAAGCCTGGACATACCACTCATGCTCGACTGTGCATCCCGTCGCTGTAGCCGCTGCTTCAAAACATTTCAAGACTTTCTCTGTCAGTGGCTTCAATGTCTTGACCGTGTCCGACCGGATATAATACTCCAGAGTCGTGGTCCCGGGGATGACATTCGGTCGATCCCCGCCCTTGAGCACAACACCATGGATTTTTTGGGTGGGCAAAAGCCGCTGACGAAGAAGTGATATATTCACATATGCCGCGACAACGGCATCAAGAGCGTTGATCCCCTCCCATGGAGCTGCCGAGGCATGCGCTGGTTTGCCGGTAAAGGTGACCAAGATTTTATCATTCGCCAGGTACTGCCCAGAGCAAGAGCTTGAGCTAAGAAGGCTCGGGGCTCCTGAAAGAACTGGGAATGGATGGACCATGAGACATGCAGTGACATTCTTGTAAGCACCGGCATTGATGAGATGGAGTTTGCCGCCACCTCCTTCTTCGGCGGGAGTGCCCAGGAGACGAACGGTGTACCCAGTATTGTCGGAGTAGAGCGCTCTCATTGCCTCACACGCTGCGATAAAGGCGGCGATTGAGCTGGTGGCAATGAGATTGTGGCCGCATGCGTGGCCAATCCCAGGTAGAGCGTCATACTCGGCGTTGAAGGCCACGATGCGCCCGCCGTGACCTTGGCTGTAGCTGATTTCCAAGGCAGTGGTGATGCCATAGGCACTTCGATGCACTCTATAACCGTCCGCTGGAAGCGAGTCGAAAAACTCGCAGATGCTGTCATGCGCGTTTTGCTCTTCAAACGCAAGCTCAGGTGTAGACCAGATCTGACATAAGTAGATGTTAACAGCTCGTCTCAAACTCCGAAATACATTGCCCACCCTTTGATTGATATCGCTCAGCCTAGATTCGTATTTGTCGAGGGTCTCGCGGACCTTCTGGATGATCTCAGCTTTGTCTTGAGCCGCCATGTTGTGGCTGTCACGATCTGTAAAGTAAACAATTCCCTCAAGTTCGACCGAGTTCCTTTTATGGGCTATCCATACTTGCACCTTGGATGCCAATCCCAGAAAGGAATAAGGAGCCGATTATCTCCCCGCACGCTAAACGCACGGTAGGATAGCAGCAACGGAAATTCCGCGCCGGATTCTGCAGGGGCGTTCGGCCGTTACTGGCTCTAACCAGGGTCGGCCTCTCTCTGCGACTCGCCAAAAGCCGACTCCATCTGTAAAGAAGCAGCGCGGGCCTGCACCGGCCTTGAGTCCATGAAAATGCGCATCTCGACGACCTGCAAATCAGACTCGTCGCGGCCCTCGAGATCAACGACGTTGAACTCGCGCACCTTGACAGGGAATTGATCGGGGTCGTTCTTGAAGACGGTTTCACAAGTCGCCTCGAACATCACGGTGCGTTTCATGCGTATGTTGCCACGGAGGGGCGCGTAGAGGTCGGATTGCTCGGCGTCGATGTGGCCCTCGCCATCGGCTGCTGTTGTGGGGTAAGAGTAGGAGGTATGGTCCGGGCCGGAATCGTGGCTCAAGTCCAGGTCCCAAGCCACGTGAAGGTGGTGATGAAATCGCTCGAGATGACGGCTGCGTACTTCCAGGAGCGGGACAGCTTGACTTGCAGCGCTGGGTGGATTGCTGCCGATGAGGACTGGGGCGTTAGGAGTGAAAAGAGGACCGATCGGGTGGTCTGTTGGGTCGAGAGTGTCTAGGGCTGGGAGAAGACGCTGCAGAAATCGTAGGCCGGGCGATGCACTCGAGGGAATCGACTCATATGGGCCATGATGGATGGAGGCGGAGGTTTCCATATTGCTAATTCGGCGGTTGAATCATGAGCACAAAAGAGAGTCGACCTGGGTAGTGAGGGATGTTCCTGGTGACTCTGTCATCGCGACGTGCCGGCCCTTTACACATTACATCATATCAGGTTGCTAAACTGTATATATTATTATGATCTATTCTTATTTTGAGCATTGTATATTTCCACAAACCAAGAGTCCCCAGGGGCTCTAGCTGGATGAAATATTGACACGGGCGTAGTTTGACCCACGAGCATTATACAATGTGAGAGAGAATTGCCCAAGTAATTCCCTATTCTGCGGCCAGAGAAAACAGAGCGGTGGGGCCCATTTGGCTGGCTTCAACTGCGAACTGATCGCCGTTCAGCAATGCAAACTCTGCTCAAGTGGCGTCGTCGACTTCAGGGGCCAGTTGCTGGGATCCACAAAAGCCCATGGGCGCCATTTGAGGTAGCCAGACTCGTTCCAATGTGTGATGGCGCGGGCGTGTACTACTCAAAAGGCGCTGACTGTACCTCCCGGCGAGAAACCGAGGGGTGTGATGTTAGGGTGTTGGGCAGCTGGTCTGAAAAGACCAACTGTGGTATGTTGCGGTATGTTGCGGTCCAAGGTAGAGAGGTATGGACATCAGGATGGGTGCATGTCTTCGTTCGAGTGCGTAGGCGCGCGAATCCTGCGTTCCGACGTGGACAAGCTTTCCATAGACACTGTGTTCCATGCGGGCATGCCCCGTGGGGCGCGTGATTCCATCGGAGCAGCGTGCGTGACATCGGAGGTGAGTTGAGTCGGATCCACAAAGACGGGGTACTCTTCCTGCTCAGAGGATGTTGGTTGCGAGCGATGGGTTTGGACGAGAGCCACCAGTTTGCCGAGCACACCGAACTCGAGCTTCAACTTGATACTGTAGACCATGGGCTTCAAAGTCGTTTGTAGGGGATAGAGGCCGACATATTCGACCACCAGTAGAGCAATGTCCAGTAGAATTATGACGAAGTTGATGGTAAGCAGCTCGTACATGATCTTGGTTCGTCGCCTGTCCTTGTCCGGCATCATGTTGAGCAATTTGACCGTCTCCGAGATGTAGATGCTTGAGATGACGATCTCCTGGACACAGAACCATGCCAGCTGCATGCGCTCCATGACATTGTATCCGCGGAAAAACTCGGGCGTTTTCACGTAGGCCGTGGAGAAGGTCAGGACAGTGGTTGGGATCAAGAGGAGAACCGCGTCAACGATGATGAGCCACAGCACAAAACGGAGGATGCGCGGGTTTTGCACCACAAGGTGAAGGCGGGAATAGAGGACAACCGACTGGCCCGGGACCATGACGTAGAAACCAATTGTGGATAATGTGAGGGACAGCCATAGCGGGGCAAGAGAGAAGAATTCCAGGAGGTAGGCAATGGCATGTGGAATAACCCCAAGGACGACGGAGAGCAAAAGTGCCCAAAAATAAAGGCCACGGTAGTGGGTGAAGGTCAGAAACAAAAGTATAAACAATTCGATGGCATTGTACAATGCGATGGACGAGAAGACAATCATCAGCACCCGAATGGTCAGGCTATTGCCATGATAACCCCAGATGCCATCAGGGGGGTTCGACAGGTTGACCATGGTGTTGACACAACCCGCCCTACGGGGTCCAGGGGTGTGTCGGTGTGAATGATATGTTTTGTGTCTCGGTTGATGAGAGCCCCGATCGGACGCCTAGCTGCTTCAAGTGTTCCAACTCCAGAGCCATGGTAGTCGCGTTCAATATCACAGGGCTGCGCACGAAGGTCGAGACGAAGGTCTTGGGAGCTCGAAATCGCCGATAGCAGAATCGTCGATGCAGGTGTGCGCGATCACAGGTGATTCCAGCTATCTCTCGACGCACTCGATGTGTTTTCTCCGAGGAATGTCGGCACCAATGGAGCTTCGCGGGGTGTCCCCGAAAGCGGCGATGAGGTCAAGCCTGGGGAAATCAGAAGATCGTGCAGCTCCGTGATTTGTTACAAGGCGAAAATATGTGTCCAGTCGGCCAAGGGCAGGAAATAAAGGATGTCGCCTCTTGCGTCGCCTCCGAGGTCGCAGGAGGCGAAAGGGAGCAGTGGGTTCTTCAGACGTAGCGCCCCAGAACCACCTCGCCGTGCGCTAATGGACTGAAGGGACAATGACAAAGAGGACAGAGTCCGGGGAGTCCGGGGAGTCCAGGAGCAGGATATATAAAGAAGAAAAAATTAAAAAGAAGCGAAGAGACAAGCGAAGGGGGGAGGCGAACGCAACTTTTTCCGGGGTTGGGCTAGTCCCGATCGGGCAATTGGAGTAGAGGAGCCCAGCGCATTCGCAATGCCAATAACACGAATATTTTTATATTGTTCTTGGCATTGGAGTTGGCATGAAAGTCTTGCTCCTTCGATCTAGGGTTGCAAATTCCCGAGATTACTGCGTTGCGGATTATAAGTGTGCTTTTACATAGTGTATAGACCACCAGCAGCTCCCTCTCTTGGCTTTTTGCCCTCCTCGTCTTCTTCTCCTCTTCTTCTCCTAATATCACAGACCACACACACCCTACCCACACAAAGAACCCGAGGGAAAAAGAAACAAACTTTGCAACGAGCCAAGGAACTTTTGATCAAAATCCCGCACACGCCGGGGCCGAGGAAACTTCGTGTTAGCGTGCACCGTGGAACCGGTTCACGGTGGATCGCGTCGCGTTATTGGCGCCACCGGACACAGACCGACGGTGGGTTTGCCACCGGCACTGGCGCTGTCATCGGCAATTTCATGTGTCATGAGAGCAATCCACCCAGACACACAGAGAGAGGGACAGACAGCAATACCCCGAGTTCGCGCACCTTCAATGTGGGCGATCTTACATTCCGATGAGCTCCAAGATACATCTGCAACCCGCGCGGGCTCAGGATCTGCCTAACATTGCCGATCTCGCCGCACAGGCCATGCTGGAGGATGAACTTTGTGCCTGGTTATGTCCGCAGAGACATGAGCACTTTGCGGATTTTCGCTATGCGTTTCTCCGTCGGCTCAAGATGCGGTTCGTCGCTCCAGGGTATGTGATGATGGTCGCAGTGGAACAGCTTGATGAGGACCCCCACGGGCGAATTTGTGGGTACAGTGGATGGGAGAGACTCGGGGGTGGGGCTGAAGCAGCGTACTGGCAGCAAAGCAATAATAGTTGGTGGCATGGTGATGATCCCCCTATACCCAGCCCATAGAGCGGGTGCTTGTCTAACACAGAGTGTTCTCCCTAGTCGTGGAACGCAAACTCCTTGACATAGAAAATGGATACTTGTCCTGGGTATACCCAGATCGCAGTGTGGATCCACATCGACTGGAACACTACAAGACTGCCTCTGCTGCAGTCGACTGCTTCCCCTTCTCTGCTTTTCCCGAGCTGTGGTACCTAGGTCATTTGGCCGTCGACCCGAAACATCAACGCCGAGGCATTGGTCGACAGCTAGTGGAATGGGGGCTGCAGCAAGCCCGACAAGAGGAAGTATGTGTGGGACTGGAAGCAAGTATCAAGGGTACTGGTTTGTACGAAAAGCTGGGCTTCCACACGATCAATACAAAAGACTTGACGCCGGAGATAGCCATTCAGGCAATGGTACAAGAGAGTCCACGCTCCTGGTTATCTGCTCCACGGCCAGACCTTGCAAATACCTGCGGGTACTTTAATCATTCGATATTCTATGTCGCCATAGCTCATTAGGGCTTTTCATGAAGAAAGAGAGCGTTTGACCTAACCTATTCATGCGTTGCCACTGCCTCTCAGGTCAACTCCTTCAACGCGGCCTTCGCCGTTGTCGGTGTACGGGCATGAGTATAGATGTTGGCATTCCGATTATTCCGAGTAGTCAATTTGAGTGCTTGATTCCAAATACCTTCTTAGGCTTTAGCCAATGCCGTCAAGATGTTGAGCCCGTCGCTGAATTTTTTGATGCCGAAGAGAAGTTGGAATTCCATGCCCACGTCCCACTGCCGGGATAAACGCTGGCGAGTCGTTACAGACTGCATAAAGTTACGACAAATTTCAGTCTGGATTTCGTCCTGCAAGACTGTCAGTAGCCATCAAAGATCAATCAGTAGTAATCTCACCCACCACCTGCCTGACCGACTCGCGGAATTGTTTGTTTCCCATAACAGGCACCTTTCGCAAAAGCGGTCCATTGACAATGCCAAGGAGAAACTCCATCATGGACCAGACAGAGGAAGGCCACTGAAAGCCATCTTTGACGTCTCCAGTAATCAAGTTATGTCAAACTACATCAACGAAGCTTGGGAAGCAATTGGTCGTTATGGTAACGATGTTTTCTGGCAAAATTAGCCTCAGTTTTAGAACGGAGAGTATGTGTATATCGTACCCTCATCGATTACCCACATCCAAAGCTGGTCGACGGCGAGGACGCTGGTCGGTTTTTCGGCTCTTGATTTCAGAGACATCGTCTTGTTGTCCACCCTCCCAAGCTTCGACTCTTGTCAGTCCAGATATTTGGAGAGAAATTGGTCATGATCTCTTGCCGAGGTGTCCGGAAGAGTAGTATAATAGTACTGATCCAGGGTCATGGCTTCATATTTGCCTTTTCTTGTGTTGTCCATGATGGTCGATGCAGGATATTGCATGGTACGTGACAAGACTCGAGCTTCTGGAGTCTTCGAGCTGGTGGACATTGTCTCGTTGATCATCTCTGCCATCTCAAGTACGGCGTCTGCGGCGGGATTAGCAATTCGTACTTCACGGGAATGCCTACCTTCTTCAATGGCCTGATCCCAGCACTCGCTAGAAGATATCCTACGACGACAAAGTCATCAAAAACTCAAAGGATCTCGAGGGTATCAATGAGCTCGGGGGCTCCAACATATGACTGTTGAGGCCGTTATCATGTCGACGGCGTGCGCAGCAGGGGCTGGACGACAGCAAGCCATACTACAGGTCAGACACTGGCAAGGTGGTTGACCACATGGTCAAGGACGAGAAAAGTCTCGTCAAGTTTGCGGCTTTGAACCTCCCCTAGTGTGGCCTTGGCAATTCCATGATTCCATGTCTGGGGGCTTCAAAAATGATCCAAAGGTCCTTGGCAACAATGTGGCGCTGAGGTAAGTGATGATCCCTATTGTATCTTGCAGCCATGTTATTGAATTTCAGACTGATCATTCGTTGCTTCTTTGCAGTGTCAAATTGTCTTCCCTCTCACCCAATTTCCTTCGGCAGACCACTGGTCCGAAGATACCCTGCAGCCGCTGTACTGGTCGAAGATCCGTCACTTTGTTGATTACAGAGAGGTCCCTTCGAACCCGTCGTTTATTCATCATTCGCAACTCAGACCTACAGGGGAGGCATTGGCGCTCATACTTGTTTCCCAATGCCTCTGTTAGACCTCCTCTTTCGCTATAAATCCACGGTCATTCATCTATCCCTTCACTCGGCACCTTTTCATGCAGTTTCGTTCATTTATCTCATGCCCAATCCTGCATGTTTTGGACGCCTTTTCTGACTCCACCAATGAACCCAAGGAGGCTGATTCAGGCCACCAATCAAGGGAATCTGCGCTGTTTTTCTGCAGCGCAACCCTTGATGTGTTGGGCTTGCACGGAGACTGCCAGACTGCATCCATGATAGGTTATTGTCCGGTGTGGTGAGGGGGGATGGACTGCACGTCAGCTTGGTGGCTGTCCCAATGGTTATAAAGTGGCCAACTCATCTTTCGTTGTTGGCTTTTGATGCAGTTGCTACCAGCCACGAATTTAAAAAAGGGGGGTCACACCAACATGCATTCGACACCAAGTACCTATGATTTTATCGTCGTCGGAGGTTAGTAAACACCAACAACCCTGACTACCGGTATACACGGCTGATTTATCATCGAGGTGGTCCCGCTGGATGTGCGCTTGCTGCATCATTGGCTCATTCAGCTAGAAGGCCACGTGTCTTGCTCTTGGAAGCCGGCGGACGCAACGATGACCGACTATCGTGGGTGTATGGAAAGCGTTGGACGACATTTATGCAGGGGCATATGAACTGGGGATACAAAACCACTCCCCAGGAACACTGCAATGGTCGCCAGATTGACTATTCCCGCGGGAAAGGCCTTGGGGGAAGCTCTGCCATAAACTTTGGAGTGTTTACTGTCGGGGCCCGCGACGATTATGATCAGTGGGCAACACAAGTCGAAGACAACACTTTTGGCTGGGAAAAGATGCAAGAGCGATTGAAAGCCCTCGAGAATTTTGATCCAACGATCCAGGTTCCAGAGCACAGAAAATATGCAAGCATCAATTCCTCTGATCATGGCGATAAGGGGTTGCTGCATCTTAGCTTCGCGAATGAGTGGGAGAAGGACCTCTCGCCGGTGATGGATCCCTAGAGCAAGCCGGGCTCAAAAGAAACCCGGATCATAACTCAGGAAACCCTATTGGTATGGGGCTGACGATTAATTCAGCCCTTGGGGGCCAGAGAACGACTGCGAGTGATCTGCTGTCGGGTGCTCCAGAGAATCTCATCGTCGTCACCGACAGTCCAGTGCAACGGGTTGTCATGAAGGGGAAGAGGGCCATAGGGGTGGAAGTAAATGGACAGCAGTGTAAGTTGATATAGTGTTCTCCCACGCCGTGTCAGTCCATAATGCATCTCTATAGATCTGGCCACACGAGAAGTGGTCCTCTCGGCTGGGACTCTCGACACTCCCAAAATCCTGATGCACACGGGCATTGGGCCCGCCAAAGAACTGCAAGGATTTGACATCCCCGTAGTCCACGACCTGTCAGCTGTTGGACAGGGTCTGCGAGACCACTACCTGGCATTCGTGATCTTGCAGCGAAACCCCGAGACGAATGAACGCAATGCACTCTTCCAAGATCCGGCAGCTATGGACGCAGCAAAGAAACTGTGGGAAGAAACCGGCACAGGCCCCTGGGCCCAATATGGCTGCCAAACTGCTAGCGGATGGTTCAAATCTGATAAAGTGACTTCGTCGGCTGAGTTCAAGGCATTGCCGGAATCCGTCCAAAACTTCATGAACAAGGAGACGGTGCCCCAGTATGAGATCATAAGCCATTTCCCAGTCCATTTGTTGTCGCCAGACCCCTTCCCAGATTATAGCTACCTTTGTCTTCCCGTGTTCATGATGAACGCCCAATCGCGCGGCGAGGTACGATTGCAATCGTCTAACCCTAACGACCCTCTGCTCTTTGATCCCCGATTCCTCAGTCACCCATTCGATCGTCGCGCGAGCATCGAGATCTTTCGGTATCTATTGGAGTTGACGAGACACCCGGCAATTGCCAAAGACACGGTCTCAACTCTGTTTGGTCCGTCCTCGGACTCCGACGAGGATATCCTGGAGTTTTGGAGAAACAACCTCTCTTCCAGCTGGCATATGACGGGAACTGTCAAAATGGGCCAGCCAGATGAGATCGACACCGCTGTTGACCATCGGTTCCGAGTCTTGGGAATCGAGAACTTGAGAGTAGCCGACATGAGTGTCGTTCCAGTCTTGACCAACAATCATACCCAGGCCACGGCATATCTCACCGGGGCGACCTGTGCGGAGGTATTGATTCGAGAATACGATCTGGACGGGAGTAGCTGATCTTGATTGGCCATTGTCATTGAATCTATTGTCCCGAATCCCAGGGGTTGCATTGCCCGCTAGAATTTCCCCTGGAGGCCGATGTAGATTGGGGGCGAAGGAATCGATCAGCTTTGGCCATAGCCGTAACGAAAATCGCTCCACGTATCTCCTGTCGAACTCCCTACCCCAGTAATGCATCATTGAACACACCATCATACGCGGCGTGCCATGGCAATCGCGGGGGTGCTGGGCGTGTAAAAAACGCAGGGTGAAAGTCAGGAAAGACGCTCGCGCGCCCGAGGCTCCGATGCTGACGAGCATTTCAGTGCGATCTCCACAATCCAGTATGCGCAAGGTGTATGAAGAACGGGCGGGAGTGCCTCTATGGCTCGGACCGACCCTTTTTCAACTATATCATCGCCACCAGCCAGGAGGCTGAGGGTCCTTCGTTAGTACTGGCTCAATCGCATTCGCACCAAAGGGGGCTGAAACGAGTACCTGCAGAGGTCAATCCGTTCCCGAGTATCCGTCTGCAACTGCTTTCTTCTTTCATGCAATCACCACAAATGTTCAATTCGGCCATTGGTCATGGCTGGTCCCCCAGCTGGCTCTGGCTGACAGAAGCCCACTATTGGAGCGAGCCCTATCGGCCCTTCCATCTGTCCAGCTGGGTCAGGCCCATCGTGATGATGGGTTAGTGCGACAAGGGATCTAAGTCTACAATCAAGTTCTGCGCATACTCGCGTGGAAGGTCCACCAGAATTGCATGGTGACGGATGACTTGCTTTGTGGGACTGTTGTCTTTTAGATCTACGAGGTAAGTCTAAATCATTGATCTTATCATCGAACACCTAATTGCCATGACTTTGCATATCCTAACAGTGACTTAAGACGTTGTATTGCCCGTCCGGGATGCAGGCTTGGATGTCTCATGTACAGGGAACGACTGCTTTGTTAAAATGTACTAAAAGCCCATTGCTCCGGTCTGTTTATCGTCACCACAAGCTAGTGGCAGTAAATTGTCTCTCGGTCTCGAGTCTATCAATACAGGCTCATAGTTTTAATGTTGGTGAGATCGATCTCGCAATTGATCGATAGCATCTTTTGCAAAGAAATGATCGCGAGCCGCTAGATGAATTGTTGAACATCTTCAATGAATGCTCGTCGCTTCTCAATACCCTGAAGATCACAAGGCAAAGCCCATGTCAACATAAAAAAGAAACTCTCAAATCTGGGGATGAGGCCCTATTCCAAGCTGGATTGAAAATCGAGGCAAGGCTTCTGTCGTGGTATAGCCGCCGAGAAACTACCATTGGCGGGCTACCGACAGAGTGCAAGAATGCCCATTCAGATCTTGGAAGCTATCCGGACTCTATAAACCTCCATGATCTCGCAGCTCCCTATCGTTTTCCTCTCTCGAGGCCGCCGAATTCCATCACCTATAGTGGACCTCCCTCGTCCTCATCTACTCATCCATTCACCAGGTCAACACGCGTCTCAGCACCCGTGGCTTACACTCGGTATCCGAAGACCCAGACTTATATTGCAATCTCGCAAAATTCTATGCCGACGAGATTTGCCGCTCGGTGCCGTTTTGCTTGCAGCATGAGATGCGAGTTTTACCGAACTCATCTCAGGCCATTGCGCCGCTAATTGGTGTCTCGACTAACACTGGTAAGCATCAATAACTAGTTCCTGTCCCATCTATTTTTTGTAGTCATTAACGTCGACACAGGTAATTTCGTTCGAGCCGCTCTCAACAACCGGTCGAGCAGCGGTGCCAATACGATCTATGCAGCCAGTGGCTATTATACCTTCGAGCAGGTTGCCTCCGACTTCACGGAAGTTCTCAGGAAGCCCCTAAGAATTGTCTCTGTTTCAGGGAAAACGTTCAGGTCGTTCCTGTCACCCCCTCTGCCACTGAATATCGCTCAAGAGATTGAAGAGTACTTGGTCTTGCTTGAGGGTGCTGGCTATTACGCTGGTGCTGACCTGACTGCAAGCCTCGGTCTGTTGTCTGAGAGTCCTGTAACTTGGAAGAAATTCCTGGTGCAGAACAAGGGCAGTTTGCTTTGAGGATCAGTCCAGAGACCGAGGGACTGCGCAAGAAATAACAAGGATCTCGGATACAAGCTGTTCTTGAGAAATGGTTAAGCGGAGGCTGTTTCAGAACATCTTTTGAAAGGACCGAAAAATACTGGAATGGCTAGTTGAAAATACCCTACAGAATCTAACCATTTAAAGATCTAGTTCTAAACCTTCGACGTTTGCATAGAAAAGGGTGTGTTTGGGAGACATGGGTTGTGTGTTAGCCCTATCCCCGAACCCAAGGCTGATACTAGCAGAATCATTTTCTGACTCTATAATTGCACAACAATGTTTCCCTCAATACCAAATGGCGTAGACTGACATCTCACATATAGGACATCAGACACCTCGCAATAATAAAACAAGAAGAACCGCCCATCGGTCATCATCTCAGTTCAAACTCCTACTGCTGATACCCCGACTTACTCCCACACATCCCATAGTGACTATGATCCGTGCTACACTTCAATGACGACCATTGAGCATCACAGTCCGAGGGATCATTGCATTTTACCCAGTCCCGAGGCCCACCATTGACCAGCCAGCACCAGGGAGACCCTACTTTGCGGTGATCGTCGTAAATGGCTTCGTGGGTTGCCGTGTTGCACGATGACCAGCAGTACTTTGGGTGGCCCTTTTTCTCTGCATCGCAGCCGGGGGATAGGGCGTCTCGCTTCTGAAGCAAGGGCGGCATATGGGTGATTTCTCCCGGCCCGGTTGCGTTGCCTATTGAGCGGGATTCATTAGCCAATGCTAGGTCTGGGGTGTTTCCATTCTCGGGTTGCTTCTTTGTAAGGGTCGCTTGAGAGTTTGGTAGAGAGAGAGGAAACGGCTATGCTCACCTGGTAGTGTCAATGCAACCGAAAGGGCTCCGGTGGTGAGGAAGAAAATACCCAGGCTCAGCTTCATGGTCGATTGTGATTTGCGAGGGCTGTCGGCGTAATTGGAAACAGCGTGTGGTGTATATTGAGACGATGAAGGAGTTAACAACTATATAAGGGGGGCTCTGAGTCTAATTTATACATAAATACAGACAAGGAAGCATTCTTTCCCTCAAAGATCAACCAATGCCATGTCGACTATCCCTCCATAAAGATCTAATCCCTATCTGGTGGCATTGTGGCGCTGTTATCTAGCGACAAGAAAACCATTATATTGCTTAGTATCGACAGAGGAGACACTGATTTACCAATAATAGGCATTATGCTGTGGTTATCAAGACTGTTGGTGTCAGGATCTGTGGGGGCTGATCTCTCGGCCCCGTCAGGATTCTGTTATCAAGGCCTGGCAGGCCTGTCCGAGGTAGCTTCTGTTGCTTTTTTAAGATGCTTCGGTCCAAGCATCTGCCGCTCGGGTGTCCTTTTCCTAAATCAGCAAAAAGGCATCCCCGCTAAGGCTTGCAGGTGGCGAGGGCTGAGATCTCCTGCTTATCACGAAATGGCCCCAAAGTGGTACAGCACAAGGCTCACCCATCGGTCTCATTATTGGCAAACTTGTGGGGTAAAGCAAGGTGACCTTTTGAGCCGGACCAGTGTTTCGTAGAAACGAGGTGACAGCAACACCCGCAGGCATTTCGAGGGGTTATCTGGTAGGATCAAACACCGCGTCTCTTGGAAATAAATCTCATTCTATTCCGGGATTCCAGTCTCTTTAGTCACAGTCCCTCAGCTCGTTATAAACCGACTACCAGAGCCCGAGCTATGACAGACCTACCAGACACAAGGAGATGCCTGATAGCGAGGCTCTTATACTCCGTACGTACTGTCTCCGCAAATAAACGAAAATGAAAAAGGCTAAAGACACAACGCAAAACACCAAGTCACGCAAGCCAGAATCGAGAGGGTCATTCGCGCCACACACCATTACTAAGAAAAAAAAAAGATAAAGTGCAGAAAACAAATGGAATCAAGAGATCACATAATACGGACGGGGCACCAGGGCTGAGGAACAGGGGCAGAAAACGGAAGAAAATAGGCGCGGGTATCGAGACAGCCGTGAGCGAGCGACCAGGGCAAACATGGAATATCAAAGGCACAGACTCAAGCCATTGGTAGACCGTGTGAGGCCTCCTGCTTGGTGACAGTTACATCCGCCTCGCTCTGGGCGTCATCTGAGCGTAGCCGCTTGTGCTGCTGGAAGCTATTACCCATGAAGTTAGCCTCGTCAGGGTGTTTGCGCATCCCCAGGCCGGCGACGGCAATGCGGTTCAGCGAGTTCATGTCATCCGTGGCAGCACCCTGATGTTGCTGCTGGGGAGCCGCGCCGGTAGGCACAGCACCCGAGGGACCGGCTGGAGCGCCACCGGAGGCGAGTGCCATCTCGGTGCGCGGCTGGCTCAGGTCGATGTTGCCCGGCAGTTCGGGAACTTCACCTTGAGCTTCGAGAAGCCGGGATTGCAGGTTGATTATATACTCGCGCAGCTGGTAGTTCTCGCCGATCAACTGTTTGACTTGTTCCTTGAGAGGCTCGAGGCTCTTGACCTCCTCTTCGAGCTTGCGAATGTACGTTTCCTTCCGTTGGCGAAACGCGCGCTGATTCACACCATCAGCAATCTAGTGGACAGGCCTGGGTGGTCGGGGAGAAATTACCTGTGCAGCCCGGTTCTGAGCAGCACGCTTGGATGTCGATAGCTCCCTCTTTCCATACGACTTGGGTGTATCATCGGGCGATGACTGCGGCTGGGTGGGTGTTTGCGGGGCTGCGCTTAGCATGGCAGCGCCCGAGATGGCCGGGTCGATGTTGGCTTGGTCGCGCGGGCTGGCAGTATTCGGCTGGAGATGCTGTTGTTGGCCAGGACCTCCCTGCGGACGGGTCGAGCCCTGCAGGTGGTGCTGCGCAGCGAGGAGCTGGTCATGGAGCACTGGAGGCGAAAAAGGTTAGCTCATAGTGGGAGAATATGGTCATCGAGACATGACCCGAGTCTTCGTCGCAACGAGGTCCACAAATTCCCAGCAACAAAAGGCCCTCTGGCATGTGGTCGGTTACACGCAGAACGAAGAATATCACGTACCCTGGTCCGCATGGTCCTAGGATTGATGTGTTAGTATGGAAATCAATGGCCTAAACGGAGTGTGGCGGGGACCCGGGTACTCCGGGAAGGCAGCTAGAGAACGCAACGACGCGAGGAAATCTCAACGTCCCGGCTCAAAGTACCAGTCACCTCACTCACAACCAGATGTACCTGGCGACGCGGGGACGATCTGATGACAAACGCGTCGAGATGCTTACCTGAGCAGATGTCTGCATGCTTGGATGCGGCGCTGGAGCCAGCGCGGGCTGCATCGATCGAATAGAAAAAGAAGTGGAGGGTCAAGGGACTCGAGAATTGGACTGTGACTCGGCACGATGCGTCCAATTTCTCAAGAACAGGTTGCAAGTGGTATTCTTGGGAATGAAGCTGTCGAGCTGAAATGAGGTAAGCACAGAGATGCTGTAAGCAGCCCTGACGGAGGAGTCCTGGGGGGGGGAGAGGGATTATTAAGGAATCTGAGTAAGAGGGGATCACGGGGTGCGCGCGCGAGTTTCAGGTTTATGTAAGTACGATGTGGTAAGCGATGTCCGGATTAGGAAAATACAGGTCAGCTGACACAAAGGCTGACTACTGTTTTTTTAGCTCGATCTTCTAATTGCCGGGTGGAATGAGCAGTTAAGAGCATATTTCCAGTGTTTACTCGAACTACTCTTCCCCTTATATATTTTACACAATCCGCGTAACGCGACTCAATTCCTTGCACCTGTCTAAAGCCAATGCCGGCTCGTCCGAGAGCGGCATGTAAGCCTCGGATCGGAAATACTACCCCGGAACAGCAATATCAGTATGACATCATGCTCGGCACTGGCGCCTGAGGCAACCTTGCTACAGTCGAGCTGAAAGTAAACCAAATATGAAAAGGTGTGCATAGGAATTCATTCAGGTCCATGACAGTAGAGAGAAATGTAAACAAGCACCAACCAACATCAACGGGTAGAAGAAAAACACTCTATACCCATGGGCCACGGGTTTCCAGTTCTCACACACAATATACCCCAGTAGACAATCGCAAGGCTTCATTATGTGCCGGTATATGACACGGTTTGAACCATCTACTGCTCTTTCTTCACATTGTCATTGGCAGGCTGCGCCTGGATAATGCCAGCACCCACCTTGGCCGATTCAGCCCAGCCGCGCTGGCGCATCCAGAAGCGCTCCGTAGAATCGGTGCCTTGCAAAGACGCCCGCCTCGCGTCCTCTTCCAGAGAAGTACGTGAGATCTCAGGAGACTCCATTAGCCCTTCATCCTTCTCATCATCGTCACCCGTTTCGGCCCGAAGCGTCGAGTCAAGGTAGCGCTTGCGCATGAGATAGCGCTCAGCACGTTCCCTGCGCGAGTTCGGGGGCTCGAGTCGAGTCATGGCAGCTTGCACGGCATAACGGACAATCAGGTAAAGATGCTCCGAGAAGAATATGGTCAACAGTAGAGCCCAGCCCTTGATGTCAGTGGGCTCGCCGTTGGGGCCGTGTTGTGCATTGCCGCTGAACATGTACACGAGCGCAGCGCTGGTGATGCTTCCAACCCAAGACAGGAAGCTGAGACTATCAAGCCAGGGGCCAATCGTGTCAGACCGCAGCGGGGATGGCCTTCGGCACTCCATGCAGATCTTGAAAAAATCGGATCGCAATTCAACCCAGTTGTTAATCAGGAAGGAAACCGGGACAAGCGGCCAGGTCGGCGAGAAGAGCGCCAGATACCCAAACTGGATGCACATTTCGCGCAGGTCGTCAGTCACGTCGTATTCGGACAGTTCGGCTTCGTTGCGCACACGCGCAAGGAACTTGGCCTCCTCGGGCGGATCATCATATGACACTGCAGGCGCTCTCTCCGGGGATTCTTTGTCACCATTGCCGCCATTGGGCTCTGGTTTTCCATTGCGCGCCTTGTTGAACGCCTTGTATTTCCGGAGTGCATGCTGCTTCAGATACGGCACGATGGTTTCCATGGCAAACCCCACAATCTGAGCCGTCACAGTAAAGTAGATGACTTGGTTTCGCAGACGTGCCGGGTCGATTTGGAAATGCGACTGTTTCGACACCGCGTGCTCTTTCGACACAAATGGCCGGACAGTCAACCGAAAAACATCCAAGTAAGGCACAATCAAGCTGGCGAACGGCACATAAACGAAGGCAGTCAAGAAAATCGGAAGATACGATGTGATGAAATTGATGACAAAGACTTTCTGGGTCAGGGCAACATCGTAGGCATCGCTCGTCTCATAGTTTTCGTAGTCATTCAGTCTGGTTGCAATAGACATCAGCACGGCGCTCATGGTCGGAACGAGCGACGAGACGAGGATTGTTGGAATGAAAATCTGAGCAACATGAGCGAATGAAATATGATGAGTAGTCAATTTTCATACCAAGTACGTTTTGAAGGGGCCATTGTACAGCTCCGAAATGAAGATCTCAATCGCAAAGCAGGTTGCGATGATGGCACCTAGCGCGATCGCCGCCAACAGCGCGAATGGGATCTGAAGAACCTGCCGCTGCATGCGCTTAGTCGCAGGATAGATACCTCGTACTTCGCCGGTGCTTTCATCGCGAACTTCTTTTTCGGGCTTGAATTCCCGTCTGTTGGTCTGAACGGCTGAAACGCCTTTGGTCTGCCACCGACAGCTCAAATCAACCTCCTGACGCTTCCAGTATTCAACAAAGATGATGCACCAAAGACAATTGACCACAGTGTAGACAATCGAATAGCCGCCCAAGAAAAACCAGCAAGAGAAGCCGAACACTGCCGGGAAGACCAGGAATCGAAAGTACGACTGCAAGAACGAGAAATAAAAGCCGACCTGCCATGGAAATTAGCTGGACCCCACTGTCATGGCCAATTGTGCACATACACTTTCACCAAACTTGTTGCGGATCTGGTTCAAGTCATCATTCGAAAGCAAAGTCTTGCGGCTCCACTGTCGCATCCACTTCTTGTTAGTTTCCTTGTCATGGAGAGGGAAGATAGCCGTGACATTCTTCCAGTCGCCATGGTTGGGAGTGATTGCCGCGCCGCCCTCTTCCTGGGGGCAGGTTATCATATGGCTGATCACCCGCAGTCGCTCCGCCTCGGTCAAGGGCTCGATTGAGCTGGCAGGTTCCGGTTCTGCATTGCGGATGCCATAGAGCCAGTCGCGTACGCTAGTCGAGAAAGAAAACCACATGGCATCAGCAGACCGACATTTCCCGCCATACTGCACCGGTGTCACTCACCGCGACCGGTAGATCGCCCGCTTCAGCCGCTTGGTCGAGGCGCGCACAAAGACCAGCAGAGACGACTCATCGCCCTGCCGAACCTCCGATTGCAATCCTACTTTGGCGAGAGCTTCCAGTAGCTTCTCGAGCTGTTCAATTGCGGGTGTTTGGTCTAAGAAGGACCACTTAAGCACGGAACGAAGCTTGCGGATCCTTCCACTGGCTTACCTGCATCCCCGAATCTGTACTGGATCACATAGTCCACATGGAGGTTAGATTCAAGAGGCCGAGTTTCGGTTGCCATGGTGGTAGGGAGTGTGCGGAGAGAAAAGCTGATCCACTCGTAACTCCAGTGATCGTCGGGCCACGCCTCAACGACGTCACCAGAAGCTTAGTTCACAGAGAACTTGGAACAACCACCGGTGTGGAGGGGATTGGCATGGATATTGCAATCAAAATGATAGAGAAGATCGGTGTTTTAAATACAGACTCGTCGGAATGTGATATTTTGTGAGAAAAGATATCATGCCACAGAAATATATATAGAGAAACAAAGCAATCACAGTCAATGAAGCTGTCGCATTGTTTCTACATCGCTGCCAAGCGATTCAATGCATCCCCCTCGACCATCATCTTCATCCACTCATCCATGCCCTTTGCCCCAACCTGCTCATAGAAGCCAATACTCGGTTCGTTCCACTTGAGCACACTCCACTCCAGCCGTCGCCCGCGCACCTCAAGCACCTGCTGGGCCAGGTATTTCAGAAGCTTGAACCCGTACCCGTTGCCGCGCGCCCGAGGTTGGACATACAGATCCTCGAGGTAGATTCCGGGAGCTGCGCGCCATGTTGAGTAGTTGTAAAAGAACAGGGCCATGCCGACGGGGATTGGCGCAGGTGTATCGGCGGATGGCGCTGGGGTGATCAGGGCTGTATAGACAGCACCACGCTGGGGTGGAGTACCCGGAAAAGAGAGTGTGGCGAGGAGGGATTCCTCGGTGGCTTCAACTTCATGCAGGGCATTCTCGTAGTCGGCGAGTTCGCGAATGAACTGAAGAATGAGGGGTACATCTGGTGGGGTTAGCGATGGACTGGTCCGGGAGAATAGTAAGAGTGGAAAAGTTGCTCACCCTCAGCCGTAGCGAGGCGAATAGTAGGCTGGTCGGTCATGGCGAGAAAGAAACAAAAATTGCAGAAAGATATACAAGAGCAGGGAAGAATTTGACAGATTCGAGTTTGGGGACATCTGGAGATGGCCCCACTAAGAAATACATCTCCAATTTTTCTACGGATTTGTAAGAAAGGCCGTGAATACAAGGGATCAGGAATAATTGGCTATAGAATACAATGCAAGGGCTATACACGATCACTTGGATACAATGGCCGACATCCACTTTTGCTCGTCCGTCCTGGGTCGATCAGCATGCGATAATATCAAGTAGAAAATTGACATAACTCACCGGTCGAAATGGAGCAGCATCCCTAATACGGGGATCAGCTGCTTCTGGTAATTCTTGTCCTTTTGCTCGATAAACTGCAGTAGGACATTCTTCAAGTACATGTAGTCAATCGACCCGCTGGAAGGTGTCTCGCTGCGACGGCCAGATACACTACGGTCCTGGCCGGATGGCGACGCGAGGCCTCGCCGAGAGCCCGAGTCCATAGACGAGCGGGAGGATTGGCGACCGGATTCCAGCCCGCGCAAACGAACGTCTTCGCCGAGGGTCTTGTGCGATCTGCGCAGCTTCTCGAGTCGATGGTTGGTCTCCTCGACAGAACGACGAAGCTCGGCCTTCTCCTTCTCCAGGTCGTGTACTTGTTTCTCGCTCTCGTCCAAGGCGTCACGGAGCCCTGCCATGGCCTGTCGAACCTCCGTCACTTCCTGCGTCGACCGCTCCGAGAGAGACTCGAGTTCACCGCGGCGGCGGCGCCAGTCCTTTTGGGAGTGCTCTAATTCCTCCTTATCCTCTTCCGCAGTCCGGAGCGCGCGCTCTGCCTCTCGGACCTTGGCCTTGAGCTCCTCCATTTCCCGAGCCCGGCGTCGGCCCTGGGTGCTGGCCTCGTCTTCGGCGCGATCCCTCTCTTCGACGGCTGCCTCCATGCGCTCCTTGAAGTCACGGACCTTGGCATCGGCCCGGCTTTCAATATCATTGAGCAACCGGCGCATCGTCTCACCCTCGCGAGTTCGCTCGGTCAACAGACGATGTGCGTCAGCCAGCTCCTCTTCCAGACTTTCACACCGTTCGCGCGCTTCTTTCATCTGCATAGCCATCTCCGCGGTCTGGTCACGCATGTTGGTCATCAAACTCTGGGCACTGGCGTGTTGTGCTGTCTTCAATTGAATCTCTTCTCGTAGACCCCCAAGGTCCTTGTTTAACTGCGACATCTGTTCCTCCATCTCGCGCATCTTGGCGCGGGAGCTCTTGAGCCCGTCTTGAACTTTGGTCAGATCTTCTGCCGTCCTCTCTCTGGCATTGACAGCTTCCTGTCTCTTCGTTTCGGCAGAGCGTAGACTTGACTGGGCCACATAGAGACTCTCCTCGGTTTTCATGCGGCCTTCCGTTTCTTGTCGGATCTTTTTGTTTAGAGTATTGACCTCCGAGTCCCGTTGCATGATCTTGGACCTGGCGGTCTTCAGCTCAGCGCGCAGATCTTCATGCTTGCCTTCGAGAGTCTTCAACTCGGAGTTCTTGGTGTTAAGAGTTTCTTTCAAAGTTTTCAGCTCCGACGATTCGGCCCGCAAATTGCGCAGTTCGGGCTGAATCTTCTGGAGGGTTTCCCGCAGGTCCGTAAGATCCTTAAACCGGGTAGCTGCGAGCTGCTGCGCAGCAGAAAGGTCCGTTTCGAGGGTGGCAGCCCGGACCTTGAGACGTTCAAATTCCTCTTTTAGGTCATTCTGTGTCTTCTCCGAGTCCGCGGTGCTGGATGCACTGGTTGTGCGAACCTCAACCAGCTCCTTCTCCAACTTGCTGATGGTTTCTTCGAGGGCCGATTTCTCTGCCGTAAGTTCCTTGATCTTGTCCTTGGATTCGACATGCTCTTGTCCCACGTTAATGAGGTCGTCGCGCAGGGACTCGATCTCCTCCTTCAAATCATCTTCGCCCTTGAGCTTAGCACTGAGACGCTCGATCGCGGTCTCTTTCTCGGCCAGCTCCTGCATAAGCGATTCAATCTTCTGTTTTAATCCATTCGAGTCCGTCAAACCTAAAGCGGTTTCTGACTTGAGAGATTGGTCCGCAGAGGGTGCGTTCGCCGGCTTGGGAGATTCATCAGTAACCTTGCCCCCCTTCTTATTCTTCTTTTTGTTCTTCTTCTTGCCAGTACCACCAGCTGCGCCAGCAGCAGCTGTTGTGGTTGAAGTATCCTCTTGCGCAGCCGTTGCCGTAACCTCAGCCTCCTCCGCTGGAGCCAGGCTTTTGCGAATCTCCTCGAAATCGGCTTTTTGACCAGCAGTGATCTTCTCCCTGGCAGATTGCCAATGAGAGTTGCTCTTCAAATTGCCGTCCACAAAGTCCACGACGCTTTGGAGCCGGGTGGAATGTTCTGATTTCTGGTTGATCTCCTTCTTGAGGTCAGAGACAGTCGTTTCGGTGTCCTTGAGCTGAACTCGAAGGCCATCAACCAAGTCCTGAAGTACACCGAGATGCTTCTCACTGGCATCCTTCTCTTTTTTCGCCTCTTCTAACTTCGAACTGAGCTCCGAATTAGGCGCAGCTTTCTTGGACTTTCCGGTTTCGGCAGCCTGACCCTGCAGCTTCTCAATATCGTCACTCTTCTCCTTTAACTGCACCTTGAGCTTCTCGACCTCGGAGGTTGTTTGTTCAAGGTCGGTTTCGGCGGTTGAAAGTTTGGATTTCAGGTCATCGACGTCAACCTGCTTGGAACTCTTCAGGGTCTCGATTTCGGCATCCAACTTGTCTTTCGTGTCACGCAATTCAACGAGCTCGCGGGTGGCTGACTCCAAGTTCTGCACCATTCCTTCTGTCGACTCTCGTGTAACCGACAGATCGCCCTTGAGCTTTTCGACTTCTGATTTCAAGCTGTCCACCTCTTCCTGCCGCTCTTTTAGTTCTCCCTCCAGGCGGGGAATTTCGCCCTCGAACGAGAAGAACTCTTCACTGGAACCTTGTCCATTATCCGTCGACTTCTCCTTGTCATCCTCACCCTTCTCTTTTTTAAGGCCGGCGACTTCATCCCACGCTTCTTTGGCGGATTTTTGGGCTTCCTCAAGCTTCTTCTTGAAGTCATCCTTTTCCGTTGCCACTCGCTTAAGTTCGTCCAGAACCATGTCGCTTTTAAGAGATACTTGATTCAAGTATTCGGTCAGTGCTTTGGGCTCGCCGATCGAGGTGAGTGGTGTGTTTTCGCGCAGGGCTGCTTCAAAGGGTTCGATGGAGAGGACGCGCGAATGCGCCGAGCGATATGCCTTGAGAAGTTCTGTTGAGAATCCGGTGGATTAGTTCACGTTCTTCTGGTTTCAGCCACCGGCCGGCGCACATCCGACCAGGATTGTACATACCATGGTATCGTGTCTCGAGCTTATCAAGTCTTCGTAGCTTCGCTCTGACCTCGGTCGGCAATTCCGAAGGCCTCTGTTTGCCAGTTTCGGGTTCCGGGGTCGCATCAGTCTCTTTGCTCGAGGACTCTTCCGTAGCGGGCTTCTCCTTGTCCCCCTCTGTCTGGTCGCCTTCCTTCGACGGGGTCACTTCCGAAGGAGTCTCTGGTGTCTCTGGCTTGGGCGTGCCCGACCGACTAGAATCCTCGTCATCTCCGATGGCGAAATCCTGCTCGAATTCTTTGGGATCGGGGCCTCTGGTCGGAGTTCCGGCGCTTCGTGCTGAGCGGGTGCGTCGACCGGGCGAGAGGTTGCGCGAGGCTGAACGGCGAGTAGGGCCGGATCGGGCCAGTGAATCCTGGGCAGACTTTTGTCGGGCCTGTTCTTCTGCTATCCGCGAGTCGATCGCGTCGCGGAGGCGCTATGAGAAAATGGGTGAGCATCCGTTCGATGGGGTTGGAGAAGCACTCGACAGGACAGCGAGCAAAGACCAGAGCCATTAAATACCTGAAACATCGCCAGGACAGGTCTCGTATAGAGACCACGGCGATATCAATAAACGCAAGATCAAAATGCGATGAAGAAAGTCGGGGAGGAAAGAGACAGGAAGCCGGAGGGAGGGCCAAGAGACAAGTTGCCATGTGGAAGCTCGGGCCGGGTGATGGAGTCTCGTACGCTGCAAGCAGACACGGAGATAGTACCGTGTAGATCTTATGTTGATATTGGGCTATATACTCGAATTCATATCCTTGAAAGATATCACTTCCTCTAAATATCGAGAGTTCTTAATACATCTTTCGAAGTCTGTATATTCTTTTTAGATGCAAAGTATGCCGTCGATCTCCCCGGCGCTGGATCCACGTCCTGGCCCTATGGAAAGTTGGTCATGTCATTATTGCAATGAAGACAGTACCTCAAGGTTACGAGAAACTCAGGCATCTCTCTACCTTGCAAGTTATTGATTTTATGGTGCTCGACCACTTTCTATCGACTTACGACCCAAGTTGATCGTACAACATTTCCAGCCATCACGGGGTCATTCCCCCCCCCTTTCTGCCCTTCTATTCAATCCTCTTCATCCTCTTTACTTCATCCTGTTTTGTCTCCTTGGTCCCTTTCCTTCCATCTTCTTTCTTTCCATCTCCATCTTCATCTTTATTCTTTGACTATCCGTCATCCGAGTGATTTGCAACCACCGCCTGCCTCGGCTGGGAATGTCATCGGGACTAACGCATGCACCTCCAACGTTCCCTCCAGCCTCCACCCACTGGCGACTGCGCCTGCACATTTCCGATGTCTCTGATGATTTTGGCCCAGGGTCCACGGTTCGAGGGTTAATTTTGAGCTAAGCCCCTCGTTGGGCCCGCGCTCGGCCCTGGAAACAAAGCGGAGCTTCACCAATCCGGGTTTGGCTCTCCATCGAGGCCCACGATGTCTGGCAACGGCTTAGCCCCGTCCCTCTCCCTCAGCCTAACGGCAGCCACCTCAACTTCACTTGGAGAAAGTGTCCTGTCCTCCCTCTCAAGCGCGACACCCGCTCTCCCCCGTCTTCCACCCCCGCCTTTCCCTCCGCCAGCTCCCTCAACCATGGCGGGGTGGTTCGGTTGGGCCTTCACCTTTGTTTTCCAGGTTATTCCCAGTGCGCTATACTGGCTCATCACTTTTTCCACCATTACTCTGCCCACATGGATCTTCACACTCTTTTCCATGAGCTTGACGTTCACCATGAACTTCACCACCCTGTAGGTTGATCGGACTTGGGTGGAGAGTTATTGCCCGTAGCTAATGGACAATTCCACTTAGTATGTTGATTGTCCTCGCCCTGGTATCGACCGTCAGCTGGTTTATCCGCTACCGCTTCTTGAACATGTATAGCCGTCTGCCGCCAGAGCCCCAACGCAAAGAAGCCCAAATCGACCTTTTCCCCGATATCCAGGAAGGCGATTCCAAACCAGGACTGGCCAACTATCTTGATGAGTTCCTAAGTGCCATCAAGGTCTTCGGCTATCTCGAGCGGCCTGTTTTCCATGAATTGACGCGAACGATGCAAACCCGCAAGCTGATCGCCGGAGAGACGCTCATGCTGGAGGAAGAAAAAGGCTTTTGCTTGGTTGTGGACGGCCTGGTTCAAATCTTCGTCAAGTCACTGCGCGAAGGAAAGACTGGCTCGGAGGAAAACCTCCATATGGGCGATGCATCGTCGGACGATGACGGAGACGGCATCAATGGCCGACAGGGCTACCAGCTTTTGACCGAGGTCAAGAATGGCGCCTCAATGTCGTCTTTGTTTTCCATCCTATCGCTATTCACCGAGGACATTCAATTGCGCAACTCGCGAAGTACCAGCTCAAGCACGTCCAGCACAGCCCCCGCTCCCACCCCAGTCCCTGATTCTTTCCCGGCGAGCCCAGGCGAGGGAATTGTCAACAGTCCGCAATCCACTGCAAGGGATCAGGACGATTCAGCTGGCAATGCTCACGGGGACAACTTACTGCCAGTTCCTCCCCTGACACTAGGAGAGAGCCGTACTATGCCCAGCCAGGTACCGCAGCCCGATATTCACCAGACTCACAAAAAACGTCGAAAGTCGGTGCATCCGGATATTGTAGCTCGAGCTACCGTCGATACGACCATTGCCATCATCCCGGCAAGTGCATTTCGACGCCTCACTCGAGTCTATCCTCGGGCCACTGCCCATATTGTCCAGGTTATCTTGACGCGTCTGCAGCGAGTGACTTTTGCAACCGCGTACACCTACCTGGGCTTGAGGACGGATGTCTTGGGTATTGAACGCCAAATGTCCAAATTTACTACATGGGATCTGCCCAACGAGCTGCGCGGGGGCGCATTGGACCGCCTCAAAGATAAATTCATGAGGGAACGAGACCGCCTCAGACCCGAGGAGGTCCGAAAGGGCATCGCGCTTCACAACCCATCAGTCGGGCGTAGGCGCCGCTCGAGTAGCTCACTCAGGAAAGATGCTGTCTTGCAAGCCAGGATGGCCAGTGAGAGCCGTCCCGCCCCTCTCACGCTGGCTAGACAGCCAACCGCGTTCGGCGACCGAGACTCAGCAGGGGTCAGCCCCGGCGACTTGTTGTCAACAATTCAGTTATCTCGATTTGGACCTCGATACGACCACCTAGCGCCTCGAATCCTATCCCCCTTGGCCGAAGGGGAACGACTCCCATTCCGACCAGCTGCAGCCATGCAACGTCAACCTTCACACTTCCCTCGGAAGCAGTCACTGGACGAGGACTCGCTCTTCCGTGAATCTATTTTAGATTGCATGATGAAAGGGATCGGTCTGACCGAGAGCACAAGCGATGCCCTGCGCAAAGGTAGCCACAACTCCGGTGATGCTTCACCAAAACTTCTCTCCTACGATTCTCGGCGGCAAAAGGCAGTCTTCTCTAATGCGTTCGGGTTCATTGACCCCTATGAGGGATCTGGGGATGGCGAGACGGACTCCATGATGTCCATGTCAGTGACAAGTGCCGGCGGTACTTCTCCGGTTATCAATCTCCGTGAGGAGCTACGACATGATATCGAGGTGGTTTACTTTCCACAGGGTTCTGTTCTCGTCGAGCAGGGAGAGCGTCATCCAGGTCTCTACTATGTTATCGATGGGTTTTTGGACGTGGGCATTCCGGTGAATGAGCGTGGTGATGACCTGGTTGGGACCTCGCGCCCAGCTGCGTCGCAGGCCCAAGAAGAACTTTTCCCAAAGCTCAGGCCTAATACGACCGGGTCCTCGAGGACTTCCGGCACCACGAGCGCTGGTGACTCACGGCGGAAGGGCCAGTCCCGCAAGTCGCTCTACCTAATCAAACCCGGCGGTATGCAAGGATATGTGGGCGCTCTCGCGTCCTACCGCTCGTACACCGATGTCGTTGCCAAGACGGACGTCTATGTGGGATTTCTCCCTCGCACTTCGCTTGAGAGGATCGCGGATCGGTATCCCATTGCCTTATTGACCTTGGCAAAGCGGCTTACCGGGCTCCTTCCGCGGCTGTTGCTCCACATCGATTTCGCTCTCGAGTGGGTGCAAGTGGGTGCAGGGCAAGTGATTTATCACCAAGGGAACGAGAGCGACGCGATTTATTTGGTCCTCAACGGCCGGCTGAGATCCGTTCTCGAGGCTGCAAACGGCAAGTTGACGGTCATCGGCGAATACGGCCAGGGCGAGAGTGTCGGCGAACTCGAAGTCATGACCGAGTCCACACGCCCAGCAACTCTGCATGCTATCCGGGACACCGAACTCGCCAAGTTCCCACGGTCCTTGTTTAATAGTCTAGCGCAAGAGCACCCGGGTATCACCATCCAGGTCTCCAAACTCATCGCCCAACGCATGCGCGACTTGGTTGAGCATCCATTGGCAGAAAAGGGCATCGAACAAGGACATGTCGGCGGTGTCCAGACGGCTACGTCGACTGTCAATCTTCGTACGGTAGCGATTCTTCCCGTCACGGCGGGTGTCCCTGTGGTCGAATTTGGTCAGCGACTTTTGCATGCGCTGCATCAAATTGGTGTGACCAGAGGGGTGACATCTCTCAACCAAGCTGCGATTCTGAATCATCTGGGCCGGCATGCTTTCAGCAAGATGGGTAAGCTCAAGCTATCGCAATACTTGGCCGATCTCGAGGAAAAATATGGGATGGTTCTTTATATCGCAGACACCAATGTGAACGCGCCGTGGACCCAAACCTGCATCACGCAAGCGGATTCTATCTTGCTGGTGGGCCTTGCAGAGTCTTCCCCTAACATTGGCGAGTACGAACGGTTTTTGCTTGGGATGAAGACAACTGCCCGCAAAGAACTGGTCCTTCTACACGCGGAACGCTACTGCTCACCTGGACTGACCCGCCGATGGCTCAAGAATCGCGTTTGGATCAATGGCGGACACCACCACATTCAAATGGCGTTCCGCCTGACCACTGAACCTTCGCACCCCCAGACCAAGAAATTCGGCAAGATGCTGAAACAACGCGTCCAGGTCCTACAGGCAGAGATACAGAAGTATACTTCGCGCCGGATCCAGCAAACCCCGCTCTATTCGCCTCAGACTCCATTCAAGGGCGATTTCCATCGGCTTGCTCGGCGGCTGTGCGGCAAGTCTGTGGGCCTGGTGCTTGGTGGCGGAGGAGCCCGAGGCATTGCCCAGGTTGGCGTAATCAAAGCCCTCGAAGAAGCCGGGATTCCTATTGATATCATCGGCGGCACATCCATTGGGTCTTTCATCGGAGCTTTGTATGCACGCGACGCGGATGTCGTTCCCATGTACGGGCGAGCCAAGAAGTTTTCGGGTCGGATGGGGAGTATGTGGCGGTTTGCACTCGATCTCACATACCCGACCGTCTCATACACGACAGGCCACGAGTTCAACCGAGGCATCTTCAAGACGTTCGGGGATAGCCAGATCGAAGATTTCTGGCTGGAGTTTTACTGCAACACGACCAATATCAGCCGATCCCGGGCTGAGTACCACTCCTCGGGGTATGTCTGGCGGTATGTGCGGGCGTCGATGTCGCTGGCTGGACTCATTCCGCCGATCTGCGACGAAGGCAGTATGCTCTTGGATGGAGGATACATCGACAACTTGACAGTGACGCACATGAAGGGCTTGGGTGCAGATGTGATTTTCGCTGTGGATGTTGGGTCTATCGACGACACAACGCCACAGGGCTACGGCGATTCCCTGTCCGGGTTTTGGTCCGTGATCAACCGGTGGAACCCTTTTTCATCGCTGGCAAATCCGCCAACGCTGTCCGAAATCCAGGCACGACTGGCGTACGTCTCATCGATCGAGAACCTCGAGCGTGCCAAAAACACCTCGGGGTGTCTGTATATGCGCCCGCCAATCGACCCTTATGGCACCCTGGATTTCGGCAAGTTTGACGAGATCTACCAGGTGGGCTATGCGTTTGGCAAATCGTACCTCGACCGGCTGCGGAACGAGGGCTCCCTGCCCATCCCCGAAGAGACCGAGGAAAAGCGCAAGCTGCGGCGAACGATGGCACCGCGTCGTGCCAGTATTTAATGGCAGGGTGTTAATCAACTTAGCTTTCCCGGTGTCTGAAGTTGACGAAGCCGTGATTCTTTGGCGCATGGGCATGCGGCGTTCAACACCGCCATTTCCTTTCGTGGGTGCTGGCACCAATCCTTTATGGGCAATTGCATGATATACCTCTATTTGATACGAGGACGCCGGCTCTAATGTAAATAGCTAGTCAGATAGAGCAATAGAGAAAACCTTGGCATTGAATGAGCCCAGCTTTTGATCTTCGTGGGACACTGATACTAATTTGTCTCTAGAGTGATACCTAAGTTTACCGACAGAGCCAACAAACATCAACACCAGACGGACAGATCGTTAGATTAAAATAGTAGTTTAAATGTTAGTCAAGCATAGAAAAGAGAGCAACCTTCCAGCCTTGCACACAGTGCGGGCCGTGACATTACATCCACAATACCACAAATTCTTCTCTCCCCCGAGGACCCTTAATTTCAGATCCCGGGGCAACCAGCATATGTGCAAAACAGCATCCAACTCGGGTTCACGTTGAACTTCACCAACCACGAAATCTCCGCGCAGACAATGAGACACCATACAGTCTCGCATGGTACAACCACATTGCATTGGAATTCTCGAAGTCGACGGTCCATTCAGCAGAACGGAGTAGTAGATGACACGAAGGCGTTCATTTCAGTCCTGCTGCTCGTCTTAAACAGTCCCAGCAGGCGCCGGGGCGGGAGCTCCGGCAGGGGCATCCAGCGGGGGACGGGCAGCACCACCGTTCTTCTCGTGCTCGTTCTGGGGCGTATTTTCCTTGCGGTAGGCCCAGAGAGAGGCGACCTCGAGGAACATGCCGAGGAAGGTGAAGATGCTGGAGTTTTGTCAGATATGGATGGCTGGAAGGGCGGTTGAAAGGGAATGATATCAGCCAAGAGAAGCTGGATTGAACTCACAACGCCAGGAAGATGAATGCTTCGTTAGCCTTCTTGCGGCTGCATGTCACGCCGGGAGGTGCGTTGAAGAAACAGGCGTGCCAGCTGTAGTCCTGGGCGGCGAAGATGAAGGCTGTCAACCAGCTGTAGTTGGTTAGTATGGGTTGTAATGGTTCGAGGGCGATAGAGGACTAGATAATAACAGGGGTAGAGAAACTAGAGAACTCACAGGTAGGAGAAGATCACATCAATCGCCAGAACGAACTTGCTCAGCACCTTGGGCAGGAAGGGCGAGATGAAGGCTGGCAGGAAAAAAACGACAGATAGAACCGCCTGCGACAGTTAGAGCAATATTCAACACGACAGCCCTTTTATGTCTCCAGAATGGGCACTCACAATCACTTCCTGGTAAATGATATGCTGACCGTGTGGTCCCCGACTAATGAAGAACGAGGTCAATCCCATGACAATGACAGCGCTGGTCCACTGCATCACGCGGGTGAGCAGCTGCAGTGGCCGGGCGATGGTAGTGGAGAAAGGCATTGTAAGGAAATTATATAATTAAAAATAGAGAGAGAGGTGGAGAAAGGCGAGAGAAAGATGGAACAGTAAAGTATGTTTAACCCGACGGGGGTACAAGAATGAAGCGAATCAACCAAGAAAAGGAAAGCTGCGCAACCCACCGGGCGGCGGCCCGCTTTATAGTTCAGCAAGGCCATGGCTTGCAGTCAAAACAGAATCGAGTCACCATCGCATCACCGAGAGAGACGTCAGAGACAACATTAGTCTGGCGCCGGCAAGGATACATTCCCCAGATGCGTCATGATGGCCTCTGCATGAAGTCAGTGCGCACTCATAGGCCCAATTTAAATTTCTATTCCTAAGCAGGGAAGTCGTACCACCTAACTCAACTCTTTCTGTGCATTTTCCCCAAGGGAGACATCAATATGAATGAAGAATGAGCTACTCGGCCAGACCATCGACCGAGTCGCTTCCCTTGGTTACCCAGAACACAACCCAGCTCACTAAAAGCCAGGCCATGGATCAGCATGTCCAGTGCAAGGAGTCGAGGCAGCTCTATCAAGCTCCTTTGACACCAAGACTTGAGCCAAACCGCCAGACGCAAGGCTATCCGGCACTCCGCGGAAGCCTAGCTCGTGAGAGACACCGTCGATTCGTGCGAACCATAAGAGAGAGAAGAGACAAACAAACAAAACGCCCTCCGTCATGATTCGCGAGGTCGTTTAGATTAAAACTATAAACTGCATTAGTGACTGGAGTGGCACCCAATAGTCCGGGGAGCTCCCTGCGTGAGTCGTGATCGACAGTGGCGTCAGCCCTAAAAGTATATATCCGTCGAGGAATTGGACTGGGGGACGCAGCGGATCAGGGTGAGACAGACCGTGGGGTAGATGAGGATCAGCAGCCTGCCAGGTTCTTGTCACAACGGTAGTTGTTCTTTGTGTGGCGAGCCCGATGATTCTATGGTTCCACCGGACAGGATCAGAACAAGTATTCCAAGGTTGGAGGAGGTGGGAGGATATTCGTCTCACCCTACTGGAAATCACGATTCCAGTTGTCATTGACTACTGGGTCGAGGGACAAGGCATTGGGAACGTCCGGATCAACTTTTTACTACTGCGAAAAGTACTATAGTGAGGTACCATGTCTCACTCGCCCAACCTGACCCTAAGCGCAATGCCGGCAAGGGAGAACACCCGAAGCACCCACAACCCCTTGCACCCCAGGTTGTTTTGATTCAGGAACGAGGTGTTTTCAAGTGAAAATTTCTCTTGACATAACAAACTTACAACGGCAGGGAGCTCTATTGGGACCCTAGCAGAAACAGAGTTGCCACACATACCAATCGATTGAGTCCATAGCGGCATCAACACCCTAGAGTGGTTTTTAGGACAGAACAATATAGAAACAAAATAACAGGCCTGACTCCTCGCCGACAAACCCCGACTCCATTGCGCCTGAGCAAGTGTGGTGTTTTCCATCCCGGTGCGCTCACCATGAAATGTTGCCCAGATCATGCTCCTAGAGTAGTGTTAGTCGCGTTATCCCACGGCAATAGAAATTGAATTGTCGCCCACCTTCATATACTCGCTGCCCTTCTCCAAGTATTCCTGTCGCGTGACCGAAAAGTTGCCCAGCTCACCACCAGCAGCCCATTGCGCGGCACCTTTCCACGCATCAAGGACGGGGTCTGAGGCCCGGCGCACACCAAGCTGCGCATCCACGGGAAGAAACGCGCGCAACTCGTTGCGGAAGCGGTCTTCGAATCCAGTAAAGAGTGAGTTGCCGCCCGTCAGGAATACATCTTTGAGAAGACGCGACTGGTCTTCGGGACTGGAAAAGCGCTGGTTGACAATGTTGGCCGCGATTTCGATCAGACCGGCCTGGTCAACACCGGCAATAGAGGGCTTGAAGACAACTTCCGGCACACGGATGCGCTCGACATTGAGGTGCAACTGGTGAGCCTCGCGCTGGCTCTCCGGGTCGAAAGGCCATGGCCCACGCAGGAATGCATGCACAAGACTCTTGGTCCAGTCCGACTGTGCCGCCAGCGTGTGATTCTCGGTGAAATCAGGATCGTACTCCAGCAGTTCCTGCTCCACGCCATTCAGCATTCCACCGAGATCCTCTTCCTCTTCTTCATCGCTCGCTTCGCCCGTTGCCACGGTCCGGTAAACGCCCCAGTCGTCGTCGTTGGCCCCAAAGTCATCGTCATCGCCGCCGCGCCGCCGCTTCCTGGGGCCTTCGGCTGCCAGGTTGGCCAGCGTCTTCATGCGCATTTGGCTGGCAAGCGATTTACGGTTACCCAGATCGGCCTTCATGCGGTCCCGGTCTTTGATTTTTTGAAGAAGATTCTGGATAGAAATTAGCACACATAAGTAATAGCCGGCATAGTGTAGGAACAAACCTGGCGGTTGGCTCGCCGTTGAGCGATCCAGTTCTCAAAATCATTTTCGCGCTTCTCGCGATCCAAACGCTCTTCCTCCTCTCGGCGAGCTTTTTCGCGTTCTTTCTCATCTTTGGCACGTTGTCTGGCTTCCACGTTGGATTTCATGAGGCGCTGGTGTCGCTTTTCTTTGAGGCCGGCCTCGTCGAGTTGCTCGTCGGGCACATCAAGCATCGGAAACGACATTTCCTCTGGCTGTTCTTCTGTTTCCTCAATACCCAAGTCACGGTTGCGAGAGCGTTTAATGGATTTTTCCAAATCCCGAATCTGTCGTTCCAGCTGAGCTTCGTCTTTGAGGTCCTCCGCCTCCAAAATACGGCGTACTTCTTTCTTCGTTTCCGATGCTAGAGTTTGCTGCAGGTCTTTCCAGTATTCCAGCTCCTGCTCTTTTTTCACAAGTTTCTCCAGCCGCATCTTGGCGGCTTGTTCTTGCAATCGACGACCGCTCTCCTTCTTGCGCTCGGCGATGCGCGCAAGTTCTTCTTCCGTCTTCTCAGGTACGACATGCTCGGTGAAGGGGTACTGCACGACATGATTGCGGTCCTCGAGCCCTGTCCAATCCAAGTATCCACCGAGCTCGCGGTCATAGTCCTGGGAGACGTAGCAGTGTTTGTGAACCATGTCCTCCATCTGGTGTTCCGTCATACGTGCCGGGAAGGTAGGATATTTGAGCTTCATGAGTTTTTGGAGGTATTCAGCGCTATGCAGCCCGCCCCAATTCAGCCGCGAGCAGTTCGAGAGAAGAGGTTTGGAATTCAAGACAGGGATAACGTGAGTCGAGGTGTGCGACGAGGACACGACCAGTCCGTCACTTCCCTTGTTGTATCGATAAGCGAACAGGGAGTCGACACCGTACGCCACCGACGGTGCTGAGTAGCATTCGAACAGGATCTCGTTCATCACTAGAGAGCAAGGTCAACGATTACCAGCACTCGTGGAGTCTGACCACAACCTACTCTTGCGAGGATAACTGGGACTGGCGATTGGCTCAGTCATCAAAACCGGACGGTCGACTCCCCCGTTGGCGCCATCCACACCGAGCTTGAGGAAAATATAGTCCAGGATACCCTCCATGACATCCCAGTTCCCCACCACACTGGAACCCGGGTCGAATGCATTTCGAAGCTGGCCGCGCGTGGTCGCATCGACATAGGCATCATTTCCGATGAAGTGGCATTGGCGATTGAGCTTGCGATCGCGGTAGCGGCTCATAACGGGAGGCAGGACGAATCGCGGACTTTGGTCGAACGACCAACCAGCCTTGACGAGGTGGGCGCCTGCACAAATAGGGGGGGAAAAGCCATCAGCAACATTCTCACCCTCCGAGTCTCCCACGCCAATTCATCAATCTTACCATTGTCGATGACGATGGCGCTCGTGTCGGGATGGGCTTGACTCTGCGCGTATCCCTCGGGCTGCGGCGGTTGGTAGCCCTTGAAGGGGAAGTCAGGCACACTGTACACCTGTGGTGGCGGCTTCTCGACTCGTCTCTCAGTTGAATTGACTGCAAAGCGACCCGGCAGGAGGGTCTGCACCGCGGTGATGGTCATGCTGTGCGGTGCTGGCTCGAGGAACCAGGAGCGGCAGAAGGTTGGAGATCAGATTGGAGGATTGAAGCTTTACCGCATGACCGGGGGCCGGGGAGAGGATGCGAGGAGATGAAGCGCGGGAGTGGGAGAAGGAAGATTGGAGGTGTCAAACGGATGGTTGATGATGTCGCGGCGCCAAGAGTTGATTCGCAGATAAAACGGAGTATGCGCTGGGTTACGCGGTCTACAATTACGGAATTACGGCCCTGTATTGGAAGAAGATCATGGCTGCCATTGCAACGCTCAATGCCATCAAATACTGAGTTTTCATTCATCCACACATGTCTTCATTAATGGAACCCGTCCTTAAGAGGGGTCCTTGAGGTTCTCCGTCGCTGTGGAGCAGATCTTAGCAAAGAAGATTCGGAAGGAGACACAGAATCAAGCATACCTTCAAGGTGGAAGAGGACATTCGACTGGTAGTTCTTGAACATCTGCGCGACCAACTCGACATTCATGTTCTGGATGTTGACTTCCTGTCGCGGAATCAGTATCTTGACACTGGAAGAGAAACAGACACAAAGCCCACCTGCAGGCTCTTATTCATCACCATGACAGCCTCGTTCAATTTCTCCTGGTCCTGAAATCAGTGAACTAGACCATAGATATATGGGGAGAATGTCTTGACATACAACATTCGTGATAATACGCGACAGCAGCACCGTCTGCTGATGCTCGTGAGGGCTCTCCTAAGAGGATATTAGCTTCAGGATTCACACACTACTCCAACAAGAAAGGATTCATTGATGAGCCCCTTGGTGCACTCACCATGATTAAGATGCGTAGCTTGTAAGTTGTTTCTGGCGCGGAGTTTGTTTGGGCTGATGACCCCAGAGCGGTCACGTGAAACTATACAGAACATCGTTGAGCAAACGGCGATGCGTCCCGTATTTTAAACGGATACTTTACCGTATTATACGCCCCGAGCAATATATACTGAAATAACTCACTCTCTTCTTTTTCTCCTCTCCTTGATACACCTAACTCCCTCTTCATCACTTGTCCAGTGCCTCCAATTGAGACCACTTCCACCATCAAGCCGCCATGCCTCCTCCCAACCCTGCCAACGACGAAGCCCATCAGCAGCTGCTGATCCAGTTGGACATTTCCCAAATCCACAAGCCCTTCCGCAATCCACACTGGAAACCGTCTCAGCGCCGCAACAAGAACCTGAAGCAGATCATCTCGGAGAACGCGCGCAAGGAAGCGTCGGTGTTGGCGACCCAAGCCAACTCGGGTGCCACCACCCCCTTCCCAGCGACATCGGGTGGGGTCACCACTGAACAGTCACAGACTCCCACTGAGAGTGCTGGAGGAGCACCCAATCTGGAAAAGGCCTCCCAGAATCTGTCGACTTTGGTACTGGAGAAGAATGCGCGGACGATGTTCCCCAGTGGCCCGGCTGTTACCTACACGAACATTGAGTCGGCGCCGTCGCTGAACCCAGCTCAGCAGCAGCACTACTGCGACATCACTGGTCTACCCGGCCCGTACACGGACCCCAAGACGCGCCTGCGGTACCACGACAAGGAAATCTTCAAGGTGATTCGATCGCTGGCCCAGGGCGTGCCCGAACACTACCTCGAAGCCCGCGGAGCACAAGTCATTCTCAAGTAAAGTGGATGGGTGCGCTACGATGCAATCTTCGACTCGAAGATGCAGACATCAAGAAAGCTAGTATGTCTACAGGATACGGTCCAAAAGCCTGGCCAGATTGGCAGACACTAACATATGATCTTAATAGCTAGTCCCGGCGGAAACTCTGCCGACACGCGTCATGTACGATCAACACAGTCAAGCCCTTTCCACCCCACCGAGTCCCTCTCGAGACTGGTTCAAGAAAGCGCTCCGGCTTATTCGTGACCTTGGAGTCGATCTTCGCCTTGTGCAGGTGCACTTGACTATTACCGACACCCCATGGGAGAGGTATCAGTTACAGTCTCCGGAGAGACTGTCGTCGCGGCGTGGCATTGAATATGCTGAATGGATAACGGGGAATAAAGGGATATTTGACGGGACCCATGGACATGATCCAAGATGGGATTGAAGCTTGAATCAATGACCAGAATACTTCATTCCTCATTAATAGAGATCTCTGTGATCAGTAACCATTCGATTCATTGTATATTGAGCAATGAAGCCATTGTAGTAGTCAATCATCAAGACACTGTGGATGGTGTTGGCGAAGATGCCGGGCAAAAGAAGAGTTCAAGCAGAAAAGAGCCTGCGGGTGGTCATTCTACACCGCCTCCTATATCAAGACTAGCGCCAGACGACCAGGGGAGGTGTGTGGCAGAATGAGTCGCCTGTTTACTCGCTTCCCCGTTATCACTTGGACTCGCCCTCGATCGCTTGCTGGTTGCGCTTGAATCAGCTCACAGTCTCACCCACCCAATAATCAATCTGTGTGCTGCGAGCAAGAAATGCCTGGCATGTGGTTGTCCGAGAATCAGAGTGAGTTCGCAGTTCTTTGTCTTCGATGGCTTGCGATAGGCCATTGTGCTGGGGAATTCTGTGCTGATATTTGGCTTGTGTCGATAGAGATCGGAGTGGTCTTCTGCTCTGCCGGTATGAGGCTTACGCAACCATACATGATGCGCGCACAATACTAACCCTAGAATGGCTTGATAGGTGGCTTATTCCTGTTTGGAGGAGTGTTGATGTTCTTTGACCGGTCATTGTACGTTGAGAGCCATTCTTCTGATGATTCCCTGCTAATCATTCTTATATGGCAGACTTGCCATGGGAAATGTATGCGCCACAGTGTCACGATAACCCACCCCCACCCATTCACACTCATATAGATCCTCTTCCTCATCGGCCTCACCCTCATCATCGGCTTCCAAAAGACTATGGTCTTCTTCTCTCGCCCACAAAAACTCAAGGGCACCGCTGCCTTCGCCACAGGAATCATCCTCATTCTGCTGCGCTGGCCTCTGACCGGGTTTCTGATTGAGCTGTACGGGTTATTCATTTTGTTTGGGGATTTCTTGATCACCATTGGCCAATTTGCTGGCAATGTCCCGGTGGTAGGGCCGTACATCAAGCGCGCGCTGGAGATTTTGGCTGGCGGGAGAAGCAATGCCGAGCTGCCAGTATGAGTGTGCGATTTCTTTGGATAGGGATTGGCTTGCGCTGCGCACAAAGAGCTAGGGTTTTCAATTGGTTTTGGTTTTATGTGTATAAGTATGCGACTGTGCACGGCCTATGTTGTTCTCGTGTGTCACTAGGGCAAAATGGGATGACATGAGATATGGCCATAGACCCATGCATCGTCACCCAAGCTGTATGTCATCCTTAATGACGACAATCCTGGTACAAAGCAGATCATGGTGCCGGTTCTCATAAAACACGACGATTCATATCAAATCAGCCTGCACCTAAAGTTCAAGTCTCAATATCAAAGAGCACGACTTGGTCGAACATATCCATGAATCATGTCTACTGAGGCCTCATGTCTCCAGCCAAACCCAGGGCAAAATGAAATACCAAAACCCCAGCAAATAAGAAAATCAGCTTGCAATTGCCGGGTGACACGGCAGGCCAAAAAAAGGCGACTAGGTCGAAAGATCAATGCTCCTTTATTGCTATTCTTCACAAACACCCCTCTCATCCGCAACCCATGCGATCCTTCATATCCCACCGAGTGCATTTACCGCGGGTTGTTGATGTAGTCAACCAGGTTCTCAACAACGGTAGCAGCGTTGGTGGTCTGGACGGCCTCGGTGTGGTGGGCGATGATGGTGCAGGCACTGGCGCGGACAACGATGGCGCCCTCCTTGCCCTGAACAGAAAGACAGGATCAGTATCATACAAGACAGTCCGAATGTAGATTTCCAGGATTTCCAGGGTGCCAGATTTCATCCCTTACCTTCTTGCCGTATAAACTGCGTTCGTCAGCCTTGATGGCCACAAACTTGTCGCCGCCGACGGAGAAGCCGTTGGCGAAGGCGTTATCGCTGGAACTGAAGGCGGCAGCCAGAGAGTTGATCTCCTCCTGGGAGAGCTGGAGCATTAACATACAAGTTAGCCATCGGCACCGTTCACCATTTCCTACCCCGCATTCGCGAAATCGCACATACCGAGAAACCAGGCGACGAGGCCTCGATGCCGGAGAAGTCCGCAGCGAGAATACCGGCCTTGTCAAATTGACCCGAGCCCATCAGGCTGAGAAAAAGAAGAGGGATATTGTCAGCGACATGTTCCGGTCATGAGACATCCGATGACGAGCTGGGGGATTGGTCTGGTCGGGTAATGAACGAGAGAGAGAGAATTCAAGGAGAGAGGTACCTAGAGTCGACATAGCCTATTAAGGAGATCAAAATAAGACCTGTCAGCGCGCTGCCTGTAGACATGCAGGTGCGGGATACATTCCATACCTTGCCAAATTGCCGAGTGTTGGCCCATGGTGATCAAGTAGGAATCAGACGGTCACGCTGGGGGGCACGAAACAATTAGTGATAGGTCATAGATAAAACACAGGAGCAGAATTACCGGGGAGAGTCTGAAGATATACACACAAGCACACACAGGAGAGTGGGAAGATGGAAGAAAGGAGCGAGAGAGGTGGTGGGGGGGGGGGTGTTGGCGGTAAACACCCCGCCGGTCGATCACCGCCTATTCCGACCTTTGCTGATGCCATGACCTATATCTTTTTTTTTCTTTTTCTCTATTAACTCTTTCTGCAAATTTCTATATATTCTCTGTATGGACCTGCTAAGGGTCTGGTCCCTTGTTGCTCTTTTATTTATTAATTTCTCATCTTCTTATGGTCGAGTCGAGTACAATCGGTAAATCGAGTATACTCCGCTGAGTACCTTGCCGGATGCTCAGAAGTATAGAACCACCACTTGATCGTCATTTGCAGATTGAATAGGTTATTTCGTATATTTGGATTTCTATACTTTGCGGGTTTTCTCAGGCCAGGTAGCATTTCTGTTCTTCGCTCGGGAATGCCCCCGGATTATATATATCTACTCGCTACAGACGTAACTTCCAGGAACAAGTGCAGAAGTCCTGAACCCATGAATATTGTTTGTGAAGAAGATGAAGAATACTTAGCAATTGCTGTCAATTAACCCGGTCCACAGTCTCAGCCTTCCCAAGCCCCAAAAGACGGTGAGGCGATGGCGTCCAGTCTTGGCATCACCAGAAATCCCCGAGTGTTGTCCGTCGCCAAATGGACTGTCACCAGTTCAATTATCTTCAATTACTGTGGACCTGTCTATCTACTGACAATACTAGCTACAGGCACAGTGGCATGGAAAACAACAGCAACGGCCGCACTGGCCCAGTCTCCATGGCATATTCCCCCTGACTCGAGGTGTCTCAGTTTCACACCTGAAACACGCCTGCGCGACTCCCCCGTTGGCCCCCTCCCAACGTGCTCATCAATCCATGACAGACACGCTCATTCGCTTGGCCACAATTAAGCATCTCACGCGAGGGCCCCCGGAAGCGCACGCAGGGGGTCCAGCGCGATCCTCGCCCTTATATGAGGCCAAAAATAGTCCGAATCTCAACCGTTGCACCAATCATCCACCATCCCCTGTTCATTTGATCTCTGTCCGCGGCTCCAACCGCACGATGCTATCGATCCGTTGGTTGCAGATTCCCCCCCGGTCCCGGTCCTGGGCCGGATGTGCCTGGTGCGGGTGATGGGCAATGAAGGATCGTTTGGCCCAGGGCGCACCAACAGGGGTGGAAGGATTGATTAAACTGCCCCAAGTCAGGACCCCCCTGGGTGTGTCGCATTTAAAGAGCCTGGCACAGTAGTCTCTCCACCCTCTCAGCATTATTTTTGCGCCCCTGGTCATTAAGAGCTGGCTCCCCTGACTGCCGCTGCGATTTTTGTCTTTTTGCTTTTCGGAGTTTTCCTTAGTCGAGGTCTTCTGGAAGACCGTCCCTTCATTTCATGAACCGAAATCGTTTTTAACTCGTTCATATTGTTTCTTGTCTGGCTAAACGTCAGCTCTCCTATAACGGATTGGATTCCAGTATATCCCTCAAGATACCCCGAAAAGAACCCAGAAATGGCTCGCAGCTTCACAATCGTCAGATCTCGCGCCCCGCAGACCCCCGAATCCGTATCGATACCTGTCATGGCCTATTCCGACGCAGGACCGCGGAACGACTCCCACGCCCTGGACAAGACGCATGCAACAAAGTCCCCGGAATATCGAAAAATGGGTCAGTGGGACTTACGTCGGACTGACACATCGAACGGACAAGCACGAAGAAAGCCACCGCCAGGCAAGGGAGCAACGTTCGACTTTCGTGTGACGGCACCGCCAGACGAAGCCATTCCAGCCACCTCAAGGTCAAACCGTGGCCCGAACCGGCAGCATATTATTGGCATTGCCCTGGGCAGCCCCGAGAGAACGGATTTTGGAGAACGCTTGCCGTCGCCGAGATTTGATACCTCGATCTTCCCGCGAGACAGGGCAGAACAAACATCTTTGCCTCGCAAGCCGAGCAAGTGGAAGAAGATTGCAGGGCTGTTCAAGGCAAAGAATGCGCTGGCAGTGCCAACCGACAATGCATCAACAAAGCCACCTGCAGATCAATCACACCCCGAGAAGTCACACAAGATGAGGAAGAGAACGAATTCAACGGAAAAATGGCCGAGTCTGGATATCGAATCCAATATCCCACCTTATGGCGGCGAACCCCCGAAAACGAATCCCGGCAATGCCGGCCCCCTTCTCAATGTCGATATCCCGGACACCCATATGGAACGGTATACCGTGATGTTCGGCAAGGTCGTCAACCAAAGCCAGAAACCATCACTCCTGGCCCGTCGCAGCAAGACACTAGACAATCTTCGTGTACCAGATCCACGGGTATGCCATACTAGACAGACACTGCGATATGGAGCTAGCTTATTGATTCAATATACAGAGTTTCCCCACGTCCAAAGCACCCGCCATTGCCGTACGACGGGCCACCTCGCCCGCGCAATCCAACTTCACCTGTTACCCAACATCCCACCCTTCCAAAGCAGCGCAGATCCTTGGTACTGAGGACTTGTCGCGGGGACCAAGTCCTATACCGCGGGCACACACTCTTCCCGTTGATAGCCCGGCCAAGTCTGAAAAGTCGAAAGCCATTTCACATATGAATAACTTTTCCTCGCTTGGGTCCCCGGTAATCTCAAAACTGTTTGGCGAGCGATCCTCAACGCCCCGGTCATCCAGAAGCCTTTTGCGGAAAGAGAATAAACCACTGCCTACGATCAAGCCCGAGGCGAAGATTTCTCATAAAAACGCTCAACCGGAAAAGACAAAGAAACACCAGTCCTCGAAAAAAGCACCTTGCCAACAACATAATACACATGGAAACAACGAACATGATAAATCCCAAAAGAAAGACAGCCAGCCAAAAAAAGAAAGAGAGAGAAAAACAGCCCCTGCAAAAGAGGCCTGCTCGACCAGACCGACCACTGCGACCAGACACACAAGCGCAGATAGAAAAACGACCGCCACCACCACCAGCCAAAGATAAACCAGCCCAACCATATTCAGCCCCAAAACTTCAACACCCAGTCGACCGAACCGCTTCTCGACGACCGGCAATATCCACCGGCCCCAAGTACCGATCTCCCCCTAACAATTCTACACTGGAGCTTGACGGGACTTGTATTCCCCATCAAGCTCCAGAGCCAGCCCCCGTCGAGATCTCAACAGCACGGACTATCTGCGTGTCCGCGGGCAAGCAACAGATGCTCGTGCCTATCAGACCGCGCATGGACTACCTCGAACCGAACGAGCGGTTCGTCGACCGCAAGACATTGACGCCACGCATTACTGATGTGCATTATGGCCATCGGCATGCGGTATCGCAAGAGCTGCGGATCGAGTCGGTGTGATATTTATTTCTAATCTTTCTCTTTCTTTCCTTTCCCTTTTGTCTTGTCCGGGTGACAAGCCGTTCTTTACCGATCATGGAATCGGTTTATATGTTCTTATTTTCTCGTTCGCCCACCCTTTCCCGGCTGTGGCTTTGGCTTCTCTTTGGTTCTGTTGAATACTGGTTCTGTGGCATATAGCAGGTGTTTATATCTAACTAATACAGGGTAGGCTATGAACAAACTCAGTGGGGACTGCAAATAAAAGCTCAGCCGATCACAACAACCACCCCATAATTGACGGTTTTCCTCGGGGCGGCTCGCTAAGCTCCAACATGTATATATCCAGCCCAAAGTAGCGGCTGTTTAGGAAATCTCTCCCTTACCGCCCGCACAGAGCGATTCAACGCCAACGCAACACTCTTATGATTTATCTGGCCCGCATCGCGCAGACACGAGTAGAAGTTGGCAGCAACGTCGACACAGACTGTATCGTTGGACGGCCACAGCGAAGCAAGAACATGGGCAAACCCGGCCGTCTGAAAGCCACTGGCTATATGCAGGACTTCATCTGCCAGAAGCTCTGCTTGATTCTCTGCCGTGGAGCAAGCGGATAGATACGCGATCTTTCCTCCAAGCAGGTGCATGTCGGCGATGTTTTGGACGGTCAACCTGTCTATAGTTGGGTTGTGGGTTGGTTCTTTTCCCGGGGTCTGAAGTAGAAGATAGCTTTGGGATGGGTCAACTGGATTGGATACTCCATGACAAGCAAAATGAACAATGTCGCAGTCCTTCATTTTGCGCATCACAGCCTCTCCGCTTGGATGGGCCAGGGACTTGAACCAAAAAGTCTCCTCAACTATGTCGCGTACTACTTCCCTTTCTCTCAGAACGCCTGGCAGAGACTGTTGTCCCGGGGTAGTAGGCATGGTCACACATAGTAACCGGAGATTATCTTGGTCTGTTGCCCATTGGCCTCGCTCCCTGGCAAAGGATAGCGCTTTGATAGTAGGGGTGTAGGACGAGACCACTCTAGCCAGGGCATTCTCGAGGGATCCCTGGGAATGTTCACCCGCCACATGAAACGGCAAGGAGCACGCCAAGCCAGTTCCAATCCACCAAACTCGTGGAAGATCTTCAGGATTGGACGGCGTCTCATCTGCTATGAAGCCAAGGGAATCCAGAACCACGCGAACGCAGGCGGTCCATAGCCACCAAAGAAATTCGCGGTAGTGTCTGTTCTTCTGACCGAACTCCTGGCGACTGGAAAATCGAGTGAGGTCCTCTTTGAGCCACTTAGTCAACTCCCCTGCCCGAAGCCCCGGTAGCTCAATGGACCGTACCACCTCAGTGGTGAGGAAGATGGCATGGCTCCCAATATCAGTTACCACCACGATGACTATAACACCGTCTTTTGCATGATGCATCAGCTGATTTGTGGTAGGGCCCTGAAGGAAACGGTCATAGCCAGGAAGGTGACGAATGTCTTCCATGCAGTGGTCCAATTCCTGGACGGCTTGGATCCGGCGATTCATCCGCGCCGTCTGGGTCTTGACATCCTCAGTATCGGGATAACGGCGGTTGATATCCTCCGTGAGCTTGTTGTATTTCTTCGCTTGTTCTGGATACGATGCCTCGAGCGCAGAGATGTCGCTTCGATCATTGATGAAGTATCCCAGAATGATACCGCGTCCCAGCTCCAATAGTTCGACCGCTTCCGCAGCCTCGCCACTCAAAGCCAGAAGCAATGAACAGGCTTCTGCAGTTAATCTCGGATATTGAGATAGATGCCACTGTTGATCAATCTGGGTCAAGGTCCGGTTGCCAAGAAATACCATCAGCTGCACCATTTCGTGGCACATGCGCTTCACATCGGGGTACTCTTTGAGATACTCCCAGAAATTAATTGCCTTTCTTGCTGCCCAAAGCCGATCTTTTGGCATCGCGGTGGGCGTATTGAATGCGTCCAGGTAGGCCTGCAAGGCCTGACGTTGTCGCTCTTCAGCCGGCGAACTCGAGTAGACTTGGCCAAGGTGAGATAGCGTTCTGGCGGATTCTGGAGTTCCAGGAGGTGTGAGACGAAGAACCTCTTCTCCGAGAGATATAGCCTCCTCGAGGTCGTGGGGACTTTTCGAGTGGTGATATCTGAGGGAGACCGCCAAACAGAGCTTGTCCAGGACCATTCGTTGCAAAGGAATAAAGTCACTCGACATCTCCTCCTTGACTTGTCGATGAACCTGAATACCTGCATCCAGGTCTGTGATGCTGCCTGTCTCCAAAGCTCGACTAACCAACAGCTGGCCCAACTGGTTCGACATTATGACTCGTCGGTTCTGGTCAATATTTTTGGATTCCACGGCCTCCTTCTGCAAATCGATACTCTGCTGCAGCGTCACCAAACTGTTGTTTCGCCGGGATTCTAGGTGTAGAGTCCCAGCGTGCTCGTCGCGTGCTGTCGCCCTTTCGGCCTCGTAGGCATCGTCATCTGGTATAAGTTGCAAGGCCTCTCTTCCCAGCCGGGCTGCCTCGTGTAAATCCTCGACTCGTGAGAACTGTAAATATCTTTCAGTGAAGACACTCGCCAGGTTCCTCAATCTCCCGGAGCGATATATTCTATTATCTCTGGTAAACTCCACCGCCCTCTGCATGTAGTGCGCCGCTTCATCCAGGTCCTGTAGCCGTCCCGTCCACCGTGAGCGTTTGAGCAGGCATTCACCCAGTAGGTCCAGACGAAGTGGCAACTGATCGTCATCTGGGGATGTCAATTCCAGTGCTGTTTTAACAGTGTCCAGAGCCAGGTTGATGTCGTCTAATGTCTCAGTGAAAACAGACTGCTTGTTCGAGAGGATTGCAAGACCAGTCAATCGAATGGCACGGGTCGAGGGGTCGAGACTTTCGGGCATTCGCTTTGAGGCTTCTCTCCCGACTGACATAGCTTCCATGAGATCCTCCTTCTTCAGGGAATGCTGATATCGAATGCCAAGATCAGCTGAGAGATTGTTCATACATTCGACAAACAAAGAAGTCTCGGTAAATCCTGACTGCTTAGTGTGAATTGAAAGGCCTGTCCGCATGTACGAGATAGCGGCGTCAAGGTCGTCCCGCTTGTCAAGCCGCCTGAATCGAGCATGAAACGTAGTGCCGAGATTAAGCAGAAACCCGGGGAATGCATCCACCACCCCAAAAGCATCAAGGATCTGCTGATAATTGCGAAGACTGTCGTCCAGGTCTTCCACCAGGCGAGTTTTCAGGTAGCGCTTGTATAAATCCATGGCAAGGTAGTAATGCCACTGCATACGCGGCGAGCCTTCGTTGGCGGTGATGTGCACCATTCCTCGCATGCTACTAACCGCTGCGTCGAGATACTTCGCGTTCCCGGTTCTCTCAAACCCCATATCCCATATATGCGACAGTTTACGGAGTGCGCTTTCTTCCAGAACTCGATATGTTTCGTTCACGGCGAACTCGCAGTCCTCGACGGATAATGTTCTCCGAGAGTGCACCTTCTCACGCACCTGAGGCAACTGCTGGTAATGTTTCATCATATCGCGCAGCATGATCTGCTCATCTCTGCTGGGATCGAAAACCTGCATTTCAACCACTCGAACTCGGATGTTCATGATGGCAGATTGACGCCCTTTGCAGATGGAGAAGAGGGCTTTTTCGGCCATGAAACCAGCACGGTCAATGTCGCTGGGCATCCCGCTCCCTTGGAACCGCTCAAAGGATATTTCCTTGAGCAATTCAAATCCGGCCCACTGGTTGGGATCCCCATCTTTGAGTTGTCTCGTTTCTTTCTCGATCTTTGTTTCTATTTTGTTCAACCTGTCGAGCAAGGTATAATCCTGGGGTCTTGCCGAATAGGCTGCTCTTCGAAGGAAACAAAACAGCCTCTCGAGATTCTTCAAAGATATTTCGAAGTTTTGCGAGGATCGGGCATGGTTCAATTGAATTTCAAGGTTCAGGGCTAAGTTTTTGAGTCTCATTGGAAGCCTTGGGTCTTCCGCAGGGGTGAGGCCCACTGCCTGCGCAGAGTTGTCGACTGCACGATGTAAATCGTTGATGTCTTTATTTTTCTTGAATCGTCGTGTGAGCATACTCGCAAGGTTGTTCAGCGTGGCTGGTCGATCAAGCGTCAAATCGTCGAGATTGCGCTCCAACACCCGAATTTGGGTATCGATGTCGGTCATTTTGTATACCCAGCAAGTTCAAAATGGCTACATTGGAGCTCTCTGTGTAGAAGCGTAGAACATAAACTCCGCGAGTTCATTCAAAAAGAAAGGAAGGGCCGAGGAGAAAGTCTATGCGGGAGAAAACGTCCGTGCAGCAAAGAGGCTGAGCCTTCGGGGCGCGTTCGATTGCACTCACACTGGAATCAAATAATTTGTGTTGAGTTGGCAGGAGTCGATTGTGACCAAAGGAAAAGGGGTGCAGCTCAGGCAGTCGTAGCAGTCAGCTGTGCGATCAGCATCTAAACATGCGGAATACGAACGCCCGCTCTTAACCCTGCACCACCCCGCACACTTTTCTTTTCCTTCAACTCCTGCGATGCCCCAGAGCCTTGTTCTCGGAACGCCTTTCTTTCCACTCGAATCAGTTCGACTGGGTAGACTAGTGCTCAACATCAAAGAGCCCCAGCAAGACTACTTCGACCCACCGTGCCAGAGGAGCGAGGATGCCTCGGTTCAAGAACACGAGGGATACGGTGGTGTCGACAATACTGGAAGCAATCGAGATTTCGTGTCGCTCTTAACCCGCCTTGTAGCCGCTTCCCATATCAAGCGCATGCGCACGTCAACTCAAGTTTCGACCCCGCGGGCAAGGACCTACCAACTGCGCAACTCTGGGGTGTGGTTTCGACGTGCATTGGAGGCCGAGGCCACACGAGACTGGGTTGAAGAAGCCGTTGACCAGGGGGACGAAGTGTATCTCATTGTCGGATACCACACGTTCCAGGATGCCCGTTTCATGGAGCATGCGGTCGAGATGAGTGAATCATTCGCCCAGCTCAACCTCCCGATTAACGCTGCAATGCCGGGGATCGGAGGCAGCGGGGCGGGGCTGGGCGCTAGTATTGTCGGTGGTGATATTAGTGATCCTGCAATATCTGGTTGTCAACAGTCAGCTCGCTCTTTGCAAAAACATTTCGTGGCGACGGGAGAACAAGTCGTGGCGATCCAGTACCGGCGCCTGCGGTTCCGGTGGTATTCCAGTCGGAATCTTGACAGGGCGGCATTGGAAAAGAACCGCTGGCATACTCGCTGGAATATGCGTGGGGAGCAAGACAATGCGGTTGACGACGTCCTGGAGGCAGATTTAGAGGATGGGCCGGCACTGAAAGACCTGCCCTATCAAGAGAGGGTTGACGTACATGCTGTAGAAGACTGGGAGGTGTACTTGTAAGAATGCAGCATCCTTGTTATGTTCAATCCATATATCGAGAGTTCAATGATTTTTGAAATAGTTCCCCCGTTCCGGATTGTAACGATAATTATGGGCAGACATTCGAGGTCGTCTTTGGTATATTTAATATCAGCCACTATTGAGCAACGAGCACGTTCTCGCAACTAGTCTTAACGCAAACGTAGCACCCGTAAGGCTTCCTAAAGTCTTCGAAAAATAATTCGTAAAAAGGGCTCAGAAGATCTCCATCCAGGGATCAATAAAGAGTGTGATGTTCAAACTATATGGACGATATTAAATCTGTCCATTTGATCTTCGAAACTACCCCTGCCAAGTTCACGGCTTGTCAACTCAAGAGAGCAAGATACCATTTTCTTTTTCTCAGGATATGTCTTCCTCAGACGCACTTCGTAAGTCTTGCTTCCATGGCCCTTGATCAAATACTCACCATCACAGAGCCCCCTATCGCTCCCGCCGAGCGAAACATTGTGAAATCCTACGGCGGCTGGATCATGTTTCTGGCCAGCTTTGGGCTGAAACCATGAAACGCGGAAGATGCCGAGGAAGCAAGAGTATTCTCAGAGCATTCCTTCACGATGAGCCGGAATGAGAGCATGAGAGACGCCTGGAAATGGGAGCTCTGCAGCTAGCGTGGTTTAAATGATCGCCCTGTTTACGCGATGATTAGTTGTTCCGACGAGTTCAGCCAGCAGAGATTTGAGTGAATAATTCCCAGACGTATCCACTCTGTTCATCGCCGCGTCTGCTTTGCCACACTCCCCTTAACCCAGGAGTTTCTTTGTTGGCATCCCCGCTCTCCTGCTTCACAATGGGGTTGTATCCTCGAAGCTACATCCAATCTTGGAATGCTTTGTGGCCCAGGCTTGGCGGGTGCCACTCTTGGCGCATCGCACGATCGGTAGGAAATGTATGTTGTCGATAGTGCATCGCGGAGATCTCTAGTGCAATAGCCGGGCCACTATTGATGCCATGGAGCAAAAAGCTGCGTCGGAAGATCTTTCCCGGTGGTACATGATCCCTGCAGAACCCAAAATGAGAGTCCTATATTCCTACATGTACCTAGAATGACAAGGGTATTCCATCCCAAGGCAACACAAAGCGGAATCCGTCAACGTCCGATGTTGTTGGATAACCGCGTATCCGATTGGACCAAGAGGAACAATCCAGACTCGGCAATAAATCACATGAGGTTAGCTCGCTGATCACCAAATATTGAATCCACTATAAAAGATACCTGCCCAAGTACCCATGGGGCCCACGAGACTTCATGCAATGCAAACAGCAAGTGATCCGAGGTTGGTGAGAACGGGGAGAAGGGGACCGGGGAGGTATTGTCCGAACGTTGCGAAACTCCCTCGGGTCATGATCGTCTGTCTTTGTTTCACCTGTCGAAAGAGCGAGAAATGTGGAGACGCCCACGTCAAGGGGACGGGAGAAACCCAATTGTCCCAAAGCCCTGAATGGTGAACACGGCGACAGTGGTCGCCGTCCCGTCGAGTCGGACCCACAGCATTTTCAGCTGTATGCTATGGATCCGACTCGAGGGGACGGCTATAGTTATCCAGGTACCTCGGGTCAATAGTGTTCACCCAACTTTTATACCAAGATACCAAGAAAAGCTTAGGTTCCTGGGCATGACTTAAACCCACGAACTGGTTCCCGAGTTACGAACGGGGTACAGCAAATATACGGGTGGCGTTAGGACTTGCAAAGTGGGGGTTTCAGCCGGGTAGAACGCTGGGAGTCTCCCCGTCGGTTGGGTGTCGCAAAGAAGTAATCGATCGACGGCGTGGAGCCTTGCGGTGACGGATGGAATTTGGAAAGGGGGTTAAACGGCGGCCGATCCCTCGTCTCATCCTCCGGTTAGGTTGGGTCTTGGACCGAGTCGGTGGGGAAAAGCCAATGTGTTAGCTATAATCCTGCGCGTTTACTTGATGGCGAAGAGAAACGGAAAATGGACACGATCAGTTATTGCGATCTGCGCCCGAAGTGAATGTTCTAGTTCTTTTGAAGCAAAACCCGCCTTTCTATATGGGAAGTTCTTTATACTTGCTACTTGACACTCCTGTATATTGTATGCTGTATATGGGTTTATTTGGCGACGTTGTCGATACCGGGTGTGGCACAAGACTGTTATGGAAGAAGAGATCTTCGGCAGCTTGCTTGCAAAGCACCCGAGGGAAACTATCCTCGGAATTCTTCACTGGTGAACGCATGGGCCTCGTACATATGTCTATGGGTCCACAGTCCCCTGTCTCATGAACGGGTAAGAGTGGATCCTCGTGCTTGCACCAATTTGACAGCATTCAAAACCATGGTTACCCCGACGGTGACAGAGCCCAGAGGGCAGTTTCTCCAGCTCTATTATGTCCCAGTGAATACCACATCAGTTCCTCCGCAGACGGTCGATAGTGCCAGACCACTGGAATTATGGCTTCACAAAAAGACCTTTCGCCCGAGTATCTGGCAGCAGATATTGGCGATCGATTGACTGGTGTTGCAGGTGCAATGCTGCCCATTGTACTGCTGTTTCTCGGTTTACGTTTCTACTCGCGCCATCTCACTCGAGCGCCATGGGGTCTTGATGACGCATTGGCAATCATATCCGGCCTGATATCAGTTGGGCTATCAGCCCTCGCCATCTGTCAGTTACGCTTCGAACTGCAATTGTGAATGAACCATTCGACTGACCGAATTTGTGTTTCATTAGGTTTTGTGAGATACGGCGGCGTCGGTCATCACCTCGATGCACTCAAAAAAGAAGAGCCCCAATTGGTACCGCAATACTTCAAATACCTGCTGGTGGTGTCGACCTACTACTACAGCACGGTAGCAATCCCCAAACTGGCCGTTCTGGCCCTCTACGGCCGCCTTTGGACGGTGAATCCATACCGTACCATTATCCTAATCCTGGCGGCCATTATCATTCTCACCGCGGTGGTATCCGGCATCATGTGCTTGAATATGTGCCAGCCATTTGAGTTCAACTGGGACCAGAGCATCCCCGGCGGCCACTGCCTCGACAAGCAAGCATTTTTCACATGGGCGTCACTACCCAATATCCTCACCGATCTGGTGATGCTCGTACTGCCGGTTCCGGTGGTGTGGAACCTGAACACCTCGATGAAGGTCAAGTTGGGTTTGATCTTTACATTTGCGACTGGCATCTTGTGAGTGACCCCTTGCTCAGGTCCCTGCAAAGAAGAAACCGTTATCTAATACATTTTCTATCAACTAGGGGCCTAGTCACATCGATCATGCGCTTCGTGATCTTCACCCGCGGCAACGCCGTCACCGACGGGTCGTGGTCGTCCACCGACCTCATGAGCTGGAGCGTTGCAGAGCCAGACATTTACCTGATCAGCGCATGTTTGCCGACCTTGCGCCCACTACTGAACCGAATCTTTGGTCGGGACGGGTCCACCAACCAGTCCTCGCGATACGCCAACGGGTACGGGGGTGGAGCTGGGTCAGCGGTGAATTCGAAGCCGACAGCGGTCACCATGGACTCGACATTGTATGGCGACGAGGTGCAGCTAGTATCTATCGTTGGCAAGCAGGGGAGCGAGAGCCGGGACGGACCGATGGAACGAGATCATATTTATGTACAGCGAGAGGTCAATGTCAAGGTCAGCAACGATGGGTAGAAACAAAGGTATATAATGAAGGGAATAATAAAAAAAAGCCATATGGGGTAACTTCCTTCTGATCACTTCCTTTCTCGTTCTAAATTTCAATCGATCCAAACGTCTAAGCAACGGCAAGGCACGAGTCAGGCTGTATGGGGCTTGTTCATGTTGGCGACTCATGGACTTCGCCCAGTGACAGAATAGTGTTGACAAATATGACAAGTAGAGGATCACGTTCACGATTTGAAGATTGACTCTATGATCCAAGCCTTTCTTCAAATAAGTACCTCTACACCTAGGGTTATCTGCAAAATCTGGATGACCCACCGGCGTCAGAAGTATAAATCCTGGACACATTTCTATTTCGCAAATGAATAGACGCGAGTAGACACTCTTCTCAAATAATATATTCCCAATGGAGCCCGCAATCCAGTCCTCCGCCTACTCACCTCAAGTGAGGCCTCAGTATTTTAGATAATTAACACTTGCCAACATCGCCCGCCTCCCCACAGGCACAGAATATTACGTTGATGTTTCCTTCGGCGGCGACGGTCCAACAAGTCCACTTCCACTCATATCTGGCCCTGCAACACAAAATCTCGGCGTACAGGAAGTCCGCCTGATTCATTATGTGATGCGGAAACAGTCAAGACCCGAGCAGAAGGTGTGGATCTACCAGTACCGCAATGGCGCGGAAAAGCCGTGGAATTCTTTCTATAGTTTTGCGGAGCTGGAATTTTTCCAGGAGGATTTCGAGGTCATGAATCGGGTGAGGAGTTGGGATGCCCGGCATAAGAATGATGTCTGGGTGGTGAAGTTCCTGCGCAATGGAGAAACGAATGGTCTTCCTTTGACGGATGCGGAGATGAAAGCTCTCACGGAAACACAAACACGGACTGATGGCGTGTGTGTGGTTGGGAAGATTATGTTGGTGAATAACGTGGTCAAGTTGAACATGAGTGGGCGCACTCGCATGATTGACGCATTTGAGACAGAGGAGAGGAGGATGGAAGCACTGAGACGGTGGTTTTCTATTGTGCTGTGAGATGGGTATGAAAGTAACTAGAAAAGAGATATATTCTAGATTGAATTATTTTTCATTTTTTATTTTTCATGAGGAGTTGGATGCATATCAGAGTGATATCAACTCTTGAGGGAAACACTGGACGACTCTGGCACAGACTGTGTCTGGGGTCCTGTGTTCAAAGCCACCTCCACATCCGACAAGTTCCACTGCATCCCAATGTATGAATCGCTGATGACTCTGACGTTGACCTGGGCGGTGCCACCCGTCGTGGCGGAGGGCAACTGCGAGAGCACAGATTCGGGGAATTTGACCGACGAGCGCACAGTGAGCGAACCACCCCCGTTCCTGTTTTGTTGATGAGCAGATCCACTTTGGCTGGAGCCAGCAATGGAATTGCCTTTGTTGTTGCCACGTTGCTTGGACATCGGAGGCCAGGACACCCGCTTTAATCCGAGTAGCTCGCCGTCTGTCCCATCCGGCAGCGCACTGCTTACAATTAGGAAGAAGCCTTCTGTCTGCGGCTTGGGGAACCGAGGAGCATAGATTCGGTAATCGGGGTTGGTGGCAGGGTTTCGCCGAGAGAGGGATACCATCATGCCCTTGGCCGAAGCATTTGCCACGGCGATAGTGAGATGAGGCAACTGTGAGGTAGCTCGAGTAAACTGAGGGGGCAGATGAAGCTTCTTGACAAAATCTGAGATCGACGCGGCGGGCTGCGACGAAAGCGCAACAAGGGAGCCCGGCAGAGCATGTTGGGGGTTTTCGACTTGGACACCTGGGAGAATAGATAGGGGGTGATCTTCAGGCCATCGGGCTGACTTAATGCACTGGAGCAAAGTCATCAGCATCTGGCACGCGGGCAGATACCCCAGCTCGGCCATGAGATCGATCGAAGCCTGGATAATACGGATGCCCTGGTCCAACACGGACGTCTGGTCACCAACGTAATCCGAAATGGGTAGATCTATCCGTGACATGTACGCCTGAAGCAACAAAAACGCCTTGACATGTGGGTCCCACATGGGCACATCGCCCATTGACTCGATGGAAAGGGGCAAATTCTGCGCGAGCTCGGCATTGATCAGATCCTCATTGTGCCGGACGGGCAGCTCATCGAATTCAGTTGCAGAGCACATCCAGCTTAGAACATCCTGGAAAGTAGGATCGCGCTTGGCGTGAGACATGAGGTAACGAATCGTCTTGTGCGACAGGTAGTAGTAACTCATGATTTTGCCGTAAGGTGTGGAGTCGACATTTCCAGTGGCAGAGTCCACCAGAACGCAAGAAGACTCTGCGAGATCATCGAGAGATTTGTCTACCAGCTCAATCATAAAGTCTTGAGCAACAGACTGCGCGGCCATTGTGTTCTGCTCCTCTGCAGATATCTCGAGTCCATAGTATGACGGATTCTTGTGAAGCCGACGGAAGAAAAATGTCCACGTCAAGTAGTCCAGCGCATCTTGCTTGGTAGAGATGGTCCCAGCAGAGACTTCGGCGCCCAGATGGTTATCAAGAACCTTGTGCAATGTCGATTCAACTGGGAAGCCAGTGTGAAGGAAGTGCTTGTAGAACGCCTTTTTCGCGTCTTGGGTGAAGATTCGAGCAATACCGGAATTGTCGAATTGAGGACGTCCGGCACGACCAAGCATCTGCAGAACATCCGTCAAGTCCATGTCTCGATAGCCCTCGATCTTGGCGTCGAAGAACTGCGTTCCTTTAACCACCACCAGATGGGCGGGCAAGTTCACACCCCAAGCGAGTGTGCTGGTGGCCACCAAGATCTGGATCTTGTTGTTTGCAAAGAGCTCTTCCGCTAGTTGCCGGTCTGACTCGACCAGCCCAGCATGATGCAAGCCTATCCCAAAGCTCAAGGCTTCCCTCAAGGCATCGTCTTTGACTCGAGCGAGGTTGAGATCCAAGTCGTCTTCTGACATCCGGACAAAACGACGTGGGTTATCTTCCATGCCACAGTAATTGATCAAGTCCTTGGCGGTCAAGCGGGTCTGCCTCCGGGAAGCGACGAAGACAATCACTGGCTTTTCGGGTGAATGATTCTTGATCACAAGGAAAGTTGGTCGATTCATAGACTGCATCAATGGGCAGAAACCACGCTGTTCAGGGAACCCATCGATGAAAATTTCCAGAGGGACGGGTCGGACAGAATGTCGGAAGTTAAACAGGCCTTCTTTGACCCCGAGCCAATTCGCAAGATCAGTGGCGTTGGCACAGGCGGTGGACATGCCCATCAGGCGAACAGATCCCTTGGACTGAGAAGCGATATAGTTCATACGAGACACAATGATTTCCAGAATTGGTCCACGGTCCCCGCCGAGCAAATGAATCTCGTCAATAATGACCAAACTAACTTTTCGCACGTAGTCTCGGGTTTGCCAACTACGAGAGATACCGTCCCATTTCTCGGGCGTCGTGATGATGATATCGGCGTGGCGGATCGTGCGGGTGTCAGGGGTGTTATCACCAGTAAGTTCGACCAACTTCAAACCCATGGGACCCGTCAGGCGCTTTCGCCAGTCTTGCACCCGCTCACGAACAAGAGCCTTCATGGGCGCAATATAGACGACCTTTGAACCGGGCTTCTCGCGGAATGCCCACCACATGGCGAGCTCAGCCGCCACGGTTTTTCCACTGCCGGTCGGGGATCCAAGAAGAACATTAGCTGGCGTGTGGTACAGAAGGTGGAAGATCTGCGTTTGCATCGGGTTGAAGAACTGAAAGCGCTGTCCGTAGAGCTCTTCGAGAGCTGGGTTCTTAAGGGCGTCTACTGGAAGCGGCTGCAGATTGAGAAGATCGGTGTAAACACTTTCTGTGTCAGGACGAATCAAGTGCTGAAATGAAATTGGGCTGACAGTCTCTGCGCCGAGCCAGCGATCAGATATCAACCGAACATAGATCTGACTAGGCAGCGGGTCGGAAAGAGGGATGGTAAAGTTGAGCTCGTGGTCGTCGTAGAGCTTCTTCCGACCGAGAATGAAATACTCGTGATGGTAAATCTCAGAAGTTTCTGAATTCTCGACCCAGACCCAGAATGATTCGGACCCTCCGTGGTGCCGATCATTCCAACTGAACTCAGGGTAGATGGGGAGGCGAATGCGAAGGACATCCCGATTCAGCGGGGCTATTTCAGCCTCTACACTGAGAGTGGGAAAGTTATCTAAGAGCTTTGAAAGCGTCTTGCCCATCCGATGATTGTGGACAAGTTGGCCAATTTCGGTTGGTTCCATCTCTCGCATTGACTCAATGGAGGAAGAAGGAAGCCTTTCATCTAGGTTCCTAAGAACTGGCTGCGGCAGATCAAACTGATGGAAAGGATGGTCAAAAGGCCACATTTGCTTCTCAATGGATTTGCACAGCGACAAAAGCACTTGGCATTGGTAGCCCCATCGTCGATTCAATGCAATCATGAAGATGGCGCGGCAAATACGGGCCGCATTCTGTGCAACATATCCCATGTCCGAGACCAAAGCGAAGTCTTCGAGCTTTGCACGAGAGATGTAGGATTGAAGCAAGATATTCGTTTTGGCATGCGGCGAGTCATTGCCCCCTTCCACCTCAGTCTGTGCAACTTCGTCTCGCAGTCGCTGCAACTCCTTTGATTCATTATCGCGGGATTGAATATTGTCAAATTCGCCGCTCATGCTGATCATCTTGAGAACATCCGCTTCGCTTGCTTGGGGACGCATCATCTCATTGAAGATCTCGATGCTAGGCTGGAGAACATAATATTGGCTGGCAATCCGACCGACATCTTTGGCCCTGAGATCTTCGGTTTTCTCATTGAAAATGATCATCTGGCTCTTTTGGAGGACTCGAGCCGCTTGGATGATCAGTTGTCGACGCCTCTGGACAAGCATTGGGTCGTCCCGTAGCTCGGCAAATTCAATCCCATAATTGCGAGGTTCTCGTTTCATCCGCACAAAAAGGTAGGAGTACCCGAGCCACTGCACTGCTTCGGGGACAGACGTGACGGTGCCAAGCGAGATCTCGGCATTCAAGTTGTCCACGAGCCGACCAGAGAATCGAGACTCAATTGGCTGCTGCGCAGTCACGGCAGACAAATAATGATGCAGCTTGTCGTGGGTAGTGCAAATGAAACCAATACCAGTATCCTGGAATTGGGGACGACCCGCACGGCCGAAAATCTGCATCACATCGAGAATACTCAGGTCAATGAATTTACCTTCCTGCGGATTATACAGCTGGGTGCCTTTGATGATAACTGCAGCGGCGGGCAGATTGACACCCCACGCAAGGGTAGCAGTACAGCACAGGACCTTGATCAAGCCCTCGGAGAACATCCGCTCCGTGAGATTGCGGTCACTGCGACTCATCCCAGCATGATGTGTCCCAAACCCACTGGCAAACAGGTCTCGGAGCTCGCGTGCGCGAGCATGTTTCATATCGCGGAGGGCGGAGGAATAGTTCTCATGATCATGGCAGCTAAACAAGTCCTCACATCCATCTTCGGCTGCCATCTGCCGCAACATTCGAGCGGTCATAACCGTATCCTTGCGTGAATGAACAAAGACCATAATCTGGTGGTCCTGTTCAAGCATTTCGCGAACTTTTTCAAATGCAACAGCATCGAGGTTTTCGCGAGACTGTTTGGATCCAGGCTTTCCTTTTACGCCAAGGAAATGCTGCTCCAGGGGGACTGGTCTGAACGAGGAGTCGAAGAAAAACAACCCAGCCATTTTGTTCACTTTTAAGAAGTCGGCGACGTCGACGTAGTTGGGCAAAGTGGCCGACAGGCCGACAATACGAATCAAAGACTGTGTGCTTTCGACCTGGCGCTGTGTACGGGCAACCAAGGACTCAATCACTGCACCCCGTTCATCGTGTAGCATGTGCACTTCATCAATGATTAGCAGCCGAACCTTTTGGACTAGCTCCGTGTCTCCGGTGCTTTTCCGGGTCACCACGTCCCATTTCTCAGGGGTAGTGACAATGATTTGAGTGTCGACAATCTCGCGCTTGGTCAACTGCATATCGCCAGTGAGCTCGCGAACTTGAATCCCTAGCCAGGCCAAGCGTTTGCCGAGCTTTTCGGTAACTTCGGCGGCCAAAGCCTTCATTGGGGCCACATAAACAATCTTGAAATCTTCGACTTGAACAGCAAACTCGGTCGCATCTGGCTCTTCCAGAGGATTGGGCACCGTGTTCTTCCCGACAGCATTCAAAACTGTAAGCATGGCTGCATCAGTCTTACCCGCGCCGGTGGGAGCACAAATGAGCATGTTCTCATTGGTTTTGTAGGCAACATCATAGAGCAAGCTTTGCATCCGATTCAAGGTTTTGTAACCTTTGAATGTGCCTCGGCAAAGACCATCCAAGCGGGCGATCTCGACCAGCTTCTGGTCCTTTGCCAACGTCCCGACCTTCGACGCGGGAATCTCAAATTCTGTATACTTGGGTTCTTCGACCTGTTTACTACCAAGCGGCAGTCCGTACTTCTTACCCCCGGCAGCCAGGAGGTTCCGTGAGTCGTGCATCTTGAAGACATGGGGATAAACTGGCTCTGATCTCGTCTGTGCCGCCATCAAAGGCGCAGTCTTGTGTTCGTAATCGTGCTGTCGCAACGCCAGCTCTCTCTCTGCACGAGTTTGAAGCATGCCTCCCATGAGCCCATCTGTCTGCGGCCCGCCCCGCGTTGGTTTATCCGACAAAATCTCTGCCCGGTGAGCGATCAACTCAATGACGAGATCTAAATCGTCAAATCCAACGATTTCAGCCAGGGACATCTGTAGCTCGTCGTCTTGGATATCGGTGGCTAAAGCGGCAATGATTTGCTGGGCCAGTTCACCTGCGTCCATGCTCGAATTGCGAACTGCCAGGTCCATACATTTGTCTTGCAGCCATGATCGGCCATAGAGGGATGCCTGTGGGAGGGGAACCCCATTCAACTCGTCCAAATCATCAGACGTTTCATCATCCGAACTAATAACATCCCATACATCATCAACCGTTCCTGGGGAAGAATAGTCATCGTCGAGGTCCAGGTCGATATCGCTCCCGTAGCTAATTGACTCATGGGGCTCTTTGGGGAGCTTCAAATCAGCAATGGCCTGGCGCATGACGGCTAGTTGCGACAACCATTGCGACTCCGTGGCCGCGATATTCTCCATGGCGAGAAACCCTCCTGCGTGGTGCCAGTGATATGATGCTGATGAGCAAAAAGAAGAGGGGAGTTGGCCCAATACAGGCATAGGGCACTTTAGCAGGGCTCCCCGCGGCGGTCGGCTGAGTGAGGCGGTGTGTTAGTTCTGCCTTAGGTGCACGTGCGGAGGGTCCATCCGTGGACGGGTGCCATCATTGCTATCGTCAGGAGACGATCTCAGACTTGCTGCTCCGACCGCTTTGCCACAGGTGTTGGGCAGGTGACATTTCTGAGGAATCATCACTTCTTTTCGTCGACAAGCTAGAGGACTTCCACTCCATACCCCCGATATCCTAGATCGTCTTCAGGTCATCGGTCACCGCTATCTTTGTCTCTGTGTGAACAGCTTATTTGATCCGCCACCATGAAGATTTTCTATATGGGCGTACGTTCCATGCGTCACCCGTGGGCTGCCGATAGGGCCCTCGATTTGAAACTAACGTCGGACTTCTTTTTAGGTTCTTCGGAACGACACTGAACCCGCCCTTCAGCTATGCGGGGAGAAGGAGCTCAGCAGGTACGTGTAAACGGAGTGGCTCAACCAGTCCCACCACTTGGCTCAGATGCTGATATCGTATAGCTTTTCGCGCTTCACTCGTCAAAAGTATGTCAAATACCTTTCCCAACCGGAGGGCCGAATGATGTTAACCGCGCTGGGGTATTAGTTACGAGGAGTTCCTGATGCTGTTTTGCCGCACGGTTGCGGAACGTACGAAGCCCGGACAACGACAGGATATTGAGGAGAAGGCCTACACATTCCACGCCTACGCCCGGACAGAGGGTGTTGCCGGTGTCATCGTGACGGACGGTGACTACCCCGCGCTGGTGGCCCACCAACTCCTTTCCAAGATTGTCGACGAGTTTCTTGCCAAGCATCCACGCACCTCTTTTTCTGATCCGGCCCTACGCGAGAACGCGTGCCCCCTGCCCCAGCTCAAAGACTACATCACCAAATACCAGGACCCCAGTCAGGCGGACAGCATCATGAAGATCCAACAGGAGCTCGACGAGACCAAGATTGTCCTGCACAAGACGGTATGTCATATATTTAGACTTGATGGTACCAGTCCATGCATTCTGGTTCCCCCACTGGTCTTCTTGGCTGGGCAGCCGAGCTCTTTGGTGAACCCGATTTTTGACATGTGACTAACGTTATGCAGATCGAGAGTGTACTGGAACGTGGCGAGAAGATTGATTCACTGGTTCAAAAAAGTGATGGACTGTCGGCGCAGAGTAAGATGTTCTATACCCAGGTAAGGCAACCCAGAAATTACTACTTTGGGGCAATGTGCTAAAATTGCCCCATTCAGGCCAAGAAGCAAAACTCTTGCTGCGTTGTGATGTAGGCTGCGATTTACCGGACTGTAACTCGATTGTGACTATTTTATGTTGGAATTGCCTTACTCATGTAATCGACCTCGAACTATGGATGCATGATATTCTTATCCTAGTTTTCTTGAACTCCTTGTTGGCCATCCTTTCTGCACCAATGTCTCTCGTTCGTTGGATGTACTGTGACTTCTATTCTTTTGCCGTTTCTCATGACTAGAGAATGTCTCTTCAATTGCTGCCAGCCTTTAGGCAGTGGATTTCAATCCTATCCATCAGTAGATATTCAATATATAGTACTGCGGGATAGGACCGGCCATTGCCTGGGTTATTTTGGAGTGAAGATGTCTCGAATTTAATCAATCTAATAACCTATTGCGTGTACTCGGGCAGGTCAAAAGTAATAAGGTAGGATCTGTCTTCTTGAACAAGCGAACAACTCATTGTCGAACAATTTCAAGGACCGACGATCATCCATCCACTCGCTCGACTCGGTAGAGCCGACCACTGTGTAAATCAGACTCCCATCTATCACTGCCAACCCCACTGTACACAAACACACGCTCACTAGGATCATACTTCCGTTTGATATCCAACAGCTCGTCATATTTCTGACCGTAGAAATCATGTTTCCACGTAGAGCTAAAGCAATTCGCGGAATTCATGTAGGCAACACCCTTAGGAACCCATTCTCCAAACAGGCTCCTTGGCTGTGTCAAACCACTCTATTGCCCCTGCTAACGCCTGGCTCGGGTCTTCAGTTGGACTGATAGAGGCGCCCCATGCCATTACCAGGGCATAAGCTGACCGCCCGGCTGGATGAACGCTGCCACGCCGTTTCTCGGGGACTTTGGCCGGGCCAGGTCCAGCCTCCCCGCGAAAATCCTTGAGAGGAATTTCGGCTTGGCGAATGTCCAAAAGTCATAGGAGGATGGCGGTATGATAGTGATATTCATGTTTCCTCCTTGAGGCCCTGATATGGGTTACCAGCTTGTTCAGGGTGTGGTTCATGCGTTCGGTCGTCGAATTCACGCTCTCCCGGGTCATTACCACCGCAGGGCCGGGAACAGTTCTTTTCAAGCCAGGAACATATTTGACAGCGATCTTCCCAGTTACCGAGTCCATAGTACCGGTAAGACGGGTTCCGTTGCTCGTGATGATGGTGGCTTGGTAGACTTGATCCGAACTGAGGCCGTGATGGTTAGATAGAAGCCCGTGGCCACCGTTCTACAGTTAACCATCTAGTCCCATTGTGATGTCCTCGCTTCCAACGACGGTTCTGTTGTTAGACTTGGAATTGCTCATGCGGACTGTATTCAAAACTTGAGAGGAGATCGGGGTGGAAAGATGTTCAGGGCGAATTGTAAACATACTCCGTCGATACCTCGACTTCTCTTTCGTCTGTCATAACCATCCAAGATTAGATTTGATGGTATTTACCCCGGTAGGCTAGTCAACATTTTACAATTTTGGAATATGCACTTCAGACCTTGATCTTCGATGTCGAATTGCATGACCGGATCCGTTGATTCCCTACCCAGCTATATTATAATTTGCCTCGCCCTTATAATTAGCTTAAAATGCATAGATAGCCTTTATCCTTTATCAGGCAACAGAAATAAAGTCTATTTCAACATAAAGGATTCGACGGATTCAACCTTTCTTTACTGCCACCTAATTACGCAACTGATACTACATCTCACCCTCATACCTTCTTTCCCATGAGATTTACGGCGACACATCACATTGCGTGGCCTCTCTCCGCCGTGCGCCCATTCAAAAATGAATTAATCCAAGAGAGAGAAAAAAGAGCCGAGAACTGGACAGGAGCCGGATGAAGTGAGATGCGTGAATCGTGAATCCGAATCACTTCATTTCCTGCAACTGCTATTGATCTAGTTTCTATTCTTGTGGTCTGGCTTTCAGGGACAAGTAGTTACTTTGCAGACCGCTATTCTCTTGGCTCATATACCACAGGGCTGCCAAGGCCGGGCGCCCAATGCCGAGCCATAGAGACCAATTATCGCTACCCTAAGGCGTGCAATTCTTGTTCGGGGTTTTCCTAAGACACGAACTGTGGGCCTTATTTCCTGGACATCGGAGGCCACGTTAGGTGTCTAACTTCTTTCGACCCTAGAATTCGTTTCCCAGCAACCTCAATGTTACCAAACACTAATAGCTATTCATAGCTCCGATCTTACGTCTCGGCTTCCGGCGTCCAGCACAGCAGCTGAGTCTTACTAGGTATAAAAAGGGTCAAAGACCCCTCCGATGCATTATCCAGAATCATCAACAGATCCATTATCATTCCAACAAAATGAAGACTGCCGCAATCACCACTTTCATTCTGGCAACCACCGGCACCACCCTCGCCGCTCCGAGCATGGAGAAGCGCGCCTTGCAGCCATTCCGAATCTCTACTCTCAGAGCCGCTCTTTACAACAAGGAGCACCCGGAGAGAACTCGCATTATCTTCGGTCTGAGTGACCCCAATCACAAATTTGGTACTACTTGCACGGCGGATTGGTATGTTCACATTCTCCATCTAATCCCCACCAGGCTCTAGAGAGCCCCTTAGCAGGGTATGAACATACTAACGATTAAACAGGACCTCCGGAATGGGAGGAGATAACAAGTTCAACTGCTCGAGCACGGACTACCGCTTCAGTTTCCCGAACGGAATCAACGATATCCAGAAGTTTGACTTGAGTGTCGCTCATGTCGATGGAATTGAATCTTCGGCCGGGAAGACCTCTGTTCATGGTGATTCTTGGAAGTGCAAGACTGTTTCGATCCCGGAGAACGATCCTGCAGAGAAGTGTGAGTGGGATGGTACTCTTGAAGTTAAGGTCACACTGTCGACTTGAATGACGTTCTATCTCGTCAAACAAATAGGGGTGGGGGAAGGTAAAGAATGAGAATAGGGGAGGCAAAGGTGTAGTTTGTTGGGTTTGATTGTGTATTCCGGGTAGACATCCCTTACATACTGAGAATATATCGGCCAATACTTTCCTTATATAATCTTCGTATATTCTTGAGCTCTAGAATGTTTCGTTCTAAGCAGTGCGCGATTTTACGCCCAAAAGCAGACCAGCAATAGGGTGATAAACGTGAAGGAATCTTCACTAAAAGGTCTCTGTAACAACCTCTCGATGGCGAATCGATCGCTTGCCTAGTTCTTACTGATACACTAAGCAGGTGCAGTAACTGGAGCATAAACAGTTCAGATGCCCGATTCATACTCTACTTCCGGAGGTAGGTTTCATCAAATAAGTCGAAAGGTTAACATTCACTATTGATTTCATAGAGAAGTAAAGATCAAAGCTATACAGGATCTGAGGAATACGGCGAGGGGCTGCAGTAAATGAATTTATCCAGTATTGATATGGACACCATATTCCATCGATTCTGTAAACAAATTCTCAAACAAAATGGCACAATTAACCCTTAAACAATGTAAAACGAATGAATACATTCTCATTTTTTTCCCAAGCTATTAGTCACAATCTATCTCATGAAGTGAGACTGCGCTTTCTTTTTTCAAAATTCCACTAATTATTGGATTATTCAATGGGTGGTTTAAGATAGCTCCCCTCGAGAGAAGGCCGGCATTTCAGGATGTTAGACCAATCTCAGGACAATATTGATGTAGCAAAAGTCCTGCAAGGCCTTCTAGAATAGACGAGACGGTAGATCAACATAAGCGGCAAGTCGATTGATGACATCGCCTGGCCTCATATTCCAGCTGGCTCGGAGCATATGCTAGATGGCATTGTTCACCTGTAAAGCAAGAAAAGTTGAGACTACGAGCAATCCGCATTTGCGAGCCATGCATTATGCAGTGAGAAGCTACCGCGATGACCTTTACCTTTATATCAACAGTCGAGCCCCCAAAAAAGGTAAACTAAGGGAGGATTTGAGTAGGCCAATATTCCAAGACTAAATTTGACCAAATAATTTCATATATATTGAACAAATGTCTTGCAATGGTAGAATAGAACTAATTGACTGTTTAGGATCCGTCGTCATAAATATATAAGGCCTTGCATACATTGATTGTAGAGGCTCAGTGGCCTATGACGTACAAGAGTGCTTGGTGGTTCACGGATCAGGAAGATATTGTGGTTTAGGCTATCTATGCCACTACCAGGTTACTATGACAGGGTAATAGAGAATTCTCGAAGAAGATTCTACAATTGCCAGTGTGATTCATATTTGAGATCCTACTTTTAATGTTAATTTTTGGTTGGTTTAGATAAAAAGTGGCCCCGAGTCTTTCGTGATGTTTTGGTGATATTCTTTTATCCAACTTTTCCTTCCAAGCTCTGGAGAAACGACATAGGGGCCGCGCAATATGTGGCCGTAGATCTTCTGTATTGCATACTTCGACGTGAGGCTATTCCGGGCATCAAGCAATAGCCTATCGATAGGCTATTGATGGGCTGTCCGGACCTACTCCCAAGCCTGACGACACGATGTTAGCACTCGATCAACAACATTTCGACATGGTCATTTAGCCTATCCTGATGCCAACCCAATGGTCTGGTCCTTCTGTGACCCTTCTGTATTGCGGACAATAATTGTTCCACAAGCAGCCCCGACGTTGCATCGAGGTATAAATATGCCCACCTTGGAACACACAACAGACTAAAGAACCATCTTGCTATTATCCCGGATCTTCAACATTACAATTCCAAAGACATTGGACTTTCCATCTCCTCGAGCCCCAAAATGGAAGAACCAACCTACGACCCGAGGTAAGCATCGACCATCAGCAAAAGCCCCACTACTCCAAACATGCTTACGCCCACAAAAAGCCGACCGATGCCATCCATCGACATCGTCTACCAATACCGACTCGTCAACTGCCCCGGAAAAAGCATTGTCGGTCTGCGCATCGAATTCCCGCCCAATGGCTCGACGCCACCACACCGACACGGCGGCGCCTCGGTCTCCGCGTACGTCATCGGCGGCTCCGTGTTGAATAAGATGAACAATGATCCGATGAAGGTGATCAAGCCAGGTGGGACTTGGTACGAGGCGCCCGGGTGCCATCATCGCATCAGTGACAATGCGAGCGAGACTGCCCCGGCGACTCTGATGGCCAACATGGTTTTGGACACGGATGTCTTGGAGCGGGATGGAATGGCTGCGCTCATTCAGATCGATGAGGAGTATAGGAAATAAAGGGATAGACTTGTTTGAGACTGGGGTGTATAGAGCTGAGAAGGGTGTGAATATAGGATATTGTTTTGGGTCATCTTATTTCTCTTGGCTTATTTCCCTATGTCATAAAACCAACTGGGGCGTCTCTTCGGGGATGCCCGGAACATGAGTATCTGACAACTCATTAGCCTCAACCACCCACATCCCTCTTTGGCAGCTGTTGAAAGATGGACGAAAAGTGGTGATATATTGCCTTGCTCTCAGCTCTGCTATCCTGCTTTATGGTTACGACCTGGTCATTGTGGGAACAGATACACCGTGGAGATCCATCGACCTTTATCATCGCTGAACTATAGTCCTATCGAAGCGGTATCACGCTGTTCGCCTCGTGCATCCTCGGAGGGCTTGAGCAGCAGCAACATCGCAGATCGCCAGCTGCATACGGCAAAATGTCTGTCGGATATCGACCACCTGGACCAGTTGTTGACCCTGCCGACGAATATTCAGGCTTATTCACCATTTATCATCTTAATGATTACGAATGTCACCATCGCTCATCTCTCGGCATGTCGATTTGTGTACGGGGGCGAGAAGGTTGCCACTAGCCGCGAGAAGATCCGTCTGACTATGGGCACTTTGAAACGTCTCAGCGAGTACTGCGTTCTGGGGAACGGGCCTATCGCGAGATCGGTATTATCGCCTGGGAGATACTTTGCCTCGTCAATGAAAATCCTCCAGCCGGTGTAGCGATGCACGTCTCGGGCAGAACACTCGCCCTTGGAACTACCATTTTTGGAACCACTCCCCGATGGAAACACTGACTTTTGCTCGTTTTGGTCGGAAGGGGCATTTTCCACAAATTCATCACTCGATTTAACTTGGGTGTTGGTCATGGTAAAAGCAGTGTCGAAGGTAGAAACACAGAATCGAGTCAATAGCACAGAACCATCCGGAGGTCGTCCTTTTATGCACAGATAACAACCATGAGGGAGGAAATCCGAGGCATCTTGGTTAAGTACGTGTGTACTCCGCCGACAACCATGTTGCATTAAAGTCAACACAAAAGTATCTCCGAATCGAGTGTCGCCCCAGGGCACTGTAAGCAGCAGGGACTTTTGATAATCCTGCTAATCAACAGGAAAATAATGGCTCACCCCGCACAAATGCCAAGTGATCGCCTGCTGTAGCTGGGTTCATGACTAGGTGTAACCAAAAGGCTAATAATAAGCATACTATATTTATGCAGCTATGATGATTTTAAAAAAAGAGGTTCCTTGTAAATAGATACCTACAAGGTGAAGGCTGCAGATCTAGTTAAAGTGTAGACATCTTGCCATAGGCAATGAGAGGACAGTCAAATAATGATGACGAGGGTGTATTATTCTTGGCTTACGGGAGAATTATGCACACTTATGTGCAGTTTGGGGCACGTCTTTTACGCGAGTCATTGACTGTAGATCCTTAGGTCCAAACTGAGTTGAGGCAAGTCAGAGCAAACATATTTGCAAAAGAATAAGGATAGCTGTGAAAATACATTTTATGTTTTTAATGAGAACATTCATATAGTCTACTGTATAGTGGTGTCCTTTTTAATTGATGGTAGTACAGAGATTGGGCTAGAAGAGCGAGTAGGGGCATGACTATTACGAGAGAATGCTATGGGTCTCGGTAGTTACGAACCGAGGCATTCCTTTTCTAGAACAACTGCCGAAGTGTAGTCATTCCATTTCGTATGTCGAACTTTCTGCCTAGCTGCTGATGAGTTACTAGTCATATTTCTGAAACCCTCCCTCAATGTACTGCACTTATTAATAGTAATCATCAGAAAGATATTCCTCTCTGGTGTAGTATCTTTATCAAGAGTAGTTCAGTTCAATTGTGCAATATCGTTTCATTATTCAGAGATATTTGATAGTAGGCGCTCTGAGAAGACATCAAACGCCGCCAAGATCAAAGTAAGCAATAACCTATTCAAAACAAAATGAACAGTTCTTTCTACAGGTCTACAAGCCAGGGTGCTGCATTCATGGCTTGTTTTCCTCCACATTGCCACCTTCACTCCACTTGGGGTAGAGATCCTCTGGCAGCAACCTTTTCCAGTACCCCCTCATAACCACCAGTCTGGCCTTGCTGGGCTTCTTCTGAGACGAACCAAGTGCTGTATCAACGTATCCATCCGTTTCATGCTGCACAAGGAACTTGAGACCGCTGAAGGAGTATGACACAATTATGTGGTGTCCAATGCTGTTGGGGATGTGCTAGGTGGTGTACGCCGTCTCAAATTCGTGATCAAAGCCTCTGTACTGGTTTGGCCAGATTTAATCGTAGTCAATCATGCCCGATCGACAGAAAATGGCAGTCTTATTCGCGAGTTCAGCTTTAAAGGTAACTCTTTGCATTTTTCTTTTTCATGACATGGCTTCACAAAGGCAAGAAGCTGGCGCAGAATGTGTCTGTCGGTGACAATATTCACAGTGCGGATATCGAATGAGGGATCGGTGAGGCATAGTGCCTGGAACAGAGATTCCAGCGGGCTAGCAGGCTGGCGAGCAGAGTTTTCAGCAATGTAAAACAACCCACAATCTTGCTGGAGCTGTCGAGGAATGTCGGAAGGGGACCATCGAGGTGGGCATCCCGGCACGACAATGGTGGGCGTAGGGGCCTCGATCCAGTTGTAGGAGGCTAGGTGCTTCACGTCCGTGATTTTCGCTGCAGCCGCCTCGACTTTCTCGAGATCCAACTGAGAGAACTCGGTGATTTAGTTAGACAGCATGGTTGGAAGTAGAATTAAAAGGAGACAATTTAAATGCACCGTGGAGAGCCCAGTGGTCTTCGATGAAGCAGGAGGTACATCAAAAAACAGATCGTTAAAGATGGAGAGATGGATGAAAAGGAGATAGGGCAAGAGATGGGAGGGAGCAAGGCTTGTCACAAACAGGAAGCTCTTTTATAGCTTCAGTTATCGATTGTGGCGCGTGATCACGTATTTTGAGAACTTGCTTTCATCTACAGACGCGTTGGCATCACACATATATCCATGACCCAATTTGGCTAGACGAAGGAACAGCCTTGAGGTACATGGCTTTCTTTCTTACAGAGGGCGAGAGTTGATATAGCAATGATAGATCTTCTTCATGGCCTTTTCTAGGTTTCGGCAGCATCGTCCCTCGATTCTATTATTGTAATAGTCTCGGTTCCAGCCTGCACATCCCTCCTCCTTTCCAAGTCTGCCAATTGCTGGCTGAGCTGCAATATGTTCTGATCGAGCTCGGCCGACGAGGCGAGACGATACCTCAGCGTCAATATTGCCGCTGAAGTAAGAAGTAATCCGATAGAAACCAAGTATGACCACTGACCAACTTGTTGTGGGTGTTCCTGGGACGGGCCATCATTGTAAATGCACCACTCAACCCAGGCCACAAAGGCAATGATGGTGAATGGGCTGATGATCATGCTAAACAGCAATCCAAAGAGAATTGCCACATCTCCAAGCACATGTAAGGATGCCTTGAGGAATCGAAGGCTGAGGATTTGCCGTATCTTCCGCCAAGCAGCATGCTTGCTGCTCGAGCAATCCCCCTCACTTTTTCTCGATTGAGATCTTTGAGAATCCACCAGAGCGCTGTGAATCTCCTCTTTGAAGCTCCTCCATATCTTCTTTCTTTCTTTCCAAATGACCATAATCTGAGCGGATGGGATGCGTGACCGGTAAGGCAGGAACCGGAAGGTCAAAAGCAGGCAATTCAATATGACACAGAGAATGATGAGGCTGTAGATGTACCGCTTCGAGTAAAGCACCCTGTCCCAAAACTTGTGGGAATGGGCGATTTCCGAGCCTCGTGTCGCAACCCGCATATGCAACGAGGTTGGCTGTCGCAGGATCTGGCTCGAGTTGAAGCAAGGACTGTAGCAGATATCGCCGATCTGGCCCCACAGTGTGATATTGGAGAAGGTCTGCCAAACACTATCATTCCATGTGGAAATCCTCCACGAAGCTTGCCAACCATCGCTCGATATTTCGTCCAGGGGCGGAAGGTCGGGATAGCAGAACATGTACTGGGTTGGGACTTTAGTGTTGTAGGAGCCATATACCAGTGCGCATATCGACCCCGCTAGCATCAAGATATTCCAGAGAGAAAACAAGATATTCCTCAAGATATTCCTGGCCCGGTCATGCGTTAAGATGCGAGACCAGCACTGTAAAGGCAGGAAAACCAGGTAGCCTGTGACCACAATGGCAAGGACGGCATCGGAATCTAGCTCTAGGGCTCCAGGCTGAACCATCAGTCTGGTTGTCTCGGTAATGAGTTCAGGGAAATTGTGCCATAAACTTGTATTACTGGACAAGTATGGGATAGTGACTGGTCCCGGAGCTTCCATTTTTGCCGGACTAGCGACCAGGATGAATGCTTGGAACGCAGCGGTTCCTGCATATGTTGCTGCTGCGCCCAGGAACACGTTGGCAAGCCATCCTGTCCAGCGTGTCACACAACTTGCCAGAAGGAGCGCGTAGAAAAGATATCTTGGACAGGAGTTGTAGATTGTGCTAATAGGGTAGTAGCACACTGCTTCTTGGGCGATGAACAGGGGGTCAGTGTTGGTGTTGTTCATTGAGAAAGTCAGGCATGGCTGATAGAAAAGCTGAACTTCCAAGGATGAAAGAACTCAGAGTTACAAATTCGCAATTCAAAAGTTTGACTGGTTTATCCAACTTCTGTCGGAGTATTAGGCTGCCTCGTTTACCGTAAGGTCCTGACGTCATGCATTTAGCGAGAACAAACAGCCGACTGAATCAATACCTCAATTCCACAGGACACATAGCCACGACCATAATTAAACCTTTATTCAACTGCATACGCATCAATTGTAACATGGCCCAGTCGGTAGGGGCGGGGAAGATCCTCGATAAACACCGTCCGATTGAGCCATCCGTAGGCACTTTTATCATTAAATAATGTTCGGGTGATTCATGTGAGTGAGGGGTTCGCGAGTAGCCTCACGTATTATCAAGTTAGGTGCCGAGGTGCCTATCAGGTTGCTTCTTTCTACTAGTGTTTTATACTCAACTGACTCATCTTCATAGCCTATTTTAGTAATTATTTTTTTCTTTATATCAGTTCTAGACTTAATCCCTTTTCTCCTCGTTTTTATTTTCATTTTTCTAGGACTACGCCTAGTTATTCAGAGACCTAGATCAATCATATAGAAACTCACAAGAAAGCTGAGCGGGTTAATTAAATAGATATATGATTTTAGATACACCATTCCTTCTCATAGAAATCATAATTAATAAAAATCTAGTCTAGTGAGGAGATTCATTTCACTGAGTTATTTTTTTATTAGAACGTGCTTCGTAGAGAGTGGATGCTAGTATATATCTTATCTGAAAAAGGTTATAGGGCCTGGTAGGTTAGGACATTGGCTATCCAAGCAAAGTAAACTAGTGTAAGTGATCCAACAAACATCAATTGGTTAAATATTGGATCTACTGTTGGGACTATGTAGATCGGATTATCAATCTAGCACGGCAAAGCGGCGGCCGGGGGCTTTTGGGCCCCGAGATGGCACCAAAATAGCATGCACCAATACCCCAGCCTTGTGCTTTCGCCAAATCACCCGAACTTTTGCAATCTCGCAACCACGCAAGCGCAACAAGAAGATCGGCGCCCATCATTAATAATTTATGTAATGGCGGCCCCGAAGGTGACCGAGACCTTACAAATCAAGCATCCGCACCTTGGAAAGTATGAAATGGCACATTCTCCACTCAGAGAAGCACCGCAACTCTATCAACCACCCATCAACTCAAGTGCAACATACCCACTTCCACCATCACCATGAAGGAAGCCGTTGTCGAAAAGACTGTCACCGTCACTCTTCGCGATGTGGAAATTCCTACGCCGCAGCCCGGCCAGGTCCTCATCCGGGTCGAGGTGTCCGGCACCAACCCTAAGGACTGGAAGGTGCCTAAGCTGTTTTCGGGCCCCACACTGAACCAGGGCGATGACATTGCGGGTTATGTTGAGGCTGTGGGTGACGGCGTGCTCACTTTCCGGAAGGGAGATAAGGTGGCTGCGTTTCACGAAATGATGTCCCTGCACGGTAGCTACGGCGAATATGCCATCTCCTGGGATTACTCAACGTTTCATCTTACAGATAAGACGATTTTTGAGGGTATTTCTACTTCTCTTCTCATCCATTTGTCTTGGCCTGGGAACTCCGGAATAGCAGCTAACCTATCATTGCAGAGGCCGCCACCATTCCTCTGGCTGCCATGACCGCCGCACTGGGGCTATATCAACGCCTCAGTCTGCCTCTGCCGTGGAACCCGACCGACACCCCGTCTCCGCTGGTCATTTACGGAGGAGCCACAGCAGTCGGCGCATTTGCAATCAAATTTGCCAAACTCTCAAACCTGCACCCGCTCATCGTGGTAGCAGGCAAGGGAATTCCGTTCGTGGAGACCTTGATTGACAAGGAAAAGGGGGACACAGTCATCGACTACCGCGAAGGCGAGGAAGCCGTGCGGGCAAAGATCCGCGCCGCATCTAATGGACGCCCAATCCACCACGCATACGATGCCGTCTCGGAGAAGGGCAGTCTCCAGAATATCAGTGCCGCATTGACGGTGCCCGCAGCTATCACCACCGTCCTGCCACCCAAGGAAACGGACTCGTTTCCAGAGGGAATTGAAGTCCGTCGCACGTATGTCGGAAGTGTTCACAAGCCGCCGACGGCATGGAAGAGCATCGAGGATAAAGAGTTCGCGGCAGCTTTCTTCCAGTTTATTGGGCGGGGTCTAGCTCAGGGCTGGTTCTCGGGGCATCCATATGAAGTGCGGGCGAATGGACTGAATGGACTTGAAGGGGCATTGAAGGATCTCGAGGCCGGGAAGGCATCAGCGGTGAAATATCTCGTGAGAATTGGAGAGACGGAGGGCGTGCAGCGTTAGCCATGGAGGGTGTTCAAGCGGCCTTAGTTTGTTCTGATTGAACGAGCACTTCAATTGATATATCACCACATCGGGAAGTGTATACTGGGGATGCAAAAGTATCATTGTAGAGCATGAAGCCTAGTTAGTTAACGTAATCCACAAGCGAGTGGCCCACCCCAAAACACGTAGTAAATGCAATTATATATCTCAACAACAATATATAAATGTTGAATAATATCATATATAAATCTCAGATGATGACTAAATGAACATAAACAGGTTGATCATGGGCCTAGGCCCATGGACAGTCAATAACACTAACCTCACCGAGTACAGCCTCCCAGAAAAACCCTATCAGGAGCCACACCCTTCTTCGCCGTGTCGGCCTTAGTAAGACAAGAATAATCCGATTTGCTCAAATCCTCTCCCAGCGATGGAGGGGTACCATCATTGTTGCACTTCTGCCGGTGCCATCCATCTTTCGTGAGCCAGCACCACAGACTGTTGGATTCGTTGTTTGGGTCCCAATCCCATTTTTCCATTTTTCCGTTCCAGACTTCCGACCAGACGGGCTTGTCGGTCTCTGAGCAGGATGACCACGCGAATCCTTCGGCGCTGCACCCAGGAGAAGAATGAGACTCTTCCCTTTTCTCGAGGACAGTGTCATTGGAGGCTAATATAATATATATAAAGAAAAAGAATTAGCGAATCAATCAATTATAGTCTCGGGGAGAAAGGGAACAACATACTGGGGATGCTAGCGGCAGTTGAGATTGTCGCAGCCCCGAGGAGGACGATAGTGGTATTGAACTTCATCGTAGAAGATAAAAAGAAAGGGGGCAAATGAATTCAACTTCTTGTGGTGTCTGTATGCCTAGGGGGACCGGAGCAGAAGGGAGGAAATTTTACGCCCTTTATACAATGACATATTATGTTTTCCAAGCAAGTGGGTTACCTAGAAATTACGTTGCTATCAATAGAAAATTACATATTAGAGGGTGATCACACAAAGATAACTAAACCACACCCTAAAAAAAGAAAAGGCTGTGTCTTTCAGGGATCTCAGAGCTATCTGGATATACGCGGTCTTTCAATGCGTATATAAGAGTTGTGGGGCGACTCGAGGACACACGGCTAGAGGGTTTGCGCTACAGGACCCGCAATAATCATGCAACCCATTTCTATTTGTGAAGGGTCTACTTGTAAGCGTATAAGACCATGGCTTGTTTATACAGCTTGTTTATACGCAACCGGCTCCTACATTTAGAGTCTTTGACTCAAAACCGAGGACTGGATGCTGGTCAATATTGACATGGCAATTTGAGATCATAACTGTCTTAAACACAAGAAAGAGAAATATGTAACGGATTGATGACATTTTAGGGTGAGCCATGGAAACCTTAGCCTATAATCTAAACCCACGATCAATAGATTATGTTAATAAAATCCTAAACCGCCTATATGTTAACATATAGGTTAATAGGTTAATCTACTCTTAACCTATTCTAGTATAATTTTCTAAATTAGGATAAATAATTTACTTACCTTTTTAATAGTTTTTGTTTTAATATAAATTATAATTATAATCTTTCTAATTTACAAAAAAATGTATTATATTATATAGTAGATAGATATAGGCTAAAGAAGAGGTTAGATAAATCTTTTTTATGTTAAATCTAAAATATATATTTAAAGTCCGCTATAGTATTACTAAAGATATTTAAAAATTTAATATCTTATAGAATGAATATATAGTATATTATATAGATTTAATTTAATTTATTAACTCATCTTTCCTAGATTAAGAACTTTTTTTATATAGCCTAGCTAATTATCTAAAAGCTTTAGAAATAGTAATTAATTACTATAATAACTACTCTATAGCTTTTTTTAAACCATGAAATATCCTAAATTTTAAGAATTTTTTCAATAATCTAATTATTATTATTTATTTTTAGTTTTTTTTTCTTTCTACTAAATTATCTAATATTAAATCTAAAAAAAATTAGGATTAATAGAAAGATCTATTTTAGAAGCTTCTAAAACTAAGTTTTCTATTAGTCATAATTACTAGATATAACTATTTTAAGAAAAGTTCGTGTCTTTCGCCTCGTTACGGGATAGTCTCTACCTTCTATACTGTGAGAACAAGACAAGATCAAGTCCTATATAAGGTTATTTATAGTGCCTGATTTAAAGCTATATCGTTATATTTTACCTCCGTAGCAAGTGCTAGCTCTCGGCAGCATATAATATTGATTTCCTTTCTCGTTTATTGTAATACTCAAGTGTAAAACCACATAACACCGCAAGTTTTTTATGTGTCTCGAGGAGTTATTCGAAGATTTTTTCTATATTTATCTTATCTAAGAAATTAATATGGAAGTTGTGGCCAAGCGACTATCGGGCCCTTATACACTTCTTTATTTCCTCTCTAAGGGTAAAGAGTGTATAGCTATAGTGGACTATCTCGCCTACTCTCGGTGAGAATTATCACCCCGTGCTCATGTGATATCTGGGACCCGGTTACGTCCCTATGATATCTCCTGTACGAGTAGTCACGTATGAACGCACGTGACTTCACGTGGATATATTTAGATATATATACTTATACGGTCCTATATCTTATATAATTTATACGATTCTTTCCTAAATCTTATCTAGTAGTATATTAGATTAAAAAGGGTAGTAACTAGTAAACTAGATATAATAATACGTAAATAGACTACTAGAGGACTAACCTTACCCAATTCCTAGGTCTAAGATCCTTTAATAGTAATTATAAAGATACTCCCTTAACTATATAGCTGAAGTAAGGCCTATAGAGAGGAGGGTATATAACCTTATTTATTTAAAGAGAAAAAAAACTATATCTTTAGAAGAGAGAATAAGACTATTTACTTAAATATAAATCCTTAAATAGATAAACTATATAAAATACTAAATCTATTAAAATAAAAGATATCTTATAACCACAGAATACCCTTAATAGCTAATAGCTTATATAAGAATATACTTTTAGAGCTATTAAAATTAAGATAGATATTTCTAGAGGGAATCTAGGCGGTATTAAATATATTATTATCTAAAATTATAAAGATATTTATCGAAGGATTCTATAATACTCTAGACCTTAATAGTCTCGCGATAATTATTTAGTACATAGTCTAGCTATACTAATAAATTTAGATCGTGGAGTAAAAGATCGAACGAGCCTAGATATATACCGCTAAAGCTAATAATCGAATCTATATATAACTATAGAGAGAAGGGCTAATAGCCTTTATCTCTATAATAAATATTATTATAGCTTTAGGCGATATCTTTATATAATATATATAAAAAGATATTTTAATAAAAAGAGTCTTAAACCTAAAGGAGTTTAATAGAATCTTCTAAAATAATATAATAAAGAAGTAGCTCTTTAATTATAAATAATATTTTACGGATTACTATATATTTAGAGATCTAGACCTCTCGGAATAATATAAGATTATAATAGGAAAGGCTTATTTTATAAAAAGAGTAATAGACCGCTATTCTATATATGACTAATAGATCTAAAAAGGTGATATATATAAAGGATATACTTGGTAGGGTATAAGGCCTATCGATCAGGTAAAGAAATAAGGGGAGTGAGTAGGAGAAATAGTATATCTTTATTACTGTTAAGACTGAATCTTGTCTTGTTAGCTTAACGCGAGAGTATTAATTTATTATATAATATCTTTTATAACTCTACGTATTATCGATAATATAAATAACTAGGTCTCTATTATATATCGTGATTATTCTACTATAAAGTAAATCAAGTAACGAGTTCCGACTTCCTTTAGGATTATATAATATTACCTGATTTACCCCTTCTGTTAGTTAGGAATAACCTTATATCTTACTATCTTAGTAGACCCTTTATAATTATCCCCCCTCTTAAGGTTAGGTAACCTTGACTAACGTGTTTATCTTATTATTATAATATAGATACATTAACACGATATCTTTTTGTAGGGTTTTTATTTACCTTATTATCGAGGCGATAAAGAGATTAGATAGTTAACTAGTAAATAAAGATATATCGAATTATATATTTAAGTCTTTATTTATATTTTTAAGTAGTAACTCTTTTCTTCTTTTTTTTCTCTTTCTACGTTATATTTATCGTGTTTTGTTATCTATTTCTTACTATTCCTATTATTTTCTATTATCTTTTTATTATTATAACTATTATTATATCTTATTATTATTATTTAGATTAGTTATTATATTAGCTAACGCGTTCTATTACTATTTCACCTATCTTCTTATAGTATACTAAGTACTTTTAGACTAAGGTTAAGGTATATAACTCTAAGTTACCTTTTATTATCGAATATAAACTAGATATAGCAGCTTTAGTTATCTATTAGTAGTATTCTATCTATAATATATTATATAATATAGTATATTCCGTAGTATCTTATTTTAGTTTATATTAATATTATTGAGGTTATAGAGGGTATAATTAGAGACGCCTATAATCTATAGATAATCTTTAATTAGCTAAATAAGGAATTCCTAGAGCCTCTAGCTAAGGGTACTCTTAAAAAAAAGAGAGAAAAAGAATAAAAAGAATAAATAGAAGGATAGCGTATTAATTACGGCTAGAAAGGCTATAATAGAACTTATAAAGGCCTTTAATATAATAGAGTTAACGTATTATTATTAGTTCTCTTTTATTACTATTTATAAATTAACTATAGTAAATAAGATCGCTAGTACTAATATAATTTCGTTAATATTTTAATAGGCCTAATATAAGGTTTATATAGCGTATATCACTATTTATTATTAGAATATAGCTATTTATATCCTTTTATCTAAGGATCTTTTAGGGAAGTATCTCTAAAAGTTCTAGTCCTAGCGTCTTCTCTACTTAGTTCTAAGAGATAATAGTTTTATATATTAGATAGTAGCGAAATAGAGGCTTCTAGTGGCCCTATAGATAGTATCCTAAAATAAATATAGTCTTAATCTAGTAGTCTCTAATCTAACTAATAATCCTAATACTAAGTATTACCTAAAATAGTTAAAAAAGAACTTCCCTATTTCTATTCCTAAGTTTTAAATAGAGCTCTATATTTATATCGCTATTTTATAGTAATAATAATAGTATTATTCTAATAGAGTTTTAGTAGTTTTCTATTTAGTTTATAGGATTTTTTTTTAAGTAATATCTTATCTTTTTTATTTTTATTTCTTATATTTTATAATAGCTCTTTTTATATTTATTATATCTTTTTCTAGGATCTACTAATTATATTTTAATAGTTAACCCTTTTATTTAACTAAGAAGTAGGATCTCTTATTAAAATATTAATAGTCTTTTACTTCTTCAATTTCCTATTTATTATTATTTTATAATTCTAGTATTAATATATTCTTATTATTATTTCACTCTTTATCTCTCTAATTCTAGGGTTTAAGAAGTAATATATAAAATATATTATAAATCTAATTATATTAGTTTAGTAAAACTAGTTAATATATCTACGATCTAATCTTTTTAAGGATTTAGAGAGGTCTAATAAATTTAGGTACTAATTTCTTTATTATTTTTAATCTTAAATTTCTTATTAATAGAGTAATTAAGTCTCTATATTTAAACGATATCTTTTTATAGGTTTTATTATAGTATTTTGTTTATATTTCTATTATTTTTTGCTATTATTCTATTAAGTCTTATCTTAATTTTTATAGTTTTTTAGTATATATTTCTATTACTAGAACCTTTTTTAAAAATATATTATTCTTAGTATATAGTCAGAAATTAGGTAAAT